TAAAACGGAGAATATCGGGTTTTCCCACTGTAATTGGAGTGCTGGTTAAATTACAAGAAATCAGTTTGTTTGCTAGACCAAGGCCGATTAGACATTTTAAGTAAAAAGTCTTTGAGCAATATGTGCTGCAATAGGGTTAGTTGAAAATAGCTTAGTACCCTTGTATTTAAGGTGTATGACTATGACCTCGGCTGAATGACCATATTTATATCTGAACTCTGTAATTTATAAAAAGTAAACTAGTAAATAAAAGATCAACAGAACGTGTTTAAACTATAACATGTAACTACTGCAAAGGACTGTGTATGATACAACTTCTGAATGGATGCGGCACAAGTAATGAAAGCTCCTGAAGTTTTAACAAAAGATTTAATTGTTACAAAGAAATAATGCTATGCACCCCTTCTTTTTTCGTGATGACATTTACTTATCCTTGTTAAATGATATTCGCTAACCTAGTAAAGAAACAACAAAAGATTCCACCTATCGATCAATAAGCACACAGACAATTAGATTGAGTAATCACACTTTCCCAAATTCATTGTCTAGCATGGACATTTTGCAAATGCATTATTAATATACAATACGGTATTCAAGTGGTGATGAATTGGTCTGATAAGTGTAACATTTGTGACAGATCATGAAGCAGAAATTCATTTAAAACATCATTATAAGCAGAGCCAGACATATGCACAATAGATGTACCAAGTTTTATCATCCAATATTGTTCCATTGTCTTGTATACATTCATGCACAACATTAATTGTACCATTGTCTCAATTGTATACATTCGGCATTGCAGGATGTATTATTTTTTTTTGTTTCAATTCATAAATTTGCTGCGCATAATATTTATTTTGTTTTCATTTTAGAATCATATCAAGTACTGCTGCTTTCGCAATATTGACATTTATACGCCGACAAAATTGCTCTAGTAACATGTAAAATAATTGATTAATCTAACAGCTTCATTCAATTCCGGAAAAGGACATATCTGTTAGCAATTGTAACATGACCGCCCTTATTGATATCATTGACAGAAATGTCAGGACGGAAATTTTTGTCTCTGTAATCATATATTTGTCTCTTTTTTCTGTATCAAGTTCAAGGTCATATTTGTCGGGAAACGTACTTTTGGGAATACATGCACATACATAATATTATTCAATATTAATCCATTTTGCTGAAAATAATCTTGATATTCAAGACAGTTTTGTATCACATTGTCAAAAGGGGCTGAAGTTTTTTTTGTTTACATGGTCATGTAATTTCTTTTGGAACATTTTGTGAAAAGAAGCTGAAAATACCATTTTGTTGACGTGGCCAGATCATTATTTTCTGGAACAGATTGTCAATAAGTACTTACATTTCTTGCCGTTTTCAAATAATTTGTCTAGAACAGTTTGTCAATACAGACTTACAACTCTTTATGTTTTGGTGGTCAAATCATTTATCTAGAACAGATTGTCAATGTAAACTAACATTACATTCTTATTTCGTGGTCAAATCATTTATGGTGAAGATTGTCAATATAGACTAGACTTACATTTCTTTATGTTTTCGTTATCAAATAATTTCATCCCAGCACAGATTGCAAATATAGACTTACATTTGTTATGTTTTCGTGGTCATATAATTCATCTGTAACAAATTGTCACTAAAGACTAACATTTCCCTAATGTGTTCATAGACAAATAATTCATCTGAAAAATGTCAATATAGGCTTACATTTGTTATGTTTTCTTGGTCAAATAATTCATCTGGAACAAATTGTCACTAAAGACTAACATTTCCCTAATGTGTTCATAGACAAATAATTCATCTAAACAAATCGTCACTAAAGACTTACATTTTTTAAGGTTTTCGTGGTCAAATAATTCATCTGGAACAAATTGTCAATAGATTGTCTTATATTTCTTATTTTTTTCGTGGTCAAATAATTTATCCAGAACAGATTGTCAATATAGACTTACATTTCTTAATGTTTCGTGGTCAAATAATTTTATCCCAGAACAGATTATAGACTTATATTTCTTTATGTTTTCGTTATCAAATCATTTCCCCCCAGAACAGATTATCAATAAAGACTTACATTTCTTTATGTTTTTCGTTATCAATTAATTCCCTCCCAGAACAGCTTGTCAACGTGGTCACATAATTCATCTGAACAAATTGTCACTAAAGACTTACATTTCTTAATGTTTTCGTGGTCAAGAAAGCTTTACATTTCTTAATGTTTTCGTGGTCAAATAATTCATCTGGAACAAATTGTCAATATTGTCTTACATTTCTTTATGTTTTCGTGCTCAAATAATTCATCTGGAACAAATTGTCTTACATTTCATCATGTTTTCGTGGTCAAATAATTCATCTTGAAAAAATATAGTCTTACATTTCTTTATGTTTTTGTTATGAAATAATTCCTTACGGAACAGATTGTCAATATTGCTTTATATTTCTTTATGTTGTTCCGTGGTCAAATTATTTATCTGTAATATTTTACTAAACCTCAAAAATAGTACCATTTGCCATAATGCGTACTGTCTGATATTGAAAACAGAAATATGCGTACATAAGAATTATACTTGCAAACAAATGAAAATACTGTGAGGTTATTTGCAAAACAATAAAGTTATTAATTTGGTTTTTATCTTATCAAAAGTAATGAAAATTTCAGTTATCATGTGTCTAAATAACATAATGAAAGGCATATGAATTATCGTAAGATGGCGCTTTTATATTTTCAAAGAAATGTAATTATAGTATGCGGAATACCAATAAGTAGATTCATTTGTAATTATTTAAAGCACAAATAACCAGTTTCAAGAGAGATATACAGCAAGGATCAATTTATTGGTCGGCTAGAATTAATGTACTTCTTTTTTACGTTGCGCTGTAAATATACTGATACCGATATCCGATGCCGTGCTGTAAATATTCTCATAAAGTCCACCAAAGCTGGAAAAAGCAAGACTATTTCTCAATATAATAATGAAAACACTATTGTATTAATGTAAACCCCTTCTTTAGCAAATCGATTTCAAACTATATATATGGCGGATAATTGTTAAGTTTTTTATTTATAACCTGAAAGTCTTCCTTCCGACGTAAGGAAAAATCGTTCTCTTTGCACCAGCTTTACGGCTTTAGTTTTCCCCGGGGAAATGTCTATATCTGACACAGATTTATGTCTGATTTCTGGCAAAACAAAACAAAGGAAAAATAAGAAGTATTTTCTATATACGTTTATTGATACGTACGTGCAGTTCATCAGGATTTAACTTGATGTGGAGAAGCAACCAATTTGTGTTAAAGTTAGGAATAACGAAGCTACATATTTCTTTGTGTCATAATAAGTATAAGACCATAAATGGAATGCATACAGTTTTGTTTTATATCTTTTTTCTTTGGTCTTTCTGTGGTATGGGTTTTGTTTTCTATGCTGTGGGTCTCATTCCCTATGCTGTGGTTCTTATTCTCTATGCTGTGCGTCTTATTCCCTATGATGTGGGTCTTATGCCCTAGACAGTGGGTCTTATTTCCTATGCTGTGGGTCTCATTCCCTATGCTGTGGTTCTTATTCTCTATGCTGTGGGTCTTATTCCCTATGATGTGTGTCTTATGCCCTAGCCAGTGGGTCTTATTTCCTATGATAGGGGTCTCATTCCCTATGATGTGGGTCTTATTCTCTATGCTGTGGGTCTTATTCCCTATGATGTGGGTCTTATGCCCTATACAGTGGGTCTTATGCCCTATACAGTGGGTCTTATGCCCTATACAGTGGGTCTTATGCCCTATACAGTGGGTCTTTTTTCCTATGATGTGTGTCTTATTTCCTAATTCCTATGATGTGGATGAACTGTACAGTAATATACGCTATAAACATCATATGATTTTCTCCGTATGGCGAAATTTATTTGTTATATAATATTTGTTATATTAATTTATTATATATAGTGTCATATAATAGAAAGTAGTTCGAATCCCGGACCTCTTTTATCGAAATGTTAATATCTTAACCAAAATGCAACAATTTTCGTGTATGGAAAAGAACAGTATGACATAGTTGCAGTTGGAGACAAGGTTTGAATTGAAAGGAGTGTGTGGCAAAAAAGAAATAATAAATACCTAATCGGGAGAGGTCAATTTTCATGTAGAAATTACCTGTGCATGACAAACAAAGTTTTTCAAAGGGGAATGGTGGCCTAGTGGTAACCCAGGGAACATGGGTTCGAGCCCTAATTGGGTCACGACCATGTTTCTTCATACGACACCAGTACTGGTTGGTTCCAGGAAGCTGACTCGAAAGTGATTAATATAAGTTGCAAGAACTTGTTTCGTAATCGATCTTAAATAGATATGTTTTAACCAAAACATAATTCATTCATTCCATTATAAGAAATCAATTTAAAAGTACTGTCAATATTTATTCCCAACTTTTTATCATTTTGAGTAAAATTGTTTATAATAAATATCAATAAAAGTTATAATTAGAATAGTAATATTGAATTTCATTGCTTAAATATCCATGCATTTGTTTTCATTTTTATATTGATTTTGTTAAAACCAAAATGAGGAAGTGAATTTACTGTCATAAACAAACTTGCAAATTATCTTTTGCTGATATTTCCTGATGATCTAAATCGTCTGTGCTGGCGTCAACTGGATTTTATTTAAAGGAAAATCACTGAGATCTAAAGGCATAAAAACATAGAATTTAAAAATCTTACAAATACCAAGTGAAACACTTAAATTGAAAAAATCTGAAAGGATAACAAAGAATTATACTCAGAATAACATGCAATTGTTACAACGCAATGCGCAAAAGTGTAATAAATCAACTACCATATAGAACAGTTGTCATAGCACGTCACGAACAGCTATTTTGATAAACTTATTTATAAACAATAAATACTTGTCCTACATTAATTTATCACCATATCAATTTATAAAAGTAGATAAAATTATTTTGAACATGTACACAACTACAGATATCACCAGTAATAATAATAACTTATCAAAAATAGAAGTTAAGTTATTAAACTTAAATGTGACAAAATCGTTTACATTTTACCGGTGGAAGGTCATGAAATCAATTTTCATATGAAGAGGTTTTGTTCGTGGAAATAAATAATGAAAAACAGAAGCAAGGAAAATTGCGTTTTATTCTTAGTGATATTGTCATACTCGGTTAATACCATTGGTGCATGGATGTTTAATGGTCGACCAGAAGGGGGTAAAGTTGGGGCTCCTTATGTACCGAAAGGAGTTCAACTCCCGGATCAACAATTCTACGAATTTCAGACGGTCAACCATTTTGACGGAAGCGACTTTAGATACTGGAAACAGGTAAATAGTTTAATTACAATTTCAAATATTTCCATGTCATGAGGTTACCAATTTTTCTTCTACATTTTAACATTCATTGTTTCAATATTGCCAAACGTTTTACCTTGACAATAAATGTGTTACTTTTATATTTTCAGCGTTATTTTGTTAACAATGTCACATTTAGAGCAGGTGGGCCTATTTTTATAATGTTAGGTGGAGAATCGGAGGCAAATCCCGCGTGGCTAGTTGATGGCGCATGGCAACAATATGCACGTGATCATGGCGCGTTCCTAGTTCTATTAGAACACAGATACTGCGGAGAAAGTCAACCTGTTCCGTAAGATTTACTTAACTAAATTATTTACTATTGTTATAATCTTGGCGATACTGTCACATTATTTTCAACATATAAAAGATACAAACGTATAAACTTTTTAGCAACTTGAAAAAAAAAAGTGAAATGCCACAAGTCAATGAAAATGTTGCAGAAGTTGGAATTAGTCTGTTTATGGATGGCCGTGATGTTTTTTTCCTAAATTTTTATGAGCAATAAATTATATTGTTCGTTATTGTTATTTCTCCTCTTGACAATTCCATGTTTGTTTTATTTGATATGGCAAAGCTAGTTTTATCGCTATACATACGACTTGTATATTTTAGGGACTTGAGCACCCCGAGCCTGCAGTACCTTAGTTCGAAACAGGCTCTAGCGGATATTGCACAATTCGTCTCATACTTCAAGAAACTCTACATATACCAATATCTACAAAACAGTAGTGTTATATTGTTCGGAGGCTCTTACGCTGGTAGGCAAAAATACTTTATAATGCAAAGAAGGTCGTCAGGGGACATTACTCTACTAATGAAAGTTAGAGAAAATAATTCATATATAATTAGAAGTTAAAGTAAAAGAGTACAATAAAATTGCCAACATTTAAAACAATGATGTTGTTAGTATTGTACATCATTGAAGTAAATATAATTCAATATTATTCTTCATAGCGCGTATTCAAATTTACTATTGGCAAGCTGGAAAAAAATTAGTGGCCTATTACCTTCATATTGCAGGTTCATTGGCAGCGTGGGCTAGATCCCGCTACCCGTACCTTATTGACGGAGCAGTTGCATCTAGTGCCCCAATGGTGGCTATGATGGAATTTCAAGGTATATTTGATATCTGTTAATATTTGCATTTTAACATAAGCAATGTATCAGCTTTATGACTCGTGTGTAGGGCCAAATTCGATAAAAATATATATTGCCAAAATCCTTTCTATTTTACTGACATTTAAAATCAGGAAATAAAGTGTAAAGGTGATTGTGTTATTCTACGTTCTTTTATACTGTGTGGCTTGCGTATTTATTCCCTGTGGTCTCCAGACCGCAGGGTATTGGTACGCGTTTAACTTTTGAGGCATGGAGGAGCACATGACCTGTTTTCGGTACATGGAGGAGCATGCGATCTGTAAACCTGACATGATTGGTTAATTGACCTTTTAGAAAACCTAGCTAAATACCGTTTGCCGGTACGTTACGGATTTACCTCTAGGTAATTAGTCCGAATTACACCTAATTAAGAACAAAAAGATATTACGTGATATTTCTAATTTTCTATAATTATTTTACCGTTTAAGGTGGAAAAACTTGAATGATGTGTTTGAAAATTTTCAATGATTCTTTAATATCTATCTCAAATTTTACAAACAATAAATTGTTTATAACTTTAAACTGAAAATCTACAAGATTAAAATATACGTAGTGGCATCTGCCATAATAAATAGAGATATTTTCTGCGTAAACTTGTGTGTTTACTTTTTTGCTCGGAATTATTCATAAAATGGTAGGCCTATTTAATAATTTTCTTAAATAGAAATAATTGTTTTATGTTCGACCTTCTCTGGTCTTCAACTGTCACCAGTTTTCAAAGACCTTATTCTATATTGATCGTTTATTGTCAACTATATTCCTGATACAAACGTATATTTATTCCCCCAAACAATGTTGTAAATAGTTAAATGAAATATCTTTATATCATTAAAAATGTTCCCCGCAGGAAACCATTTTACTTGTTTTCTTTTAGACTATTATGTCGGGGTTGGCGAGGCACTTGATAACTACAACACTGACTGTTCTACAGAGATTAGAAACGCCACTACACGTATGTATGACTGGTGGGGACAGCCGGACAAGAGGGTCTTAATGCAGAAAATATTCAGGTTCGAGTAAAGTAACAAACAATTATTGTTAGAGATATATGAGTCAGGTCACACAAGTTTACTCATTTTGACGTGTAATTGACTCCTGAATTTTTACAAACGACATAATGAGTTTTAACATGTTAATGTATTTTATGATACTTCGTTTATGATGTTGTTAGTGCCGTGACCTGTTGAAAACTTGATGACTTACATGTGTGTGATTTACAATGTCTTTTCAGACTCTGTGATAAAATCGACCATGAAGCATTGTTCGACCTGTCTGTGTTCTTCTACAATTTGGCTTCAAACTTTGCCGGTGTCGTTCAATATAACAATGATAATAGAAAGTTTCTGGTATGTCAAATAATGCATATTTCACATTTGAGTAAGTTTTTTTATTCTCATACAAATGTACATACAGAACTTTTGAATTCTGTTTTATTAATATATATTTTATGTAATGTAGGGTAAACAGGGGACTGAACTAACGATAAAAACAGTTTGTGACATCATGACTGACGAAAGTAGAGGTGACAGTATTCAGCGTTATGCTGATGTGAACTCACTCATTCTTGACACGTTTGGCAAGAAGTGTCTGAACCTTAGATACAATAAACTAGCGAACTCTCTCAACCATACAGAGTGGGGAAGTGTTTCGGCAGAAGGAAGTGAGTGAAAATCTGCTTAGATTTTTGTGTATTACTAAAGAAATCTTTTGAAATGTTCGAGGCATTCTGTTACACTCATTATATATAACATCATTAACACTGTTTAGAGTTACAGATTTAAATCAAGCATCACTTGCAACTCTAGCAGTAAATAGCATATCTAAAATATTTTTTTTTAAAAACAATGGGGTGATTGTGCCGTAACGTAAAAAGACAACTTGTACATAAGTGCACTGAAATGTAAATGAATAAAGTCATTGTTGAAAAATTTGTAGAGACATGTTCGACCACGAACTTTGGTTATCTTTAGGTAGACAATGGCTTTATCAAACTTGCACGGAGTTTGGATGGATCCAGAGCTCTTGGTCACCGAAACAGCCATTCGGTGCGTGGATTTACTTTCCTTTTAAGTAAGTGACTTTTTTAGAATAATGGATATGAACAATGTATACTTAATCATTCAAAATAAGTGCATTCGTTACATATTATACAGAGATTACACCATCTGCTTCAGTCACGTGATAGACCTTCTTTCATTCAAAAGATGATTGTGAATAATAGTCGAGATTTTCCGATTGTGCCTTGCTCTGCCATGTGTAAACATCTGAATGTTACAATTGTTTATTGTTTTGATCTCTGTCATTGCAAACACTTTGTTCGTTTGTTATCTTAGATGTATATTATCATTCTCGAACAACTGACCCTGTAAGACATTTCAATATTACCTTTGCTGTTTGAAATGGTTTTAAAACAGTAAACAGTAATCTTCTTCAAAATACTAAGCCTTCTGCATATTATAAAGAATTGAATATGTTAGATTGATCCATATTGATCTATATGTACATTATTCAATGAAATATAATTATAATAAACTAAATACACCTCTCAACCAGTACTGAAGAGCAAGCGCTGACTTCTAAGGTTGAAATTCAAAATCATTCGAAGTTGAATTTCGAGCTTGAGCTGAATTTCGATGCAGCTCTGAGGTAGAAATTCAAAATTGTTAAAAGAATCATTTAATTTTGATACGAAATCATATATATATTAATATGAAAAACATGGCGAACGTATTTCCTGGCGAGAATAATTAATTACAGAGAAGACAATTACTATGTAAAAGAGCAATATTTTCTATCACTTATAAACACGAAGAATTCATTCGGAGTAATAGTTATTTGCAAACTCATGACTCTTTTTGCAAGCCATATAATCATTTAAATGCATAATAAACTCAGGTACGTATGTTAATATACGTACCTGATAAACTATATGATTTCGAAAGTTACATAAGCATATTTTGATTTTTATACAATGTGCACCTCTGTGTATATTAACAACGAGTTCTGTCAACAGCAAAAGCATATCCTCTAATCAAAACTTTCTCCCATTGTAGTCTAACGACGGACTTTTGTGTAAGTGTTTTCCCGCCGTGCATATATGGCGGAAGTGAGGTGTTGTACAACAGTGAACAAACGAATCGATTTTATGGCGGTCTAAGTCTTCCAATATCGAGAGCTGTGTTTGTAAATGGAATGATGGACCCTTGGGTAAAAGCTAGTTTGACCGTGCCTGGTCCCTTTTCAAGAGACATTGACATCATTTCAATAGAGGGTAAAATCTTTTTATTATTTTCTATCTTTTGTGAAATAATTCGAGACTATAAAGCATTTAAGTGTAAGTGTTCTCTTAACACAAGATTATTAAGTTCAGATCGAAATTTTAATTGTGAACAGAAAAAAAACATAGGGATATAAATTAATAAACTTTTTTATTTTTCTTATTGTATACACCTGTTATGTGAAATATATTTGTATGATATAAATAAATTGAAATTTCCATTTTCAGGGACTGCGCACTGTGCTGACATGTATCCACCTTCCCCCATAGACCCGCCTCAATTGGCTGCTGCTAGATCCAAGATCTCTAAAACCATCGGAAATTGGCTAGCTAATAACTAATTTGTTTTACCTTTGACGTAGTTTCTTATGTAAATAACTACAATGATTACTACTGGTCCTTTTTCGTAACCGATATCCAAAAAGACTGCACGATCTGAAAAATACGGTAAGATATGGTCTAGCGGTAAATCGGTTACACGGCAGTCCAACAATGACATGAAAATGTAATTGTACAAAGATTGCAGGACACTAGTCATAGACATGCTCATACAAACTCAATAAATTTGTTCCGTTAAAAAACTGATATATTTCAATTTTTGTGGCTTATGAACACAGAAAGCGCATGCGCGAAATGTTACTTCCGTTTCTATGGAAATATTGCATTGTAAAAAGGTATATGAAATTTCAATGAAAAGAAGGTAAACAAATCCATTAACAACAGTAATATTTTAAAACTTTTACACAAAGATCTTGCATGTACATATTGATCATTTGTCATTATTCATAACGTACATTAATATATATACGACGCTATAAAATATTCGTGTATATTTCCATCCCAAGATAAACGAGAACAAAATTTAATGTCAATATAAATATGTATAGTGATGCTTATATTTAATTGTTAACTTAATATTACTTTATATTTATTAAATGCTTTGACTTTTTCACGTAAAATATATTTAAAAATTAATTTAATCAATCATTTTTCAAAGGCTTGATGATGACGAAACCTCACTATTCTTAATATCTTTTCGCACGATGCAATTATTTGATTATATATGAGAAAATAATTTGTTTCATAAAGAGAATATTTATAAATAATGTAAGTTGATTCGTTTGTAAAACTGCTTGTTTTATAGTTGGACACCAAATAAAATATCAGAGAGAAAAAATGTTTCTCGGTAGTATTTTAGAATAAATTTAAAGAGCTATAGAAAGATAATAGATCGGATTATAAGTGATGTTAACATAAAAAATCATTACAACTGTTATTAAACTGAAGGATCAATTTGTCTTATTTTGGTTTTATACTTTTACAAATACATTTTTTGTTTGTTATTTTTTAATTTGTTATGTCAGTAAAGGCTTGTCATCTATGTTATTAGTGATTATTTTGTATTTTATTCACTCACAAAGTGGAATCGACTTGGGAAATCAGCTTTGAATGATTATGTCATATGGCGCCAAAAGTAAATTAAGTGGAGCTGAAAGTCTGCACAACTTATGTATTAATACTGATTGTTAGATTGAATATACAATATCACATATATCAAATATCACATACAGTGTAGTTTAAAATGTGTAGTTAATGATAATATTTTAAATCAATATGAAAACTTATCGTGAAAAACATGCAAACAAATGTAAAAAGTAGAGCTCAAAACAAAACAAAAAATAAACCCAACATAGTTCATAATCATTGATTAAACTTTTCATCATGTATTCTGAGTTTTTTTTTTAATATATATGTCCCTAGTATGCTTTAAATAGATACATGTACATGTACATATTAATTAAAGCAGTTGCATACGAAGTAAGTTACATTGTATAACTAAAGATAATAACGAAATTTCGTTGTATGGATACAACGAATTTCCGATATCACGATGCATATTTTTGTATCCATTGATTCGTTATAAGCATGTTTCATTGTTCATTATCACTTATGAATAGACTCAATCAAATCAAGTCGTCAAATTTCATATTTATGAGGTTGCCTTGCTTCCGAGGAATATACTATCTTCCAGACTTTTTATCTATAACAAATGAATTTACATCATAACTTTGATTGAATCATTGTGGTATAGTGTACGATTCATTGCACAGACGTGCAGTTACAGTTCGAACCGACAGGTGCCTAAACAACAAATTACTTACAGTCAAAACAATAATGGACAAAACATTAGTATATTATCATGCTCGTATAAGAGGATGATATTTTATTACACTGGAGCGAAAAATAATTTTTTAACTGACATCATATCTTATTGCGTTCGACATATCTATGTTTCCTATTCAGTAATACAAATTCATCAAATAGTATTGAATATAATATGACATGTAATAGAAAAGTTTAAATACTAGCGCAGGACATAACGTACGTTGATATACGTTTATAAATCAGTTTCTTCCTATTCAAAAACAACTAATGAGAAAGGAATGCATAAAGAAAGTATGCATATCTTTGTTTAACGTTGTTTTGATAAACTATGTTTTCAAAAACAAGAACACTTGTCCTTATTTTACATCACAAGACCAATTCATATTATTTGATAAAATTATCTTTAATATAAACACAAAATAAAGATAACAGCATGAACAATTATAACGTATCTTTTGTATATATATACAGCTAAATCCATTTAAATGACACAAAACCAATTTTAAAATAGTAATATCTTATGGAAATATTGTTTGTGTGTATCATTTACTTTCGCGGAAATTAAAAAATGGAGAACGGAAGAAGGGAAAACTGGCTTATTTTCCTTGTGATATTAACTGTACAGTGTCACACCATTGGTGCATGGATGTTTAATGGTCGGCCAGAAGGGGGTAAAGTTGGGGCTCCATATGTACCGAAAGGAGTTCAACTCCCGGATCAGCAATTCTACGAATTTCAGAAGGTCAACCATTTTGACGGAAGCGACTTTAGATACTGGAAACAAGTAATTATTTTTATAAGTTTCAAATGTTTTAGAAACATAGAGGATATTAAAGTTTCTTCTATAAATCACGAGTGAAGTATGATAATTTTCATTAAATAAAATTGAAAATAAATCCTGTATTTAAAGGGAAACTTGATTGTCTGTTATTATGCACTATTTCTCTTCCTTTTTGACATTAAAATTTGAAAGACTTCCCCTTAAATTTTGTGTATTGGCTGAATTTAGAAGAAAGAAGTCCGGCAAGACACCAGTGAAAATACGGAAAATATGTTTCACTGCAGTGAAAAATAAATTTTACAGTGGAAATACGGAATGAAAAAAAAAACAAACATTTTATTTCATCAATATTTCTAAATATTTCATTGGTATATATAGTAAACAGTTTAATGGCCTTTTTTAGCACTTTAATATTCACTGTTACTATATGGCGACATCATGTTCCTTGTCAAACAGATAAATAAATGTGTTTTTTCTATATTTTCAGCGTTATTTTGTTAACAATGTCACATTTAGAGCAGGAGGGCCTATTTTTATAATGTTAGGTGGAGAATCGGAGGCAAATCCCGCGTGGCTAGTCGATGGCGCATGGCAACAATATGCACGTGATCATGGCGCGTTCCTTGTTCTTTTAGAACACCGATACTACGGTGAAAGCCATCCTGTTCCGTAAGATTTTATAAAACTAAAAGTGTTTTACCTAAACAGTTTTGGTCGTATATAGTTAAATTATGTTCAACACAATCATATACACGTGTTACAAAAGAAGACGCGTCATAATTTAAAACAAACATCTAAACTTTTATAGTGCATATATAGTATGAGAGATATTTAAGGACAAGAAACTGGAACTAGTGAAGTCATCAAAACGACTAAAAGGTATAACTGTGCAGTTCTTAAGGATTGAGCTTCTTCATGGCCAGTAGTGATTAAAATTTGAAAGGTCATATTTCTAGATATTTATGAGCAATATAGTTACTTTTTCGCTATTTTCCGGGAGGGGGTAGGTGGGGTCTGGCTTTTCCATTTTATTTTAATACAAACTACAATTATGTTTGACTTGTATATTTTAGGGACTTGAGCACCCCGAACTTGCAGTACCTTAGTTCGAAACAGGCTCTAGCGGATATTGCACAATTCGTCACCTACTTCAAGAAACTATACATATATCAATATCTACAAAACAGTAGTGTTATATTGTTCGGAGGATCTTATGCTGGTAGGCGAATGTTATTGTTTCAAATGTTGTAATGCAAGGACTGTCGCCAGGGAAACTCCTCTTAATAAACATGTATCATGAAAAGCTGAAAAATAAAAATAGTAATTAGTTTAAATAAATAACAAAGATTACATGTAATTAACTAGCATCGTAATTCTAATTAATGTAAAATTAATGGAAACACATTTAGTGTTATATTACCTTCATATTGCAGGTTCATTGGCAGCTTGGGCTAGATCCCGCTACCCGTACCTAATTGACGGAGCAGTTGCATCTAGTGCCCCCATGGTGGCTATGATGGAATTTCAAGGTATATTTAATAACTATTTATACAAGAATATAGACATAAACTTTTGTTTGAAAACTTGTGTGTGTGAAGTCCGATAAAATGTCAGAAATCAATATTGTTTCTCTGCGAAGGATTTCGTTTTCTTTCAGATTATTATGTCGGGGTTGGCGAGGCACTTGATAACTACAACACTGACTGTTCTACAGAGATTAGAAATGCCACTACACGTATGTATGACTGGTGGGGACAGCCGGACAAGAGGGTATTAATGCAGAAAATATTTAGGTTCGAATTCAGACTTCGATCGGCCTCTTTAAAAAATAATTCATTTTTTTTTTCCACTTGCATTGTATTTTACTTTTTTAAATGTTTTTTTTTATGTGATTGACTGATTGGTCTAAAAAATTATCAAAATAAATTATATTTATTACCTAAACAACATTTTTGATATAAAAGTTAAATAAATATGTTAATAATTTATATAATAATGGCTATACTTTCAGGCTTTGTGATAAAATCGACCATAACGCTTTACTTGACCTGTCCGTGTTCTTCAACAATTTGGCCTCAAATTTTGCCGGGGTTGTGCAATATAACAATGATAATAGAGAGTTTTTGGTATGTCAAAATTTTAATATTATTCATTCCCAGGTTTCGACTGTCACTTAAGCTGAAGATCGGATTTTAAATATGAAATTCCAGAAATAATCGAAAATATTTAAATTTTAAAAAGTTAAAAATGTTATGCATTTTATGTAATGTAGGGTAAACAGGGGACTGATCTGACGATTAAAACAGTTTGTGACATCATGACTGACGAAAGTAGAGGCGACAATATACAGCGTTATGCTGACGTCAACTCACTCATTCTTGACACGTTTGGCAAGGAGTGTTTGAACCTTAGATACAATAAACTAGCGAACTCCCTCAACCATACAGAGTGGGGAAGTGTTTCGGCAAAAGGAAGTGAGTGAAAATCTATTTTTACTTTTGTCGATTACATGACTACAGAAGAATCATTATTAATCAGCCAATACCTTGAAAACAGAATTATTCTCTGTAGGTTATTCATATAAAAGTACAAGAAATTACAAAGGTATAACGTTTTCAATAAAAACTATTCATTAGGGAGGTCGTGTAATTCATTTCCATTGCGTCTTTAAACATAAGAATTGTACATCAGATGTCGTTGATCTCAAATGTTGTCGTTTTTAAGTAAAAATCGTTTGTTCTGTTGAAGTATTTGATCATTTTCACCTTTATAGGCAATGAACTTAGTGCTCTCTCATTTTGACAGATCGACAATGGCTTTATCAAACATGCTCGGAGTTTGGGTGGATTCAGAGTTCATATTCGTTTAAACAACCCTTTGGAATTTTAGAATGGAAGTAAGCAATTTCAAGTTACCATTTGAATGCATGGTCATAACAATAACATAGAAAAGATCTAAAATACAACGTTGACTGTACAAAGTCCAGCCAACTCCTGATTGATGGGCCATTGTTAACAAGGGGCATGCATTTGATCTAGGTTTATTTTTATCTTTAATCATTTTTAGGCAGGCAGTGGCTTTATCAAACTTGCTCTGAGTTTGGATGGATACAGAGCTCTTGGTCACCGAAACAGCCTTTTAGTCAATGGTTTCTGTTCCCGTTTAAGTAAGGGATACTTTCTATTTTGTATTTAACTAGAATTATGAATATAAAGTAGGTTCAAAATGTATCTACAGATAAAAGTTTTCCTCAACGACTAAATTTAGAAAGAAAGAAAGAAAGTAATGCAATTGAAATCAATCATTTTTGGGTCTGCGCTTGCTTGAAACGTTCCAGCGTTCTGACTTATCAGTACCAGTTAGTATTATTAGAGAAAAGATGGTCATGACCCTTTACCCTTGTATAATTATGGCATGATCCGGATTGATCCCTGTTTTCAGAGTCAGACACACTCATGACCAGGCCCTGTCTTCACTAATGAAATATCTGGATCAGAACCAAATGATCATGATGGTTTTTTTCATTCCTTTAAAAAAATCAAATTTATCGGCCAGGTTATTGCTTACCGCACATTCTATGTGATTTCTAAGCAAGGAAAACGATTGATTTTGTTATTATTTCTGTACTTATTCAATCACAAAAAATAATGTTTCTTAAAAATTCCCTTAGACATCATCAATATAATTATGCATATTTGATTGATAACATGTACATGTGGTTTTAAAATATACTGTATAGGTCAGGTTGTTTATTTTATTATTGCTACGTTAAAGCCATGTGTATACTATTATCGTTTGTACATGTTTCCTAACGAAAACGAATTCAACTTCCGTAATTGAATTCGAACCGGCAGTGGTGTGTGGAAGTTTTAGTAATTGTGTTCTAAATATTATTAATCTTATGGCAATAGAAATGTTTTTTTTAAATGATAGTTATACAACGGATCAATGTGATTCAGTGTTTGTTCCGCCAAGATATGGATGGTCACAAGTTTCGGATAATTCTGATGAAACAAATCGATTCTATGGCGGCTTAAACGTGCAGTTATCGAAAGCGATATTTGTAAATGGAATTGTTGATCCATGGAAGAGTGTCAGCATTCTAGAAAAGACGCCATCTTCTAGACACATAGAAATCATTCTCATTGACGGTAATTTGCAGAAATTAAGATAATGTTGTACCTTACATATGTTTGTCTTGCTCTTACATTTTGAAATTACCTTCAATCAGAATGATTTATCTGGGTCCATTCCGTAACTGTCCAATGAATTCCTTCCTCTTTTCAACTTGCTGAAGTGTCCATTTCATCAACCTTTACATCTAAACATCACAGGTGTAAAACTCAATAAATCATGAGCAAAAAATTCAGATTCGTCATCCCTTTTATTCCAGTTATACCACCGATCAGTGTATTAGTGTTTTCCCGCCATTTATATTTGGCGGAAGTGAGGTTATCGATAACAGTGAGCAAACGAATAGATTTTATGGCGGCCTCAGTCTACCAATATCGAAAGCTGTGTTTGTAAATGGAATGATGGACCCTTGGAAAAATGCTGGTTTAACTTGGCCTGGTCCGTATTCAGACGTTATTGAAATCATTCTGATTGAGGGTAAGGTTATCATATCCTAAATTGTTTACGACTGTTGTAAAAGAATTTCGGGCGGTGAAAATAGTTACAAAAGGGCGGTTCATTTATATAACATAATGATTTTGGGTTTTTAGCAAAGTATTTTTATTACCGTGTCACTTTGTGAAGACTAAGTACCACGTACTATGTTATAATAAAAAGATTATAAGATTATTATTGCTTGTTATGTGTCTATGTTTATGTTTATTGAAGGCCTTTTTGACAATAAGATTTTGTAATTAAATGTGTTATTTTTTATGTATTTTCTTAATTAATAAGCTACCTTCGTTAAATAAAGAGTTTATTATTATTATAATTATATTATTATCATCATCATCATCATCATCATCATCATCATCATTATTATTATTATTTTTATTATTATTATTATTATTATTATTATTATTATTATTATTAAATACATTGAATTATTATTATCATTATAACAATTATGTTAGAAATCAACATTACAATATTATATCCACATGTATAAATGATTATTTTAATACTGTTGATAATTTCTTTTTTCAGGGACTGCGCACTGTGCTGACATGTATCCACCTTCCTCCAAAGACCCGCCTCAATTGGCAGCTGCTAGATCCAAGATCTCAAAAACCATCGGATCTTGGCTAGCTAATAACTAATTCAAATTTATTTTATATTAATTCAACTTTCATATTTTTAAATATATATATATTCGAACAAAATATTCACTTCGTGTAATAAAGGAAGGCGAATAACTCAGTTGTTTTGTAAGTGCCGAGAAAAAACATTTTACAGAACAGAATATGCACCTTTGAACTAGAATTCTTGTTACTTAAAGCATTTAATTGCATAAAATAATTAGCATAACATTTTTCTAACATGCAATTCTTACAATCCTTACTTAACAATGGATGATGCTGAAATGCAAGACAATATTATACAATGTACACATTTTTTGTTTGTTTTGTTTTGTAAATAAAATTTACTGGAAACTAAAATTATTTTGACAATAACATAAAAAGGAAAAAACTATTTTACAGACCATGTTCCGCTACACTTTAATTAACATCAAGCATTTGTGTTACATTAACACATTAATTGTACAAAAGATAGAAAATAAAAATAAAAAATACACCTGTCTTTATTATCTTATTTATATCTCTTGCTGACGATTCGTTTTACGTAAATATACATATATTTTGTATCAAACAATAGAATCAACATAATTTGTCTTGAAGGCACGTTATGCCTCAGAAATCCATATTATTTATTTATTTATTTATTTATTTATTTATTTATTTACTTACTTATTTATGTATTTAATAATGTCAAGCATATGTGTTTTAATAATGGATTCAGAGCATGTTAGATGTTTAACAATTGACGGAAATAGCGCTTAACATGCAGTAATGTGTCATAAAGGTAGCAAAATGAAAACAAAGAAGTATTTTGACTTGCATACAAAATAACATTCCACTATATAATTATATCAATTATATCAATTGCTAATATAGCAAAGTTCTTCTATCTGGCAAATGATTAGCGTTTTGGAAATTGTTTGAAAAAGAAAAGTTTTTGAAAAATAAAAATGAAACCATATCTAAGGCATAAGGACCTTTAATCTTTCGATCCACCGTCTTTTGCCGTGATAAGGCTATCAATAATTGTTTTTGGCCGTTTCATGGTAAGTTCGTAGAATGCATAGTACTTATAAAACTTGGAAACAATTATCCCAACCGGTAATGCAAGGACTATTACACCACACACTGCGCATGCTCCAGCAATCACGTGACCCGCAGCAGTTACAGGAACATAATCGCCGTATCCAACTGTTGTCATAGTTATCAATGCCCAATAAACTGTCACAAAGGCGTTTGTAATTGTTGCATTTTGTGTAAATTCAGCAGCAAACATGACATATCCAAATACGCACACAAGCATTGCCAATAGAAATACAAGCATTTTTAGTTCCTGCTTAGATGCCTCGAAAGTTAAACGTAAGATACGGAAAACCGGAACGCTTCTTGTTAGATAAAACAGACGAGCATATCGGAATATTGACAAATAATTGAAAATGAAACATGCTATAACGGCGTACATGGAATCCAAATCTACAAGATTTAAACTGATACTTAACGAAATCCAATAGAATAGGTAGCCAAAGAAAGCAATATGCCGAAACACACAACTCTTGAACACTGTTTTGTCTTCACAGATTATGAAACTCACGACAAGCTCTGACGTCAGAATCACATGTAAAACCACGTTTGTTATTAGCAGTTCATTACAGGGCTTCATGTTGAGTATTCTGTCAAGGGTGATGTTCTTCATATGCACCGTATCAGCAAACTTTGAAAAAAGTCTTGACTGAGAATCGGATACATGCTCTCGGAACATCTCGATTGTAGATACGAAATCGACGAGAATCGATGTGATTATCACACATGATATAAATATACTCCACACCTATAAATGTTAAATACAAATTATAGATGGAATATAAAAAACAAATGAACAATTTACGTCAATATCTATCCATTAAATTTATGTCAAGGGAAAATGCCTAAGATAGCCATGTAAGCTTGTTAGTCAGAATAAGTTAATTTTAAAATACATGTAATCATTGTAAATATTATTTATACTGTTGTAATGTCCATTTACCTAGATGTAAATATATATGTGTCTTTCATTATAACATACCAAATAATGTAATCGTATTTAAACTTTAACATATACAAAATTATGTAATCATATTTTAACAGGATTATTAAAAACTTTTAAGTAGTTCTGAAAGAAAAATCTCTTACCAATGCAAGTTTCGATGATCCTGGTTCATCAAAGAACAGCCAAAGTTTTGCCCTCAATGTCAACTTCTCTTCTTGCATAAGAAGCATGTTCGGGTTCTGTTGTATCCTCTGAATAAGGGTGTCCATAGTTTGTTTATCATCCTCACTCCTATATAAAGCCTCCCAGCAACACGAAGCAACGTGACGCGGAGAAACATCCCAAAATTCCAGTTCCGCTTTGAAAGTAGTACCGCAGATCTCCTTTGGTAAGTGAATTGCGCCTTTACGGTACGAATCGAGAATGTATGAAAAAAGATTCGGATCTCGATCGAAAAAGTATTCTTCCTCTTTGAAATCAAACGCGCCTTTTTTATTATCGTTTAGACGTGCCAATTTAGAGTCTGGAAAAGTCTTCAATGTTTCCGCGTAACATTTAAAAATAGTTCCACCAATATTTAACTTTACTAATGCACTGCTCTCCAAAGATTTTCTTTGCGCCATATCACTTGACTAGAAAGAGAATTTCCGGCAACAAAATCGAGCTAGTCTCGGTTAGACTTATGCTGAAATTCTGTACCATACAGAACAACTGACGAAGATAAAAATATCATGTAAGCAAGCAGCTCACTGGCATTTTATCAATTAGTAAATGACATTTAAATATCACCGGATATGGAAAGCTGTCAAGTATCGAACCTTACAGGAGATCAGAGAAAACAATAAATTATTCAGATTGTTACATAACCCAATGGGATTACATTATCCATTGATGGTCATTTCCTAAATATTACATGTCTAAACGTTTAATGAGATGATATAATGACTCAAAAAATGTCTAAATATTTCTGGAATTCTGATTGACCGATATGTTGGGCCAACCATAACCCTCGATTGTACTTCATTTTTTACAACTAACATACGGGTACTTTCAAAAATGTTATGAGTCTATGATAATTATATAATCAATCCTGTAATCTTTTCTTAGAAATATTTATCTTCGTATGTATGATGGCGGCATTCATACATGCTTGTCACTCATTACCTCATGAAATGAATACAATATAGCTGGATGTTGGTTGATTTTATGCAATAGATAGTTATTACATTATTGTATTAGATTAGTTTCCATATTAAAGTGATTTTTTTACTAAAAACTGGAACATTACATCATGTCCCTGCTAACCTTTTATATTCACCTATTAAAATATGACTAAATAACTTGTTTATGGTAAATTTTTCTGCAATATTGCTTAAAGAACACCAATATCCATTAGTGTTTGACTTCTTATCGTTTTATTTACTTATTTAATGTCACTGCTAAAAAAGTGATTGTTAATAAATTGATGTGTAATGTTCAAAGTCCACGGTAATTTTCTTGTCTGTGACATCGCATTCCTTAAAATAAAATTGCAGTTATTTCTAAATTGTTTGCGCAACGTAGGAAGAAAAATATATATAATAAAAATGTTTCAATTGTACCGATAAGCGATATCATCAGGCCTATCATGATCATATGCACCTCAGGTAATCCATACAAATATTAACTTTACTATGTACTGATAAATGATATATTGAGATTTCTTACACGACCTGCATTTTCCCTATTAAACATAGAAGAACCGAAAGTGTGTGTTATTGGCGTCGACGCCCCTTATGGAATGAGAAAGGGCAATTGCAACTTCTCGGGCGTTTTCGTCTGTCAAAATAGCCGATCATTCCGATTGGTATGAGGAAACATGAAATGTTGCGATATGCATAATGAATAGCGAACTGGAGAATTTCGCAATGCAAACATATTCAAATGAAATTATCTTATCCCTCAATTAATCGCGATCTTCGGGTTTTTTTATTAATCATGTGGGTTATTATGTATGTTACTGCTGTACCTATAAATAGAATGATGACCTTAACATTGTGAAAGTCCGAAAATCTATTTATAGAAGTAGTTCTAGTTTAACTAAGCGGTCATTCCTGTTGCGCTATGACTGGAGAATTTTGCAGAAACATATTCAAACAATTAATGCACTCTATAAATATACATGTATAGTAAAAAATTAAGTAGGCCATTTTTACGAATTGTTGTATCATAGAAATTGTTTTTTCCGTAGGTCTCTCTGGTTTTCTTTTTTACGGCCCTGGTTGCACCGTGAATATTTAAATAGACCTAGTTCATAACTTTAAATGTTTTATTTTGGTTAACAGGTCTAGCAGTAGTACACTATAAAACCTATTCGCTGTGCAAGTCTCTTTAGGTTACTGTGTAGGGTAGTATGAGTGGAATATTCATTTTGTGACATTTTAACAACAGAAACTTTCGTCTGCAATTTTAAACATGAGTTGTTATGGGTTTATTGATAGGAATGTAAACACTCAGGTGGGTCAAAGAACAGGTTTTTGAAGTAATTCATTAAAATAGTAGATTGACCTCCCAATTAATCAATTAACAGACTTTGTTCATTTTGACTTCTATTTTTTATGTTTCAAAGAAAATACCACATGAACTTGAAATTCTAACAAATAACCAATATTAATGATAATATCCAAAAATACCTTCTTTATGATATAAATAAACTTACACCATACAGGAGGGTATACTTTGGATATTATAGACCTGTATATTTTGGATATTATCGTTAATATTGGTAGAATTTCAAGTTCCTGTGGAGAAAAAAAACATTCAATATTCTTATCTCTAGCATGACTACCAAAGTTCATGATGAACATTGTCTTTTGTCTGCCCATAAATGATATACAATTCTGGTAAAAACCAATTCACCATTGAAAAGTTTATAAGAATATTGGTCATCAGATGTCTACTAGTTCGTTTTCACTTGCTGCATTTCTTGCTTGGACGCCCTTTGATGCTTTGCACCAATGCTTTTCTTGTTATGCTATAAAATCAATGGGATTTAACTCATTACAGGATTAGAGCAGTACCTTTAGATAATTTAATTCATGATCACAAAATAGACAAATATCGTTTTTTCTCCGATTATTATATTTTTCATGCATTAACATACGAAAATCGGTGTGAAAAGATGAATAAGGCCTTTTAAAGTTCATTCTGTTGGGTAAAAAGGCAAGATTTTAGCATTTTATCATTCATGCATCTTGTCCGGTATTTACCGGAATACGGTATTAAGTGTGGTTCTCCGCGCACCGGTTTAAGCTACGGCCCGAACTCCTCACCGCCAACCCAATTGCTACTTTAATCTAATCCTGTAAGGAGAGATCACTGCGTAGGAGATTTTAGTCTCACTCCAATCAATGTTTGACGTTCTATATTTAGACATGTGACGTAATCATTATACACGTGACGTAACCACGAAAATGTGACGCGCTGAAGTACGGAAACAAATCAGGAGCAATTATATCAAGTACGGCAGCGAAATAATATATCCAAATCGGTGATTTTATTGCTTAATAAAATCACCGTTTGTCGTTCGGACGCGCATCATTATATCACTCGGGCTACGCCCTCGTGATATAATTCCCCGCATCCGAGCTCCAAAGAGTGATGTTATTGAGCAATAAAATCACAGTTTGTACAATATTTCGTAAATATTGATGAAATAAAAATGCGTTTTTTTTTATTTTTACTGCAATGAAACTTATATTCCGGATTTTCACTTGTGTCTTGCCGGACTACTTTCTTCTAAATTCAGCCAAAGCACAATGTTTTAGGGGAAGTCTTTCAAATTGCAATATCCGCAAAAAAATGAAAATTGAATATCCTGTATAAATATCAGTTTGTCATTTGACATACATTTAATTTTTGCCTTAATTGTTTTGTATAAGATTGATATTTAGAATCTGTAGCAGAGAAACGAATCTGTTGTCCTTTTTTTTTAATTCATATTTTGGAAACAGTTATGGGTTATAGATACAGATTTAAGTACAACATAAGATGTAATACATCTGGTACAAAAGTCCATCAAGCCGTGGTACAGTGTTCAACAGTCATCTTTACATTCGATCTGCATTTTAGAAACACACAGTTTCTAGTGAATTAAATGAATCTTTGTCAAAATAACTAGTGAATGACTCCACAAACTACATATTAATTTGTTATAGTTAATGTTTATTGTGAGTGGGAACTGTGACTATATCTGAGACTTATATGCATTGTTTTCCGATGTTCAATAAGCAATTCAAGTGGACTCTTAATTATCTAAAGTGCTTAATTAATGTTTAGTAATACGTGTTGAAGAAGAAAAAACGGATGATCAGATATTGTCATTGTTAAGAACGGCTAAAGAAGGCATTGTTTATATTTTTTGGGTGATGTTTTGATTGACATAAGTCTACTTATAAATATCACAGGAGAAACTGTTTGACTTTTTCAAATATGCGGCTTAGTATTGCTACATTGTACATGTGAACTTTAAGCTACATTATGTACATATATGTATTTTAAACATATTGTTCACAACTCGCAACCTAAATTTACTTTTTACTCAATTTACTCAATCACTTATTACGTATACTTATATACACACATATATTTATTTATGCTTAGGATATCATTAGCTTACATATAATAATATTCCATAGAAAAATTGCACAATATTTAAAAATTACTTCTAGAAGGGATAGTATCATATACGCCGTACCATTAATAGATGTCATTGAGAACTATTATCCCAAGTATTAATTAGTTATTCAACCCTATAATAAATGAAAGTATCCTTTTTTCGATTCTTTATATGAGTGATGAACTAAGACATGCAAGGTAGAAATTACATGTAGTTCATATGCTGAAAAGTGCACACCAAATTAGGATACTTATCTATATAAGAACAATGTTATACAAGTCGTGGCAAGGGGTGCTGAAGTGATTTTTTTTCCTTTTATGATATATTGTGATGAGTATCTTAAAGGATGTGTTTCCTGAATATTATACATCTGTCTTTTGACTGACGGAAGACAGCAATTAAAATGACGAAAAATACTTAACTCCGTTTGAGGACGTGTTGTGACAGATTTTTTAGCGGGTCACGCGCAATAATTACGACAGGCTTCTTTTTACGCACAAAAAATGGGATGAAGATGGCCAGCAAAGATGTGCGAATAACAGAGAGTTTACGTGTTAAAATCGGTATTTTACTTTTCTCATATTTAGAAATTTCATAAGTTCTTTGTTATCGTAGAAATTTATTATTGCCAGTCAACGGTATGACAGATGTGAACAATTTTATTAAATACCGCACCAGTGCTCGGGTAGATATATTTTCGGATAGCTAAAACTTTGATTAATTCACATGTAAATCTGTTCGTCTGCTTTAAAAGTATGTTTTATTTTTAAAAGTTCAGAATAGAATTGTACAAAAAGTGTGAATACATGATTGAACATAATTTTATATTGCCTTCTTTCTAAAATATTTGGAAAAAAAGAGAGAAAAAACCCAGCATTTTGTTACTTTTATTAATGTGCAGGGAAATACGTGGATTAAGAAGTGAAGGTTTTTCATATACATAATATTATAATTATAAAATGATCTGACATTCTTACAGTGAAGATCACATTATATACACTGGCTCACTCATCCTAAATATATGATATATCATATGACGTCGCTTTGAGATACAATGTATTTTTGTTTTTGGGCAAAGCAACATCATATCGAAGTTGCTCAAAAACCCATAGCATGTTCCGCTAGAAAATCTTGTGGAACTAAAAAAACAATTTAGACAAAATATATTTACATTACTTTTGACCTATTTATGAAAAATAAACACCTTTTAACAAAATAATTAAACTGTCACATCCATAAAATCACGATTAAATCCTCTTATTTAATTATATTCCTTATACAGCCAATAAACAAATGGCCATCACACAGTGCGCAAAATCTCATTGGCTTATTCAAATGCAGGCGTTTGAATGAGTCAAAAGTTTCAAACGAAATATTTTTAACTTTTTAACGAATTATTTGCCCATGCACCAACAGGGAGTACAAATATATATAATTTTTTCCATTCAAAAATTTGGAACCACTCTGTAAAGCTCTTTACTTAACCAGTTTGGACGTTGCTATGCTTTTAAGTGCAATAGATATTAGCCGTCGAGCTTGACAGACATCAACTACAAGAGCCTGTAACGTCTGATATATTGGACTTCACTTGTCTATGTTTGAAGATTATGCTTTTGAAAGTGTTAAGTGTTATTTTACCAGCATGTTTGGTTATATTTACTTCATTCAATTTACATTACCATATAATATTGTGTTTATCCTGTCATCAACTTATATAACTTGTAATGTTTTGAAATTTTCATATGTTTCATTGAATTTTATGTTCCTTTTTAATATGAACTTGTAATCTGTAGCAGGGCTAGCCAAAGCCCATCGTTCTTAGTCTTTAGCTTAATATGGCCTTGAAAACTTTTACAGATGTAGCATAAAATTAATTATGCATATGTATAGAATATCATCTTTGCTTTAAATCTTTTGTTCTTCCACAATCTGTTGAAATTTTTTTATATTTAGAGGTGACAGAGGTTATTGACTTGTTTTCAACTATATAAGTTATAATGGTTGATAAATGGCTAGAGTTATTGTAAAGCTACAAATTTAAGTGACATTAATCAATAATGTTTTAATGTAGGTTAAACCCCTGTGTTAAAGGTCCTGCTTAGCTGGGAGAGTCAGATTGAAAAAGTCCTCGAAAAAACTTTTAGAAGTGTTCAATTTATAACCAGCATTGTAACCAGCATTGATCAGTCAAAAAATAATTTTCAGTAAATTTATGTTAATTGCATAGAAATAGATCTATTTTGTGTGTGCTCTATGCTCATTTAACCACATATTTTTTTTATTTTAAATTATCTTTAAGTTCATTACAATTAGTAGCTTTATTAAATTAATTTAGTAAGGAAATTGATTTCTTTATTTGATTTAAGGAGAAGCAAAGAATCTTCCTGGTGGAAATGGATCAGCAAAGAACACATTCTGTACATTATCCTTAGACAGAGAAGAAATATACAGGACTGCTGTGGTGGAAAAATGTTCAAAGTAACAGAAATATATATATTTATTGTCAGGGCCATCAGTCATTTCATGATTTTTGTTCCAACTTGGGACATATATCATGTTACTGAGGCCTTTTTCCTTTTATACTAGAATATATTCTAGGGCATTTACAGTTGTTCTCCCACAGAAAAATGTTTTTAAAATCATGCAGTTTTCCTCAAAAATTGAATTAACATCAAGTTTTTTTGTCCCTGTTTTGAAAAAAAAACCATGTTATTTCCCCCCAAATTTAAAGGATCTGTGAAAAAAAATCTTGTGATAAACAGTAAGAATAGAATTTTAAGGAGTAAGTAATTTTAAAACTGAAGATTTCCTTTTAATTTATTGAAGTTTGATAATTTAAAGTATTCTATAGTTTTTGGTTTTTTTTTTCACTATAATATCAGCCAATCTGTGGTAAATACCTGTAACAAAAACAGTAATTAAAAAAAATCCAAAATTTTCTTAAAGCTTTTCCATTTTATGTTATGAATGAATTAATTAATTAATGGACACTTAAATATTATTTTATATTACTGGGAGATGTGTTTTGTTTTACAGCCCTTTTTACGGGGAAGAGTTTCATGGTGAAATACCAAGACAATTCAGATATTTGTCATGTTACGTATATGAAAAGCCAGACAAGGTAATTTTATGCTTTTCATAATCATATGAATGTGTCTGTACATGTATATTGTTAATTATAACTAGATTGTTACATAAGTCATAAGTTTTCAAGTAACTTTTGAGCCTGTGATGTGAACCTATTATCCAGATCTTATAATACATAAGAAATCATGGATATAAAGAACTTCACATTGTTTTGTTGAGATACAGAAATCTTAATATTTACATTCATTCTTCCTTTCGGACAGTAAGTGGTTCTCCCAAGGTGCTGCCTTAATTTTCAAATACAGCATTTATGGGCACCTACATATGACCATAATTTTCTTAAAACTAACTAAAAGAACTATTGAATGTTAGTTAGTAATGTGGGGTTAGCTCAATAGGTAAAGCATTGGACTGTGAATCGGGTGAATTGAGTTTGATTCCTGGACAGTACAGGTCACTTTTGTTGTGATTGATCATGAAATCATTTCTACGGTCATTCGCACTGTACATCTGCTCTGGCATTTACATGAGTTTCAGTTCCTTGCAAAAGTGAAGGCAATTAGTACTGGTAAATTGCTTGACAGCCTGCCCAGGAATGATGCAGTGGCTGAACTGTGCTCTGGTAAATTTAATGTGGCTTACTGCCGTGATCTGGAGTGAAAACTACCAACACCAGCACTACTATTGAAATAAGTTAAAGTTATCCTTTATATTTCTTATGATAAATGATATTTGTCTAGAAATATACTTTTTAAATCATCAGGTAATTGGTAAAGTGTCATTACTGAAGAAGGAGTTACACAAGTATCATGGTAAAGAGCACTGGTTCCCAATACTGCCTCTTGAAGCTAATTCTGAAGTACAGGTTTGTGAAATTATTGAGTTGGTTTTCAATTAAAATCTTAGAAAAATCAGAGAAAATCTGGATTGTATTGTCACAGCAGTAGCGTATTTTAACATTCTAGAATAATTACTAGTTTTGAAAGCAGAACAGCATTTTGAGAATTATATAGATATTGTTCTACATTGTTTTGCAATGATTTAACATTTATATGCATTAAGTATAATCAATTAGTATCTTGAATGCTCTATGTTAATATTGATGTTGTTCTACATTGTTTATACAATTCTCCCATTACAGGGTAAAGTTCATCTTGAACTGAGATTTGAAGAGTGTTTAACATGTGACCCTGATCACAGTGTCTCACATAGACTTGCTGTAAGGTAATTATTTTTCTGTATCATTGATTTGTACATATTTTTGCCCGTAGTGCTATGTACAATACTTTTTTACAGGTATGTACAAATGTATATGTTTATTTATGGCAATCCATGTAGCATGGTGTTTGAGTGGTAATATATTATACCCAAGAATATATTAGCTCTGGCACAGATTTTGTATATTATATAAGCATATTTTTGCGGGACATGTCATGTGTTTTAAATGATGTCATTCCCACGCTCCTTGTGTGTCTGAATTGCGTCCCTTTTATGTCTGAATTGCGTCCCTTTTATGTCTGAATTGCGTCCCTAGAATGATGTCCTTCTACAGAGCCACGTTACCTCCATAAACAGTTACCCTCAAGTTAGATATTCCGGTCTGTACCGGTAGCCAGTGTAAAATCCTTATATTTGTTATCTTTCAAGTCTCATTATATAGACCCTGCAGTATCAAAACATGTTACAGAAATGTTGTTATATAACAGAGTATAGTTGTAATATTAATCTTTTCTTGTTTTCAATGTTAAGAATTGTGGAGTGCACAGACTTACCTGTCACAAATGGAGCTTGTAATCCATATGCCGTTGTCACGTTATGTTACGGTAAAATTCGATACAGAGAAGATGTGAAAAGAACAAATGTAAAGAAGAAAACAATATGTCCACAGTTTGAGGAGACTTTCTTTTTTGATGTGAGTAATTTAGTTTTTGCTCTGTATGAAAGAGTCTTTTATAATATCTTTGGCACACATTGGCTCATATCTGTAATTTTATGGATTAAATATTAGCTGTAGATTGAGTTTCCTGTAACAGTCTTCGCCTTAATTTTTTATCAGCACTAGCCCAGTTGGGCTAGCAGCTTACAAATTTCACTAGCCCGAACACATTTTAACTAGCCCGTACCAAAATGGTATTTTTTGCATACATTTTGTACAAAATAACACTTTCTATATGTTTTATATACCATTTAACATTATTAAAATATCAACTAATCAACTTTTCTTCCTTTCATTATTTAAATAAGAAGAGTTTAAACTACATATGAAAAGAAGATATTTTGATATTTCTGTGGCATTGTCCACAGACACTGAAAAAAATTGTTTAAAAACTGAAAATACTCTTCTCCTCGTTTACTGTAACCATGTCGGCTGATACATGCATTGACAACATATTTATATTCCTTTTAGTATTACTTTTTTTTTTGGTGTGTTTATTTTTGGCTTAGTGCCTTCAAAATACAAGAAAAAAGACATATTGTGAAGCATGAGATGACGCCTAATAAATGTCTAACAATCAATCATATTTCATAAGCGTTTTAAGTTCAATAAAGCTGCAAATAATTTTTAGGGCCAAGGTGGTTTACCCATCAAAATCTAGAGTAAAATGAAAATTCTGGGGTAAAATTTATAAAAAGAATTTGCATTGTTTTGTTATCAAATTTCATTGCCTTCTAAAAAGTTCCTTTCTTTACATAAATCAGACTGACTTATATAATAAAGTATTGATTCAATGTGAAATAATACAAAATTTGCTCAGTTAAGGCAGGCTTCCCTAGACTAGGGTTTGTTTAGGTTACACAGCAAATTAATGACAAGACTCATTTTTGTTGTTAGCTCGACTTTTTTTTTTTTGAAAAAAAAAGTAGAGGTATTGTTATAGTCAGGTCGGCGTTGCCGTCTCCGTTGCCGTTGCCGTTGCCGTCCGAAAACTTGTACCTGGATCATAACTTTTTTATTTCTTGGTGTATTGTCTTCATACTTGGCCACAACAACCCTTGGGACAAGACCTTTCAGTAGACCACACTAACCTTGACCTTCATCCATAAATGACCTTGACCTTCAAGGTTAAAAGTCCAATTTTTGCTTGTTCATGCTGTTATTGGCTGTTACTTTGTTATTTTTGAATGGATTGTCTTCAAACTTGAACATAATAATCTTCAAGGATATCCCTTAAAAATAACCAGTCAGACCTTGACATTCACTCATCAATGACCTTGACTTTGAAGGTCAAATTATTGAAATTTTCATTTTTTTGGCTATTATTGGCTGTAACTTTGTTATTTTTGAATGGATTGTCATCAAACTTGAACATAATAATCTTCAAAGATAACTGTTAAAAATATACCGAAAGACCTTGACCTTCACTCATTAATGACATTGCCTTTGAAGGTCAAATTATTGAAATTTTCATTGTTTTGGCAGTAACTGACTGTAACTTTGCTATTTTTGAAGGGATAAACTTCATATTATAACAGAACATTCTTAAGGACCAGACCTTGTTGTTTATCAAACCCAAATTTGCTAGGGCTCTTTAATGACCTTGACCTTGAAGGTTATATTACTGAATTTTCTCAGATTGTGCATTTATCGGTGTGTGTGTATGTATAGTATATGTATTATATATAAATATATATATAAATGTGTGTGTGTATATATATACATATATGCAGGTATATATATATATATATATATATATATATATATATATATATATATGCATGTATATATATATATATACATATATAGATATATATATATATATATATATCAAATATATATTATATATATATATATATATATATATACATATATATACATGTATATAATTGCGTCATGTTTTTCTATTTTTAGAAATTGCGTCATTTTTTCTATTTTTAGAAATTGCGTCATTGTTGCTATTTTTTAGAAATTGCGTCATTTTTTTTTCTATTTTTAGAAATTGCGTCATTGTTGCTATTTTTAGAAATTGCGTCATTTTTTTTCTATTTTTAGAAATTTCGTCATTTTTGTTCTATTTTTAGAAATTGCGTCATTGTTTCTATTTTTAGAAATTGCGTCATTGTTTCTATTTTTAGAAATTGCGTCATGTTTTTCTATTTTTAGAAATTGCGTCATTTTTTCTATTTTTAGAAATTGCGTCATGTTTTTCTATTTTTAGAAATTGCGTCATTGTTGCTATTTTTAGAATTTGCGTCATTTTTTCCTATTTTTAGAAATTGCGTCATTTTTTCTATTTTTAGAAATTGTGTCATTGTTGCTATTTTTAGAAATTGCGTCATTTTTGTTCTATTTTTAGAAATTGCGTCATTTTTTCTATTTTTAGAAATTGCGTCATTGTTGCTATTTTTAGTAATTGCGTCATTTTTTTCTATTTTTAGAAATTGCGTCATTGTTGCTATTTTTAGTAATTGCGTCATTTTTTCTATTTTTAGAAATTGCGTCATTTTTTTCTATTTTTAGAAATTGCGTCATTGTTGCTATTTTTAGTAATTGCGTCATTTTTTTCTATTTTTAGAAATTGCGTCATCTTTTTCTATTTTTAGAAATTGCGTCATTGTTGCTATTTTTAGTAATTGCGTCATTTTTTTCTATATTTAGAAATTGCGTCATTGTTTCTATTTTTAGAAATTGCGTCATTTTTTTTTCTATTTTTAGAAATTGCGTCATTGTTTCTATTTTTAGAAATTGCGTCATTTTTTTCTTTTTTTAGAAATTGCATCATTTTTTCTATTTTTAGAAATTGCGTCATTGTTGCTATTTTTAGAAATTGCGTCATTGTTGCTATTTTTAGAAATTGCGTACTGTTGCTATTTTTAGAAATATGCTTAATGTTTCTATTCATATATATACAAAATATATAAACAAAACTAATGTGACAAGACAGACCAACTAAATTTATAAAAAGGAAACATCAATATATGTTCAAACCTTTCTATGTTTGTGTTTAGAAAAAGTAAAAAGTCGAGCGTTGCCCCCGCCCGGCGGTGGCTCTTGTTGGTGACATGTTGTTGTTTGAATGTGTCACATTCTTTTACAATCAGCTACATGGTCAGCATGAGGCTTTATTCATACTCTATTTCTACAGACTACATTTTAGTGCCGTTCTTTGGTTTTGATTATTTATAATTGAAATTAGAATTAATGAAAAATAAATATAATAAAATTAAAACTTTTATACACAAAGAATTAGTCTTTGAGGAAATTGTCCGTAACTGTAAACTTGGTACGAAAATATTGAGTACAAAACTGCAGATGGCAAGGGAGAAATATGTTTTCCAATAACTAAAGTGGCAAGTACAACATTTTTCTTTATTTTGTAGCAAAAACATTATAATATATGTCTAAACAAATTGAATATTAGGTTAAGTCCTACGATGATTACACCAAATTTAACTTATCAATAATTTCATTTCAGAAACTCCCAAGAGTTACCTTCCCTTTTTACTCGATGTCACTTCCTGCTACTTTCGTTTTCAACTTACAGCAGTGTTGACAATAGTACTTTTAGTTTTCCATCCAATTCAGCAGAAATATATTGTATTTTCATAAAGCCAAAACATTGCTATATGGAGCTCTGCATATTTCGAACATTTTCTTAATTTGGATATGAAAAAAGCCCTCGACCAGACGGGCTACCAGCTTGGAATTTTCACTCGACCACCCGCAAATTTACTCGACTCGGTCGTCGGTCGAGTGGGTTAAGTCGAAGACTGCTGTAATTTACCATAATTAAAAAAGCCGTTTTAAACTGGCATGTAAACAATGCTTTTGGCATGGTCTTATTTTCAGCATACTGGTATGACCATATGAAGTCACATGGATTTGACCATTAAAAACACTGTCTCAAGTGGTTAAATAGCTTGTGTATGATAATGAAGTATTTAATATTATATTCATGATAATATACAACCTAAATGCTTGTTTAAGTGGCGGCGTGGCCGAGTGGTTGACACGTCAGACTAATAATCTAAGGGTTACTGACCGCATGGGTTCAAACCCTGTCAGGGGCAAGCCTTTGTTTCTTTGAACAAGAAACCGTATATTTTTTAGTACTGGTAGGTTCCAGGAACGGATTTGATAAACTTATAGCTTCCAACACAATTGAACTAAAATAAATTTGTATAAACTAAATGCATGTTTATTTGTATTTAAACAAGTATGTTCAGAAAAATATAAAGAAATTTATTGAACAGAGCTGTATAGAGTTGGACAACAATTGTCCCAAGGTCAAAGGTCATCTTCAATTTTTATCATCCATATATTCTTGTACAAAATTTATTTTCAAATTGTATTATAGATGGAGAACAAAGGACAGAATCATGATCGGCACAATTATTACATCGAGGACATATTTAGCGGAGATTTACGTGTGTCACTATGGCACGATGACTCGAGGGTGTCACGGGAAGTGCTGGGTGGAATGTTTCCAGGGGTGTATCTAGGCGAAGTTAAAATTCCCCTACGAGACCTTGACACATCTTCTGCTCAAAACTCTTGGTATGTTCATGCATGGTATTGAATGAAAGAAATTATCAAAATCATGACATGGACTTCATATGTTTGTTTGTTCCCGCTTTTCAGAGTGGCTTACTGCCGTGACCAGGAGTGTTAACCACCAACACCACCACTATCTCCCATCTTTCAGATAAATGGCGGGGGAAAATATTGATTTTAATCAAGATACTTATGTCAAGCTGTTGTATTATTGTATTGTTATGCCCCCACAATGTGGGAGCATATAGCGTTGCACTTGTCCGTCCGTCCGTACGTCCCGAAATCTTGTGAACGCAACTCCTCTTAAACCGGATGGCAGATTTTACTTAAACTTACAGGGATGAACAACCTTAATGTGTAGATGGTAGTAAAGGAAGGAATTTTCGCTGCGACCAAATTTAACAGAATTATGGCCCTTTGTTGATTTTTTCACTAGATACTATATAGAAATTTTGTGAACGCAACTCCTCTTTAACCAGTTGGCAGATTTTGCTTAAACTTACAGGGATTAACAACCTTAATGTGTAGATGGTAGTAAAGGAAGGAATTTTTGCTGCGACCAAATTTAACAGAATTATGGCCCTTTATTGATTTTTTCACTAGATACTATTATAGAAATTTTGTGAACGCAACTCCTCTTTAACCAGTTGGCAGATTTTGCTTAAACTTACAGGGATTAACAACCTTAATGTGTAGATGGTAGTTGAGGAAGGAATTTTCGCTTCGACCAAATTTTACAGAATTATGGCCCTTTGTTGATTTTTTCACTATATACTATGTAGAAATTTTGTGAACGCAACTCCTCTTAAACCAGATGGCAGATTTTGCTTAAACTTACAGGGATTAACAACCTTAATGTGTAGATGGTAGTAAAGGAAGGAATTTTTGCCGCGACCAAATTTAACAGAATTATGGCCCTTTGTTGATTTTTCACTAAATACTATATAGAAATTTTGTGAATGCAACTCCTCTTAAACCGGATGGCAGATTTTGCGTTAACTTCCAGGGATGAAGAACCTTAAGGTGTAGGTGGCAGTAAAGGAAGGAATTTTTGCTGCGACCAAATTTTACAGAATTATGGCCCTTTGTTGATTTTTTCACTAAATACTATGTAGAAATTTTGTGAACGCAACTCCTCTTAAACCGGATGGCAGATTTTGCTTAAACTTTCAGGGATGAACAACGGTAATGTGTAGATGGTAGTAAAGGAAGGAATTTTTGCTGCAACCAAATTTAACATAATTATGGCCCTTTGTTGATTTTTTCATTATATACTGTGTAGAAATTTTGTGAACGCAACTCCTCTTAAACCGGATGGCAGATTTTGCTTTAACTTACAGGGATTAACAACCTTAATGTGTAGATGGTAGTAAAGGAAGGAATTTTTGCTGCGACCAAATTTAACAGAATTATTGCCCTTTGTTGATTTTTAGTTTTCAACTTGTGGCACATGTAGTCCAAAAAATATTTGACCTAGAGTCATAAGATTGACAGAACAGTGGCGTGTGGGGGCATCCGTGTCCTATGGACACATTTCTAGTTTTTATTTACAGAAAGTAAAACTTGATGCAACTAAAATTTATTGATGTCATTACCTTTGTTATTTTGAGTTCCTGCAAGTTAACAGAATTTTATTTAGTTGTAGCTTTAAGTTTACTTTAAAGTCACAGTATATTTATCAAGGTAGAACTGACTATTTTGAATCAGTGTTTGTCTCCTTGTACATTATAGGTATTTTCTGAGGCCAAATCTGGATTTTAAACCTGCCTCGGAGGATTTTGGTTCCATCCGATTAAAGGTGTCGTACAATACAGAGCATGTATTCTCCTCACAGTATTATGATGACCTTAGAAATATACTTCTACAGTCCAGTGATATACAGGTACGACTTGCTGGTGATCATCAAAACAAACTATTATTTATATGGTCTAATGTTTGACAAAAGCTATTCTGAACAAAAGTGACCTTTTGTCATTATCTCTTTATTGTATGTAAGAAAGTATTGCAGTATATTGCCAACATTTGTTTGTAATCCTTGCCAACTAAAATCCAAATAATGGCATGACCAAAATTAGCTTTAGTAGTTCAAGGTCTTGTGCAGCATTCACCAATAAATAAAGATAGATAAAGATTTATATATTGTTGTTGTTGCACCACCACAGTGTAGGTCATATAGTCACTTTCTTTACATGAAACAACCTAAAGTTCCTGTCAGGATTCAAACCCACAGTGGTGATGGGCAAGTGGTTTGATGTCAACAACCTTAACCACTCGGCCACAGACCATAGTAGCCCTATTACATGTATATCAATGTAAGAAACACTACAAATATAGTTAAATCTGTCTTTACAGACATTTACATTGTGTTTAAAATGGAAAGAGTGATCTTTATTTACATATGATCTAGCAAAACAAGTGATATAACATTGCAGTATAATAAAATTTTAACTTATTATTTGGCCTTCTGTCAATAGTATCTGCATATGGCTGTTATCTGCAGGTAGTCTTAAGGTAGAACACCCCTAATGGGCACTATAAGGAACTGTAAAATTAACAACATAGAACAGTTATATGCCTTAATGATTTGTATTGCTTATTCTATTTTTAGCCTATTAGTTCTAGTGCAGCATGTATCCTTGGACGAGTTGTAGATCATCTGCAGGAAGCTGCACAACCTCTAGTGAGGGTATTCCTACACCATGGAAAAATAGTGCCATTTATGGAAGCCTTAGCCAGTTATGAGATTAAACATACATTGTAAGTGGTTAAATTCTTTTTATTGATATAAATTACACATCTACCAATCTTCAGTGATGAGTTAAACAGTTTATTAAAATGCGGAAATAGAAAGTGATACATACGCTTGCTTTGAATTCTGAAGTGATTCCCAAAATTTGATGCTACCTCTTAAATGAATACCTTTTCAGATTTAGTTTTAAGTAATAATTGCGAACAAAGATAACATATTATGTACATTAGCAAGAGAGAAATTGCATAATTACTTTTACTTTGGAAAGGCCAAAAAGTTAACTCTATTTTTGTGGAAATAATTGTGGCAAAATTTTGTAACAAAAACTTAAATAAAGAAATATAATGATAGTTGTTTTCTGCTTCTGATTACTTTCTCTGAACCTCGATGAATTTTATAGCATTCAAGTGGTAGACAGTGTTAAAGATTTATTGTATGAATGAGTTGAACCAATGGAAAAATACAAATCACAGTAGTATGAACTAGATGTAACCATGATTATGATGTTATCATTCAGAGATCATCACACATTATTTAGAGGGAACACGTTACTTACGAAGATGTTAGACGAGCTAATGAAACTAGTTGGATTACCATACCTTCATCATATACTCAAACCCACCATTCAACAGGTACGATATAATAAAGGAAATAGACTGGCATCCAAAAGCCTAAAAACATAAAATTTGAATTTCTTACTTACATCAGCTAGGGCGCTTAAAACATAAGGATATGCAAAAAAATGGGGAGTAAACTCAGAGTAATAAATTGATAATATTTTTTGTCTGCAATTCATACCCAATTTAAGTAAAAAGCATTACAAGAGTTTTCAATTTTAAGTCAATTTTCACAATTAGAATAATTGTTCAGGAAAAACAGAGTTGGCGAACTGTCTTAATTTTTGCACACAAGTTACTTGTCTAAATCTACATTTTTTTTCAGTTTCATGTAAAAAACCTCAGTGGAGGCCCTGTAAATAATACTTCATGGTTATATCATCAAATTTTATTGGACAATTGTGACATTTATATTATCTACTGATATATACACAGCTTCTGCTGACTTATTTATTATTTTTATGCATTTGAAGGAGAGTGGTACAGTTTTATAAATTTGTTATAAATGACTAGACAAGTTATATGGCCTCGTGTAAACACTTCTTTGCTATATAACCCTCACCTATCAGGTGAGTTATATAAGCTAACAACTATTGATTATGGGTCATATATCTTATTATAAATATTACAATTAAGGAAGTATGAAGGCAGATTATCACTATAATATGGACTATAATCAGGTGACTAAGCCACCATTTCTGAGCTTAGTTGGCTGGCACAAATGTGCATTTTAACCAGACTCTTTACTGTATGCTTCTCAGTTTAAACATGTTCCTTTTTTCAAGTTTTAACAGTTCAAAACACTATCCCTGACACCGAGTGACAACTGTTTGACTGTTCCCAAACACATATGAAATAACTGTTTTATTACCTGATCAATTAGTGTTTTAACAGTACTTGCAGAAGAAAAAAAGAAAAAGAAAATAGTTTTGCACATATGTTAATAATTAAACTTAATACTTTTACTATGTCACGTCACGTCTGGTTTATGATCAAGGTCGATGGACGCTTCAAGTAGGAATCCTCTATGACGTCATTGACGTCATAGCACGCGAGGGAAACAGTCAAAACTATTGACCGGTCAACAGTTTGCGAACATTGACGTTTTTAGAATTTCAGAAAACAGTTAAAAATACCAAATTACATTTACATAAGGTAACAGTTAATAATACAAAATAGTCAACTGCAAACTCTTAAAATATTAATGAAGTATTCTACCTTGCATAGATCACAGTAGGTTACAAGCTTATTTGATAATATGATTGGCTTGGAATTATATGTTTGTACAATTACAGATCTGTACAGAACATCTACCATGTGAGATTGACCCGACAAAGTTACAGGATAGTGAGAATATCAACGGTAACCTTGACAACCTGTGTCAGTATATAGAACAAATATTTGTCGCCATTACCAGCTCGGGACTTGTTTGCCCTACAGACATGTCTCAGGTGTTTCATACTCTCAAACAAGCAGCTTGTTGCCAGTTTCCAGGTAGATTTTGTTTTTAAAATATTCTTCTTTTTTTTTTGCTCCTTGATCAATAAATTGGGAGGGCTTTTTGTTTGTGGTTTTTCCGTTTGTTATCCCCCGCCGATGGAAACGGGAGGGGGATATAGTTTTGGCGTTGTCCGTCCGTCGTCCTTCCGAGCAAACATTTGATATTTATGAGCTTCATTCCGTAGTTAAATAAAGAACAAAAACTCATAAAATTCAAATTACCAGCTATTGGCTGGAATTCAACGAAACTTTATGGGAATCATCAATATCAAGAGGAGATGCGCATATCGTCAGCTTGTTCCGGTCAGACCCTTTAACTCAGAGTTATGGCCCTTGATTAGTTATGTAGTATGCATATAGAGTAAAAATCGTTTCCGCACTACTTCTTTGCAACTGTTGCCTAGAATTCAACGAAACTTTATGGGAACCTTCAATACCAAGAGGAGATGCGCATATCGTCGGTTTGTTCCGGTCAGATACTTTAATCAGAGTTATGGCCCTTGATTAGTTATGCAGTATGCATATGGAGTAATAATTGTTTCCGCGCTACTTCTCTTCAGCTACTGGCTGGAAATTCAATGAAACTTTATGGAAACCATCAATACCAAGACAAGGTGCCCATATCGTCGCCTAGTTCAGTACAGACACTTCAACACAGGGTTATGGCCCTTGATGAGTTATGTAGTATACATATCGAGCAATAATCGTTTCAGCGCTACTTCTCTGCAACTACTGGCTGGAATTCAACAAAACTTTATGGAAATCTTCAATACCAAGAGGAGATGCGCATATCGTTGCCTTGTTCCGGTCAGACACTTTAACTCAGAGTTATGGCCCTTGATTAGTTATGCAGTATGCATATAGAGCAAATATCGTTACCGCGCTACTTCTCTGCAATTACTGGCTGGAATTCAATGAAACTTTATGAGAACCTTCAATACCAAGAGAAGATGCGCATATCATTGCCTTGTTGGGGTCAGACACTTTAACACAGAGTTATGGCCCTTGATTAGTTATGCAGTATCCATATAGAAAAATATTTGTTTCCTCACTACTTCTCTGCAACTACTGGCTGGAATTCAATGAAACTTTATTGGAACCTTCAATACCAAGAGGAGATGCGCATATTGTCGCCTTGTTCGGGTCAGACATTTTAACTTAGAGTTATGACCCTTGATAACTTAGGCAGTATACAACCAGAGCAATAATCGTTTCCGTGCTACTTCTCTGTAACTACTGGCTGGAATTCAATGAAACTTTATGGGATACTAAGAGGAGATGTGCATATAGTCGCCTTGTTCCGGTCAGATACTTATAACTCAGATTTATGGCCCTTTATTAGTTATGTAGTATGCATACATCTCATTGGCATTTCCAGATATTACTATTTAACACAAAGTTATGGCTCTGTTTTTGCCCTGAATATTTATCAAGTTCAAAGAATATTACTGTTTATGCCATGATTAATATAGAAATAAAGCCTTATGTCTTCAGTTGTTGTGTTTATAATAACCAGTAATCGGCGGGGGATATAAATTCAATGAATTTGCTTGTTTGTTTGTTTTTTTGTGTGTTTGTTCATCACAGAGATTTAACTTTCTGATCCTTCCACCTACAGCCTCCAAATTTCATAGGTGCTATACTTTTAATGAGCTCTACGCATCTAGGGATCACAGGGTCAAAGGCAAAGGTCACCAAGAACCTCCAAATTTCCATTATTGATCATGGCCATAAAACAAAAGTTCTTCCATTCACATCCTTTAAACTTTACAGATGTATGCACCTTGATGTACTTTACCTGCAAGACCCTTTTAGAGGACATGGTGTCAAAGGTCAATGGCATTCATTCGAACATAGCGCTTGTTTATTCTTGTTCATTTCTGGGTAAAATTTACAAGATGAAATATTTTAGCATGAAATTGACGAAAATATTCGCAAGTATTAACAATTGGATTATGATGAAACATCTTCTACAAGTTCATGAAACAACATAGATTTAGTAAGTTCTTTTCTTATTTTTAACTTGTTTTGATCTTATTTCCAGAAACCACTGAAGTGAAGTATCAGGTAGTGAGTGGATTTGTATTTTTGAGATATTTTGCACCAGCTATATTGGGACCAAGATTCTTTGATCTGATAGAAGACACTGTCGTAAGTGTACTATATTATGATACATGTTATTCTCTTTGTTGAAAGATTGGAAAGCCTATACTCTATATAATACTCTTTATTTATTTTATATACTCTCATTTATTAAAACAATCCAAAACCTATATATCTGCACAGAAATTGATCAGGAGTGAGGACAAAATTGCTGTCATTTAGTATAACCCTTAAAGGGACTCCACTGAAGATTTTTGACATGACGGGACTGGAAATATTTTTCTGATATATTTGTATACCATTTAATGTGTGGCAAGAACGGTAATTTTCGTGTAAATTTTCATTTCCTTTCTTCTCCTCGATTTTCCAGAATCATCCTTTTTATTGTGAAGATAACCAAAATTTGAAAATCGTTGCAATGCTTTTCACTCAATTTGGGCTAACAATTGAACAAAAAATCAGTTCTTGATTTTATTTTGAGTATATTTCTTTATTTTCCTTTGTTGCAATTTTTTTTCCATTTTAAGAGTTTCCCTTGATTTAAGAATTTAAATTTGTTATAAATTTTATGCTTTTAGACCTCAGGGGAGCTTCTTTAACCTGCTAAATTTGTGAAATGGATTTGCCCTGCTTTGAAACTTGGTACAGTCCATTTAAAGTCTAAGGGATTTCAATATCAAAAATTTGAAAATTGAGCTACTAACTGTATCGAGAGCCTGATAAGACTTCATGGATGTGCATGCTGTCCTGGATCTATACTGGTGGCAAATGCAGATCACTTTCAGTTCCAGTAGGCTTCCAGCTTATGTTTTTTTTTTATTTGGAAGTTTCTGTACTGGTTTAACTGTATATATACATGTATAAAGACAATTTTAGGTGCCAAGTAGTGTCCATCTAGAGAGGTTACCCTGTATATCAGCTAGGAAATCATCTGACTGTCCAAGTACCAAACTTAAGGTCAAAATACTCTTTTTGTTAATTGTTTTATGATTTGTTGGAAGCTGTTTAGTTTTCTTCATAGATTTTATTTTTGTTTGTTCTTAAATTTAAATCAGTTTCTTGTTTGTTGTTGATATTTTGATGGAGACATATTTGGTGAGGATTCAAGTTATTAAGTCTACACATGGATGATGTTATATGTACAGTATTGTTATGATGACAGGTCCTCAGTGATTTCTTTACCGGATTTTCTAGTCCCATCACATCAGATGTTTCATCCTGTACTATGTACACGCCAACGGAGTACTATAAATTTTCCAGCAATCCAAGCCTTAGATCTTTATAATAAAGTACCCTCAATGACTTCTTTACCTTATTTTGCAACAACTCATGCCAGGTAATTTTAGTATCATGAACGAAAATAAATTGGGGCAGTGAACCAAACTTTTTAAACATTCACTTTATCATATGATTGTACTAATATATATGTGGTGATTTTCATATAATGCCATATTTGTCAAAAATTTTAGCTGGTTTGAAAAATCTCCACAATTTTGGGAATTTTCTAAGTTGAATTGCGGTTTTTCAACAGTTTTTGTTATCTAGATACTGGCCTTTTTTTGGTCACTATTATTTTGCTTAAAACATCACTGATATTAAAAGTAGTTTGTTTACCTGAGGCTCAGAATTAACAGACTAATTTTAGGACTTGTTATTATGATATTTTAATGATGAGGTAAGGTGTGATATCTTGTCAGTGAACAGTGTGCTTCACTCAAAATATTTAAGGTCTATAGTGTTGGCTCACTGACTATATTTTCATCTTGATATCCCTTACACAAGTAAAAAACAGTCCCAAAAATGGAAGCTGGACAAGTCCATTTAAGAAATTCAGCAGGTTAAGAAAATTATTAATTTTTATTTTTTTGTAATATTTCAGGATGCTACCACAAACAGAACACTGACGCTCATATCTAAAGCCATACAAGGGCTGGGTAATCTCGTCTGCTCGAAATCTGTAAGTTGCCTTTAACCATAGTGTTGTCTATTTGATCATAGGATTCAGGCTTCGTTGATTGATAATTTTAGATGTTATTCTTATATGTTCGTCAATGGCCAAACAGTTAAAGGTCTTTGACTTTAAGCCACTAGCCCATCACTGTGTAAGTTTATATTCCGCCAGGAACCTTGGATTCTTCAATGAGGAAGTTATCCAGATAGCTTACAGAATGTCATTTGTTCTCTTTGGTTGTCAGCATTTATTGAAATAATTGGAATCCAAGATCTACATCCACCTCAATGTCAGTACAAGTTAAAATACAACAAAATGTATTAAAATAGTTATGTTAGACTTGATAGTGTCGGGTTAATTTGTCCATTTAGCATCTGCAATTTGTGAAACATTTGGAATCATTAAAATTTGCTTTTAATGATTTATATAGATCAGAACTTCTTTAACATTGTCATGAATTTAAAATATTCAGCGAATTTTTTTCAAATACATAAAACAAGTAGGTATTAAGAATTTTATTTTGATAATAGATATGTTAAGTTTTTGTGGTATTTTCAAGCTATTTTGGTAATTACTGGTTAGTTATCCAGTAAAGCCAGTTAGGTGGACCAACCACCAAGATATGACCAAAACTGTGTTAAAATGGGTGTTAAAAACCACCCAAACAAGAAACAAACAAGAAATAATGAGTATATTTTCAAATTATATATTTTTCTTTTCAGTGGTCATTTTGTTTGAAAGAGGAGTACATGGTTCCGTTGTTCCGACAACTGTCAGACGAGGCCCACATAGAGGCTATAAAGATGTACTTAGATATCATTTCATCATCGACTAAAGCACATTCCAGCCACCAGGGTATCCAGGAGGTTCCTGTGGTTCTAAAACAAGGGTATGTGTTACAAGTATTTGAATAGTTATTACCGTATGATATTACCATATTTGCTTAACTTTTGTATATTAATATAAAATTCTAGATATTCAGTATGTAGTAATGTTTAAAAGGGTTATGCAAGAGTTGGTTAAATCATTGCTTAAGGGTTGAAAAATGGCTAACTATCTAATTAATTCTTCATTCACTTTTCCATTTACACAGGTTAGCAGCATAGGACCTCTTGTAAATGTATTTTGTTAAGACTAAATTCATTGGTGTGAATATGCTGTTAGTTGCCCAAGTTAAGAATTTCACTGCTATGGAAATAGCATCAATTGTTTAAAAATACCACATTTTAATAAGCTGTAGCTTTCAAAAAGTTACTTGTCTGTCTTTTTAAAAAGTTTCTGAAAAGCAAGTTAGAGAGAAGGCATTATTGTGACTATCTTGAGGTCATATTATAGACTGTTGAAAAGATTTCTTATTTATTTATATTATGTCAGAATGTTGATCAAAAGAGCTCAGGGCAGAAAAAAATTTGGTGTGAAAAACTTCAAACAGCGTTATTTTTGTCTGACAAATAAAAGTTTGACATATTCCAAGTATAAGGGTGGGATACCCTTATGTGAGATTCCCGTAGAAGATATTCTGGCTGTGGAAAAGCTCGAGGAACAATCCTTTAAGATGAAATATGTAAGTAGAAAAAAATTATGTACTTACTTGTTGTCTTTCTTATAATCTGTGATAAATTTTATATGTAGAAAAAAAGTTACTATTCCAAAATTGTTTTGGTTTATGTTGGCTAACACTAAAATAAGACCCGCATTTGAACCAGGCTGTTTATAATAATATTGTTAAAAGAGTGCTTATAAGATTCCTTATGTGATAAAATGTGGCTTCTGTAGAAATGCTAGAAAATTGCCCTTTATGCTCCTTACAGGGCCATTTTGTCATAATAATGCAGGCGAATAGGGGCGTTCATGGCTGAGTGTTTATGAACATTGACTTCAAACCACTTGCTTCTCATTGCTCCCTCCAGGGACTAATTCATGTGGAGAAGCTATCCAGCTAGCTTACTGAATGTCAGTGATTTTACACAGGTGCCCACTTGTGCCTGAAATAATACATGGAGGGAATAATACATGGAGGGTCACTTGAGGTCTTCCTCCACCAGTAAAGCTGGAAAGTTGCCATATGTCCTCTAATGTGTTGGCGCTACATGAAACCCAACAACAAGTGTTAAAAATGAATATTTATCAGATGAATGGATTGTATGTATATAATATGTTTTTGTTACAGATGTTTCAAGTTGTGCAGCCTTCACGAGCCCTTTATGTTCAAGCTAGTAATTGTATTGAGGAGAAAGAATGGTTAGTATGTAACACTGCTACTGCTGTGTTTTTCTGCGGTAGATAAAAAAGTCACAATATTGTGAATTGGAGTTGTTAATTGAAAAGGAAATAATTGGACTTTTAAGATACAAAAATAATAAAGAAAAGATATTGTAAGATTTAAATCCTGCTGTGTGTTTGAAGTTGTTTGCTCTGTGACTAAAAATCATTTAGATGTACTGTATATCAGGTCATTTTGGTGGTGCAGTAAATTTTGCGATTTTGGAAGGCTTGAGAGTGTAATAAATAAGTTCTTACTATTCCATTTCATGTTTTGACTCCTCTTTCTTGAATCAAGCCCCCTTGTAACTGAGGGGTTGCCTTTAACCATTTAGTTACAGAATTGAAGCCACCGCTAATGTCTGCATGGTCAAAGGCAACTAAATAGGTTTGAATTACTGGAGTCAATGCATCTGTTAGCTCCAGCAGGGGAGGTGGTTTTGAAACCCTGGTGTTGCTTTAAGTTTTCAACACCTGAGGTTGAACAAAAACATCTTTCCTGATTTGGTGCTATATGATCTAAATTGTGTTGGTGTGCCGTAAACCCAAACCAAACAAAACCTGTAAGACTAGTATTTTGGTCATATGAGAAAATACGGTCAGAACCCAAAACAATAGATCTCAAACACATGATCTTGGGGTTTAGAGGCAAACACTTTAACCACTAGGCTGCAAGTGAAAGGAAAACAAAATTGTTATATTATAATGACTTGAGATTGTAAAATCTAGAACAACCATAAGCAAGTAAATTACAAGGGGTTATCCAAAAATTCATGGACTTTCTTTATTGCGTAAAACATATTTGAGATATTGATTTAAAATTCTTACACTGCTTGGAAGAATTAATAATAAATAAACACAGAAAAATTCATGTGAGTAGTTTCTTACATTACAACAATATTTAATTTTAAATACACACATATCTGCAACAGCAGCCAACTCAAAAAAGTTATTGACATCAACGTCATATAACGAACATTTTGAACTTCAGGGTTACGCGCTCAATGACTGTTACTGCTTCTGAAAGAAATGTACATTTTCCCGTCAATCACTTATTTTTTTTATGTCACTAAAACACTAACGATTGTGAAAATTTATTTTCTCTGTCCTCTGCTGAATTTTTTCAAATGTTATTGTAGGTGTCATTTCCAAATTACAACAAAACTTTATCATTGCACAATTTTCTAATTTCTGCGTGTCCGTCATTTTCACGTTGTAAACAATATCGGCGTCTGGCGTTTCTAGCGATATCATCAAAATTAACGGAAATGAAGTCCACAATTAAAAGAAATACTTAAATGACTTCATGGAAGAAACATGTGATGTTTAACGGGTTTTCTATGTTAATTTTTAGTTTTTAAAGCAAAAAATAAACAATTACTAACTGCGCTTTTCTACCGTGCGCCGGGTGCTGTGTATGTGCTTATTTAAGAGCAATATAAAATCCTTATTTATTGACGCAGTTAACTGTTCCTTTCAAAATATACTGATAATAATCTACAAGGTATGATGATTAAATGTCATTACAATACATGTTAACGTTCAAGAGATATTTAAAAAGTCCATGAATTTTTGGATAACCCCTTTTACATATACATAGATGAAGAGCCGTTCCAATGTTTCAATGATGAATGTTTTATTTTGTTATGACAGGCTTGATGTATTAATGAAGGTTAGTGCAGCCAACCAGAACAGATTGAATCTCTATCACCCCGCTGCTTTCATCAATGGCCATTGGCTCTGGTATGTAACCATGGAAACAATGTACTTAAAATTTGTCCTTATCTATTACACCATCAGTCAGGTTGGTGTTGGTGTTTTTATGCTCCCTGCTACTTTTATGACAAATTAATTCGAAATTATCGCTACTTTTTAGCTCACCTGTCACAAAGTGACAGGGTGAGCTTTTGTGATCGCTTTTCGTCCGGCGTCCGTCCGTTGTCCGTCCGGCGTCCGGCCGGCGTCCGTCCGTAAACTTTTACTTTAAATGACATCTCCTCATAAACCACTAAGCCAATTTCATCCAAACTTCACAGGAATGTTCCTTTGGTGGTCACCTTTAAAAATTGTTCAAAGAATTTAATTCCATGCAGAACTCTGGTTGCCATGGCAACCGAAAGAAAAAACTTTAAATATCTTCTTTTAAAAAAACCATAAGAGCTAGAGCTTAGATATTTGGCATGAAACATCTTCTAATGAGTGTCTACCGAGTTTGTTCAAATAAAAGCCCTGGGGTCAAAATTGGCCCCGCCCCAGGGGGGTCATTGATTTTCCCTATATGCATATAGTAAAAACTTAAAAAATATTCTTTTAAAGAACCCAAAGAGCTAGAGCTAAGATATTTCGCATGAAACATGTTCTAATGGGTGTCTACCAAGTTTATTCAAATAAAAGCCCTGGGGTCAAAATTGGCCCCGCCCCGGGGGGTCATTGATTTTCCCTATATGCATATAGTAAAAACTTAAAAAATCTTCTTTTAAAGAACTCAAAGAGCTATGGCTAAGATATTGAGCATCAAACATGTTCTAATAGGTGTCTACCAAGTTTGTTCAAATAAAAGCCCTGGGGTCAAAATTGCATCGCCCCAGGGGTTATTTGATTTTCACTATATGCATATAGTAAAAACTTAAAAATTCTTCTTTTAAAGAACCAAAAGAGTTAGAGCTAAGATATTTAGCATGAAACATGTTCTAATAAGTGTCTACCAAGTTTGTTCAAATAAAAGCCCTTGGGTCAAAATTGGCCCCGCCCCGGGGGGTCATTAATTTTCCCTATATGCATATAGTAAAAACTTAAAAAATCTTCTTTTAAAGAACTCAAAGAGCTATGGCTAAGATATTTAGCATCAAACATGTTCTTATAGGTGTCTACCAAGTTTGTTCAAATAAAAGCCCTGGGGTCAAAATTGGCACCACCCCGGGGGTCATTGATTTTCCTTATATGTGTATAGCAAAAACTTAAAAAATCTTCTTTGAAAAAACCCAAATAGCTAGAGTTAAGATATTAAGCATGAAACATCTTTTAGTGAGTGTCTACAAAGTTTGTTCAAATAAAATACCTGGGGTCAAAATTGGCCCCGCCCCGGGGGTCATTGATTTTCTTTATATTGTATAGCAAAAACTTAAAATCTTCTTTGAAAAAACCCAAATAGCTAGAGTTTAGATATTAAGCATGAAACATCTTCTAGTAAGTGTCTACAAAGTTTGTTCAAATAAAAGCCCTTGGGTCAAAACTGGCCCGGCCCCAGGGGTGTCATTGTTTTTAACTATATGTGTATAGTAAAAACTTAAAAAAATCTTCTTTTAAAAAGCCCAATGAGCTAGAGCTTAGATGTTTAGCATGAAACATCTTCTTATGAAAAGGGCGCTATATAAATGTGGTATTTATTATTATGGGTGTCTACCAAGTTTGTGCAAATAAAAGCCCTTGGGTTAAATTGGCCCTGCAACGTTGGGGTGGGGGTTGGGGGGGGCCTATATACAGGTGAGCGACCTCAAGGCCATCATGGCCCTCTTGTTTCAGGTAACAAGCATCTACTTGTAACATTTCTCTGAAACCATTACTTAAACATTATAGTATTTATTTTTGCCTTTTCTAGAGTAGTTAAAATTTATTTGATTCTGAGGCATAATGTGCCTTTAAGAAAGATGTTAAAAGCTTGTCCTTTCTGCCAGTCAATCAATATGATATTAACCTCGCAAAACCAATAAATGTATACTTACATTTTATATATTAGCTATTATACTACCTTGTTTCAGTTGTAAAGAGCAGGATCAGACAACTCCTGGTTGTTCACAAGTGTCAGGTTACCTCCCTTTAGCCAATGTACAGGTTGATATAGACAGTGACAGAGAAATAGAGAAACTTCATGCTCTGTTGCTTAACAACATGGATAAACTAGAAGCAATGCAAGGTGATACATTATAGAGATATTTTTTTCTTGGCTCATTCTGCCATTTGTCTTTAAAGCCATTTGCTAAAACTTTATTAATTTGAGTTGAGGATATTTTGCTAATGTTTGTGCTTTTTTGATATGGAATTAGAAAACCCTACAAATGTGGTTAACCAAAATTTTCAACAGTGGTAAACCCCCTTTTTTGCCTTTTTTGTCAAATAAAATAAGTATAGCTAAAATACAAGTTTTTACTTATTCATTTTGAATTAAAAGCCCCTTTAAATAATTATTTTATATCAATAATATACATTTTAGAACTTACTCTTTTTATCCCCCATATCTTAACACTGTAAAAAAACAAATAAATGTTTTTTTGTTTAAACATGTATTTCAATCCATTTCAAGCTTTTGAAGTTTTCAATGTTTGTTGTTGATCAAGAAAGATTTTAATTCTGTGTTTAGTTCTGTAAAAGTTGTAAAATTTGTTCTACTTTACTTGACTTAATTAGTTAGCATTAAGGAAGCAGGTAAGTTGCTGCACATTTGCTGTGAATTTTTGGAGTTCATTGTCTCCCTTTCTGTTTTATGATACAAGAATTATCTCCCTTTTATGTCTAATTTTGATAAAATAGATGTCTCCCTTGTTTGATTTTGATCAAAGAATTGTCTCCCCTTTTATGTTTGGTAAAAAAGAATTGTCTGTATTTTTAGCTCACCAGGTGAGCTTTTGTGATCGCTTTTCGTCCGGCGTCCGTCCGTCCGTCGTCCGTCTGTCGTCCGTCTGTAAACTTTTACTTTAAATGACATCTCCTCATAAACCACTAAGCCAATTTCATCCAAACTTCACAGGAATGTTCCTTTGGTGGTCACCTTTAAAAATTGTTCAAAGAATTTAATTCCATGCAGAACTCTGGTTGCCATGGCAACCGAAAGAAAAAACTTTAAATATCTTCTTTTAAAAAACCCTAAGAGCTAGAGCTTAGATGAAACATCTTGCATGAAACATCTTCTAGTGAATGTCTACCAAGTTTGTTCAAATAAAATTCCTGGGGTCAAAATTGGCCCCGCCCAAGGGGGTCATTGATTTTCCCTATATGCATATAGTAAAAACTTTAAAAATCTTCTTTTAAAGAACCCAAAGAGCTAGAGCTAAGATATTCAGCATGAAACATCTTCTAATGAGTGTCTACCAAGTTTGTTCAAATAAAAGCCCTGGGGTCAAAATTGGCTCCGCCCCAGGGGGTCATTGATTTTCCCTATATGCATATAGTAAAAACTTAAAAAACTTCTTTTAAAGAATTCAAAGAGCTAGAGCTAAGATATTCAGCATGAAACATCTTCTAATGGGTGTCTACCAAGTTTGTTCAAATAAAAGCCCTGGGGTCAAAATTGGCCCCGCCCCGGGGGGGGGGGTCATTGATTTTCCTTATATGTGTATAGCAAAATCTTAAATAATCTTCTTTGAAAAAACCCAAATAGCTAGAGTTTAGATATTAAGCATGAAACATCTTCTAGTGAGTGTCTACAAAATTTGTTCAAATAATAGCCCTGGGGTCAAAATTGGCCCCGCCTCAGGGGGTCATTGATTTTCCCTATATGCATATAGTAAAAACTTAAAAAATCTTCTTTGAAAAAACCCAATGAGCTAGAGCTTAGATGTTTAGCATGAAATATCTTCTTATGGATGTCTACCAAGTTTGTTCAAATAAAAGCCCTAGGGTGAAAATTGGCCCTGCCAGGGGGGGGGGGGAGGGTGGAGATCATTGTTTTCTCATTACATGTGTGTAGTAAAAACTTAACATTGTGAAACATCTTCTAATGAGTGTCTTCAAAGTTTGTTTAAATAATAGCCCTGGGGTTTAAACTGGCCCCGCTCCGGGGGCCTATATACAGGTGAGCGACCTCAGGGCCATCATGGCCCTCTTGTTATATTTATTTTTAAGTACACATAGATGGTCTCCCTTTATCTTTGATGCAAAAGTTATCCCCCTATTTGGTAGTGTTATGAACATTGTCTTTCTGTTTATGATTTATGCAAATATTGTTTGTATGCAGGAGGCAAAAATATGTCTTCTTATTTGTTAATGATGATAAATTTGTTCTTTTTATAAAAATAGTTGCTCTAAATATTTGATACAGTAATTATCTTTCTTTTTAGTTCAGCTGTTTTGGAGAAAATTCGAGCTATTATGATTGTTTTGTTGTTGTTGCTGTTGTCATGCAAGAACTTTAATGCAGCCCATTATTAAAAAAATTCAAAAAGTATCAATTTGAAACTTTAAATATTTATTTATCATGACATGATGAAGTTGTAAAACAAGGGGCATTATCCTTAAAGCAATATTTTCAAGAGTTATGTCCCTTTTTAATTTAGAATATTTATAAAAATGGATTATTGATTGTCTTTGCCCTTAACAGACTAGCGTTAACATCACATATGGTGCTCTTGTTATAAATGATACTAGAAATGTGTCCCTTTAGTTCATAACACGGCAATATGTCAGATAATTCTGCAAATATTTCATTTATGAGAATATGCAAGCTTGGGATAATAGATTGTACATCTTTCTCCAAAATTAGATTTATCTTTCAACAATCTTGACAGGAAGTTCCATATTGTGAGGTGTTTGTGTACTGTTAAATCAGAAATTTTTGCCAAGGATTAAGTTTCGCTAATCTTGCAAATTAATTATTATTGAAAAGAAATGTTTGCTTTACATCAATCATACGTATTAAACTGAGAGAATAAACTCTCATGTCATGTATCTAACTTTGTCAATTAGAATTAGTTTGTAATGTTGATTTCACGAAATTTTTGACCTTGTGAAAATATCTGATTTTACAGTAAACTTAAGATTACATTTAAGAAAAGAATCTGTCCTTGTTCATTATTGGTAAATAGTATTATCAATATCAAACTTTAGGAAAACATTGTTACTGGTTATAAAAAAAATGAAGGAGTATGAAAGTTGCATAGCACATTTAATTTTGTTACATTTTTTTTTCTTTTCTTTTTTTTTCTCTTTTATAGATTAATTTCTATCCCAACATTATTGTAATCTGAAATAAGATATTTTAAGTATAGGACACATGGTTACCGGTAATTATCTCCTAATTCATCAAAAAATATTCACCAGTGAAGGCCCTCTGTTCTGACTGTGTTAAAATGGAATTGTCTGATATACATGTATATGTCATATAGAAGACTGATGATTGAAAATAATGTTGACAGTTACCCAATGTAAAGATGTTGTTTTGTTACTGTATGTTTTATACCCAGCTGAAGTTGCTCAAGTTACTGAAGAAATTTTAAATACCTGATTATACTGTTATATAGTTTGTTTTTGTCAAAGGGAAGGGTTTGAAATGGTTTACAGAAATGTGTATAAAAATTTCTTTTGTCTTGTTGAATTTCTTTCTGTTGTTATGTATGATTTAGTTAAGAAGATAATAGATCTTTTGTTTTTGTAAATGAGATGGCCATTATTTTGGGTAAATGGAGTCTTTTCGGCTTTTCTGGTGAAGTATAATCCCAGGTACCTGCTGTATAGTATTTTAGGCACCAAGTGGAACCTGAGAAGACGGAGAAGATAAATCACCTGTTACAAACATTATCATGTTATTATTACATAATCCTTACTACAATATGTTGACCCAACAAATATTATGATAAAAGTTTACTAAATCCACTTTGGATTGTTTCATGTGAGGATGTTTTCCTTCTAGCTTACGGAATGTTGGTGGTTCTACTTGTGTGCCCATTTGTGTCTGAAATAATGCATGGAAAGGCACCTGAAATCTTTCTTAACATGTAAAGCTTGAAAGTTGCCATATGATCTATACTGTGTTGGTGTGAAGTAAAACCCAACAACAGTCCACCTACTTATAAATTCAATAGGCAGGGCATTGTATTTGTAATGCAGTGGTTGCTTGTTTGATCTAGGTTGAGGTAAAATTTCTCTCTGACATTTGATCTCAGGCATTAAGCTAATGGTCAGTCACTTGCGGAGAAAAGGTAAATCCAAAAAAGCTGGTTATGTAGACAGACCATCGAGATATCAGCAAAAATTTGTTCCAACACGCATATAAACCAGATAAACAAATATTATTTAAAAAACTATTTGGATATAAAAGGTCATATAAGTTTTAAACTTGTTAAAGCTATTAGTCATTAGAACAGGTTAAATATACATCCACATACTTAGTTTCTTTAACAATATCACCAGACATCATAAAATTTTGCAACAAACACTAAGTACATTCCAGGATATAAAAGTTTTTTGAATTGTCTTGTATTATGCATGTTTATATTAAAAACTTTCAGATGCATGTGGTGCAATGGAAGTGTATGCGGGGAACCAGTTCAGTATTCCAGTGGAGATAGAAGATTCCAAGTCCTGTTTTGAAATGTTGAATGAGATGTTAAAATGTGTGATAGGCCTGGAACAAGAGCACATGCAGTACCAGAAAACTGTACAGAAACAGCATGTGAAAGGCTCATTGTATGTATTACATATTTGTAACTTTAAAGAGACTCCACTGAGGTCAAAAAACCTAAAAACATAAAATTTGAAACTCTTACATGGATTACCTGAAGCACTTAAAATTAAAAAGTCTGCAAAAGAAAATAAAGAAATATGATCAGAATTAAATTGAAAATGAATTTTTTGCGCTATTCTTACTTCTTAGATTTATTTTAGTGAAAAGCATTGCAACGCATTTCATTTTTGTGTCATTTTGCACAATGAAAATGATGATTCTGGAAAACTGAGGAGAGGGAATGATCTGAAAATTTGCACAAAAGTTATTGGTCCAGACTTGCATTTAATGGTACAAAAATCTCAGAAATTTTTCTGCCAGTTCCTTCATTTCAAAAAACCTCAGTGGAGTCCCTTTAAAATTGCACGATGCAAATAAGAAATATATTTTAAAGAATAACCAACTCAAACTTATGAAAATATATAAATAATGAATAGATTATCATATAAATATAGTAGCACTTTGCTTGATATATACAAAATATGACAGAATTTACTGTCGACCACGATATAATTGTTATTGCATCTGTTAGCTTATAAGATATATCTCCTGCTTAATCAGATGTAAACATCTCATTATTTTAGGATTCAAACTTGCATAATAGTTGGTAAACTGTAAGTTGAAAATCTGTCGGGACTCAAAGAGGCTATTCATTTATGTGACATAGAACTAAGAACTAACCAAACACAAAACAAAATAAAATTATTTGAACACAGTTACTACAAGTAGAAAAATATTTTAATCATTTCAGTGAGAGTCCTATTGGAGATGATAGCTTGCTTGTAGCTGCACCAGAAACAGGCACAAAATTATGAACATTGTTCTACAGAGAATGGCAATTAATCAAGCACATCTCATCAATAATTTCAAATCATTAAGTATTATATCAAGTTGCTCCTTACATGTGTGTCAATTAGAGTTGGGATATTGCTTATAGTGTATATCGATACACAGAACATCTGGTTGTAGTCTTCTCACCAACCTAATTGAAAATCTTACAACTGTATTGAAACAAAAGAACTACTATTAGCTATGAAATAATTGGTCATTAAACAGTACAAATTTACTAACTTTTTAAGCTCATCTTAGCATTATACTTTCATGACCTTTTAGAAATGATGGTCATCTGTTGTCTGCAAATTTTCAAATAACTTCCTCTGAAATCACCTTGTTTAACTCATTTTACTAGCCTTCTATGTTCCTTGTATAGAATTCTTCCAAATATATTCAAATGTTTCCATTTCTTGGTGTTAAGATTTCAAAAAGTGAAATTTTCAAAATTCCAATCTGAAATTGCAAATGCTAGAGCATAGGAATGTGATATGTGAAATTGTGTTGTGGAAATCAAGTTTACACAAATCATGACCAAAGGTCATTGTATATTTTGCATACGCTTGTATAAGAATAGTTTTAAAAATTGTTTTGTAAAAAACTTGAAAGCCAACAATTTAGATATTTCATGTTTAGACATGACTTATGGTCCCCTTGCAAGTTTTTAACATATAGTAGGTAAAATTTGGCCACACCCCTGAGGTGATAAATGTTACGTACAGGTGAGTGATAAAAGGCTCAACATGGCCTGCTTTTTTAATCGGTGGCCTTAAATAATTTGTATGTAAATATATTTTTACATATTTGTTGACACATTGGCATTGTGACATGTTCAAAGAAGCATTTATTTTTCAAGTTTTAAATACGTGTATTTTTAATAAATTTTATTTCATTTTTTTTGTCAAAGAAAATATTGAGCTTATTTTAAATGTCCTTGCCTTGTACATTGTTATAAGTATCAAAGAATTATATTAACAGGAATTTGTGCTAATTTGCATATATTTTTTTTAGCTTTATTAACCTTGTTGTTACCCAAGGCAGCTCCTTTTTATTTTGTTTCGCCTATTATTATATTATAGTTGCTTGTAATTGAGACGTCTGTACACATTTGTCCCGACAAGTTGAGTTGAAATCCTTAGGTCCTTCATTTTAGTTTGTTAAATTTTTATGGCCCTTTAAAAACTGTTACTAGTTTCTTCTTCTCTCTCTCTCCTTCCCACTGAAGCATTTACTTGCCATGATTTCAGGAGTCTTCCTGGCTGAAAGGTTAAGCTTGCCAATTTCAAACCACCTGTCCTTCACTGCTGTGGGTTTGAGCCATGGATCATGCTAACCCTGAATTTAAGGGAGAAGTAACTTCTCTCTCCAGTGAAAATAGGGAAAAGTTAGCTGTATTTGATTCCTTCATGTGAGAAAGTTATTCATTGGTTCTATTCACCTTCCTGCTCATGCTTGAAATAAAGGGGGGCAACTGCGGTTATCCTCCTCCAGTTAAGCTAGAGATTTGTCATATGACCTATACAGTGTAAGTGTGACTTCAAAACAAACATACCATTTCTCATAGCACCTTTATGTATTAATAGGTTCCTTAAATATTTGGAATGGTATATTGGTACTTTATACCTTTGGTTTTGAGGGGGATTCATGGCAGAGGGGTTCAGGTCAAATCAGTTGCCCCTCACTGCTTTGTGTTTGAATCCCGACAGGAACTTTGAATTTTTCATGTGAGGAAGCTATCCAGCTAGCTAATGGAATGTTGATGGTTTCTGCCTGAAATAATGCACGTAGGGGCATCTGAGTTAATTGTTCCCCAGAAGCTCTTGGGTATAAGGTTGCGGCATAATGAACTGCACATGTAGTATGATTGTTAAATGGAAATTCAGACTCACTATGAGGTCGGAGACGATATTGCGATATGGATTTCTAGAAGATCTTATGTTGTTAAGGGTAGTTAATTAGTGACTAAAACATAAGATCACTTAACATTGCCTCTCTACAATAAGCTTGAAAATACAGCGAGTAGTATCACACTACAGAGGTTTGTGTAGTTATTTCACTTGTTCTTAACATGCTACTTTCTTTTAATCTTAAGCTAAATAGCTGAAGCATCTAACAGTCGTCATGTTTTGATTATTTACATAAGTATTGCGCATATCATTATCTCTATGAGCAACTATGTAACTGGGTGGGCATAGAATTATGTATCGTCAGATTGCGGTAGCATGCGACGTGTATTTTAACCATGTTTAGATGTATTTGCACTACGAAAGTGAAATCATAGAGAGCGAGTTGTCTTTTATTTTACTCTCGTTTTTGCACGTTGTTGTATTTTAGAAGATTATTCTTCTTTGTACACTTTTTTTTAGAATTTTATCGTTTTGATTGTTCTACTAATAGTAGAGTAGTGAGGTGAAATTCATAAAAACTAAACACCTGATGAGTTGAGGGCTATGTATGAGGGTTATACAACTGTATTTGTGGAGATATTCTGTATATTTTTGTACTCTATTTTTGGGCATCGTACATTTGGTATTGTATCCCGGTGCTCCAGTCGATTACTCAAAACAAGTTTGGTCAATTCAGAAATCAGAGTAATATGATTATATGGCGTTTTTTATTGTTTCAGTACCATTTAGCATCTTCAATTCTTAAGATGTCTTGTGTGTACTTATAAACTATCTATAGGAGGTATTCGTGGTGGACTTAGCTTAATTATTTGTTTAGGTTCCAACTCCTTATTTAATGATCTATAATGGAAAATGGGTTATTTGTACTGGCTGTATAGATGATTAATTGTCTCTGCTAATTTAACATTACTATGGTGAGAGTATTTTCATTTGCACAAATAGAGCAGATTCACTGAATTTTAATGAAGATTATGAAGATCACTTGGACAATGGACTACAGTTTCATGCACCACTAATATATTATAGCTGTGATGGCATAATATCGTACGTTGCTACGTATATATTTATATTTGGTAGAGCAAGGTAGGTTTGTATTTTCTTACTTCATGTGAATATATGTAAGGCATATTATAGGAACATTGAAATAACATGTGGTTGGGCGGCAAGATAAAATACGTATTAAAGGAAAGGTATGATTTTGGTTTAAATGATGTGTGCCATGGGCTGTTCTCATATCGGGATGGTGATGTATTGCCATTAGTGGCGTGGGTAGTGGTGTGAGTACATGGTGTAATTGAGTATATATATTTAGGTTACTGTTCCACAGGTTTATATTACTACATCTGAAAACAACACAATAGTTGTGTTTTAAGGATTTAGATCTATAACTGTTTACGATTGTGAGATCCAGGGAAGAAACAAACATGATCAGTATGATAGATACGCAATACTTCCTGTTATATAATGATGCTGGCTGTATGAATTTTTGAAAGTTAATGATTATATTATTTTAGGATTTCTAATTAGAATGTCTTAGTATAGGATGCCTTTTTTGAATATCATAAATGCGTATTATTAATATTGATCATAGAATTTAAATAAAATCCTAGGTCATTGGCGAAATTCCATTACTCTTATTTATATGTTATATAATGTTACGCATAGTTTAGATGATGATAAATATTTATTTATGAATACTTATAACACAATTGATATCTATAATACATTATAACGTTCTATATATAGTGCAACGCATCTTGAGAATTATAGTCACGTCTCGAACATAGTTAATTCTATGCTATCATTCTTATGATTCTCAAATAAAGATATGGTTCAAGATTTATGTTTCTTGAATAAAGAATGAATGATTTAAGGAATTCATTAATTGGTTATTGCAAACTTTTCCGGATCTTTAACTATTCAAGAACATTTCCATGTTTCGAATAAAGAAAATAGTTAAGGTTTTTTTTCCATGGATAAATAATGATTTAAGAAATTGGTTGCTGCAAACTTTCCCATCTAAAACTATTCAAGAACATTTCCTTGCTTAAAACTAACATTTTTTATGCAAGAATATATTAAAAATTATGCAGAGAGCAGATTGTGAAGTATAGGAAATTTTCATCTATGTTAAATAAACATTTATAGGTTTATAAAGTGTATATACTTTATAAGGTTTTGAGTCAGAATATAGCATTTTAGTAGACTATGTTTTCACTAACAGAATGTGTTCAATAGATAGAATTTATCATAAATAATAAAGGTTAGGCTTTATAGAAATATGTTTAGCAGTAGATTTCTAGTCATTTTACTTTTGTTAATAGTGTATGTTTGTTTCTTTCTTATTCTTTACAACATAGTCATTTTTTTCATCTTTGAACAAATTAGTACCCCTGCATGTGTATAGCTATCGTGATGTGTCTTGTATGTTGTACATATTTTGTTATAGTTTTGTAGATTGTATTAGTTATTCATAGCCAACCTCCTCTTGTGTTGTTGTCCACTCACTATGAATTGAACAGATTCCAAATTAGAGGAGTTAAGAGTTTTGCTTTGTACTGTAATCTATTAGTGCATTACAATGTATGTGCTGTGTAAACACTAGCCAGGATATACACGGCCAACAGTGGCTCTGTAACATTTTAGTGATTTGTATAAATGAGAGCCCTCAACACTTCTGTTGTAGAGCTCTTGTCAAAAACGTATTTCGTATAGAAATTACATCTTAAATGATGAGAGAAATGTTCTACTTGGCAAAGTATTCTTTGATTTTTGAAAAACAAGCATATTTTGAGAAACTGTCATTACCTTTATCAGCTTTGTTTTGGTCGAGGGCTCTCATTATTACAGATCACCAAACTGTGACAGAGCCACTGTTTATTAGTTCAAACCACTTGCCCCTCACCGCTGTGGGTTTGAATCCCGACAGGGACTTTGGATTCTTTCATGTGAGGAAGCTATCCAGCTAGCTTACAGAACATTGGTAGATAATAACAATTTTCAAGCAGGTCAAGTTCATTACACATTATTTTCAATGAGTTGAAATTACGTGAATTGCATCAATTCTTCATGTTCTATTTTCTGTGTCACTATTATATATTCCGTTATCATATACTAAGAAACCCTTACTGTATGTAATATCAATTCAGGGATATATCATTGTAAAAAACTTGAAATACTGTCAAATTAGTTATTTGGCAGGGACAAAATTTAGCGAAATCAATATTTTTAACTAATAGACAAGGTAAATTTGATACATTCCACTTTCAGTTTAGTAAGATTTATATCAAACTTAGATACTCACCTAACATTTATTTTGCAAAATCTACAATTTGTGTAAATTAACCCCTTACAAACATTTTTGATTTTACAGTATAAAATTTCAAATACATTACATGTCACTTATGACTGCCTTTTTCAATGAAAAGAAAGGAAAATATGATATTGTTTTGATCAATATTGTAGGTAATTCAAGAAATATAAAATTTGTACATTATTTAAGATTTGAATTTTTAAACAGGTTTTTGATGTAACTTGAGAAAACTAGATATTTGTTGATACATTCATTGATGGAAAAATATATTAATTGTATATTAAAATTTTGTAAATAAAATATTGTTTTTGAAAATATTGCTTTGTATAGAAAGAAAGAACCAACAGAAAATTTATAATACAAAATGTACATGTATATGAAGGCAGTATTTAATGCATTACTTAATCATTTATACACTAATAGTAAATAATGTTAACTTTCAAAACTAAGTCACAAATGTTATGAGCTTTCATGTTTATTCATAATAGGTCTTATATTGGCATTTCATATATGTATTAATCTGTTGCTTATTGTATAATTTTATCACTTTTGATGCAGCAACTGTAATTATATTCTTGCATAAAAAACATTACACACAGTTAAAATTAATGATTCACAATCTTATGTGGTCATTTGCATATTTTATGCAACTAAATATATTTAAATACGTTTATATTTGTTTCAGAATACTTAAAATCAGTGCTCTCTTTATGCATTACTTTTTCCAATAATAATATATGCATGTGTACCCTTTGTTTCCAAATTGCATAATATTCATTTATGATTAAGATTGTTTGTTTGCAACATATATCTTCCTCTTTAGAATATGCAGGTAGCTTTAGAACTTTTAGACATTTTAGTAAATGTAGTTTTATTTTTAAGCTTGGTACAAAAGAGGTATGTTTTCTCCATAGTGTAATAATCTTTGCTTTCCTACTATGCTTCCTCATGTAAGACACCGGTACTTGTAAATCCGGGAAGTCCTCATATGAGCCGCGTCAAGACAAAACCAACATTGTGCGTTTGCGACCAGCATGGATCCAGATCAGCCTGCGCATCCGTGCAGTCTTATCAGGATCTATGCTGTTCGCTTTCCAACTCTATTACAAGTAGAGAAACTGATAGCAAACAGCATGGATCCTGATCAGACTGCGCGGATGCGCAGGCTGGTCTGGATTCATGCTGGTCGCAAACGCATTACGTTGGTTTTGTCATGACGCAGCTCATATTTTCTAGTATAGACTAGTACAATTTTATACAATCTTTTGATTCCCTCATATATTAAAGGTGAACCCCGTTACACAAACACTATTTTTAGACAAGGACTTTTTTTCCTAAATTTACTTCCACAGAATGTCCATTGTGCAATGAAATGTGATTTGCTGCATTTTTTTTTTAATTTAAATTAAATATGAAAAAAAAATCTTGGATTGTATTATATTTAGTCAATACAGGGTATTATTGTGAATGTGTTCATTGTTATTTCCATTTAATGATTATAACATAAGTGTTCATGTATATACATGTTTATACATGTATATGCATAAGTTCATATAGTAAGTAATGTTGATTCTATTGCATGAAGTTTTCTTGAGATAAAATCACAGTTTATTGGAATGATAAACTATGGTTGTAACATTCAGCAATTGCTAAGAAATAGGTAATGTTTTTAGTTGGTTTATAAGTGCTTGTGGTGTAAACATTGCCAAACCATTAAGCATGTCTTAAAGTGCATTTTATGTTGTACATGTTATCACAGCTTATTTTTAGATACGGTGCTTATTTTGTTTTATGTGCATCACCAAGATATCATTATTTTAATGAAAAACATGACTTTGTCATGACTTTGATGTTTAGTCTTTTCTCATAATAACCTGTGGAACCAAAAGTGATTAACTTTTGACTCCAGAATAGCACCAGCTAGGCCAGCCTGTACATCTGTGAATTCTGACTAGGCTTTATACTGTTTGTAGCTCAGTTTTTGTATTTTTTAAACTTTGAATTGTTAAAAAAAAGTTCAAAACTGGGCAAGTCCATCAAAAATTCAGCAGATAAAGTCTGTATGACCATGATATCATAGTAAATGTCATTCAGTCGACAGTCATATGTATGTCTTTAAATTGATCCATCAAACATCATCTGACCTTGTTACATACATTTATTTATCACACACCCGTGCCGATTTTGGGACTTTGTAAAAATGGTATTGCACGGCCGTGCATATACATGTATTTTGACGTGACATCATTAGCGTTATACAAACATAGTGTAAAGACGCGCTTAATGATAGCGTTAAACTATAGGCGCGTCAATGAAAAATGACTCTTTTTTTTCCCCATTCAACGGTTTTATTTTGGGTATGTGATAAATAGAATATTAAATTCGTGTAAGTTCATCAATAAACTCTTGAATAATATATATTATGCTCGCCAGAGGCTCGCATAATATAATTTTATTCAAGTTGTGTAATAAATTCAGTATTGAACTAACATTCATTCAATATCCTCTATGTAACTTTCAATCAGTATTCATATTCAAACTACTTAACAAAGAATGCTTACACCAATAAGCTGTTAATTGCAAGGTCATGACAATGACCCAAGGGTCAAAGGCCAAGGTCAAATATTGATTTCTGGGTAAAACATCTGGACTACCATACTTTATCAGACTGATACTTAGATTACTTTTCAGTCTGGTAAAAGTGTTCATTTTAGCTGTAAGACATATGCCTTTCATTCAAAGGTGAAGGACATACAGTTATATATTAAGGGTTGATTGCAAAACTGTTAAGTCCTTCTGTATTTGATATAAGTTACTGCAGTTTAGCAGTAAACTCTCAATATATAAATAAAAGATCTTGGACAAATTTAACAATTCAATCATTTTATCAATAAATTTTTAATTTGTATAAATAAATAAAGTTTGATATCTCAATACAAGTAGGTCAAGATGATATAATGTAAGACCAAGGTTTGAATGTTTAGCTCAAGATATTGTCTGTATTGTAATTGTCACTTTTATCATTTATCATTTTCTAATCATCAGTCTGTATTGTTCATGTTACTATAAATAGTATTTGTATCATCATCAGTCAGTTTGTTGGATTCTGTGATTTGTTTCGACCAATTGTTAAATTTTAAATATTGTCACAAAATATATATGGAATTATATGTGAAAGACAGAAATTGGAGTTATCTAAAATTACAAATAAAGTTTCTTTTGAATTATAATTTAGTTTTGTTTTATTTACCCAATTGGTCAGCAAGATGTTAACGTTTTAGTTGCTTTAGTATTATTGTGTTGCCTGTAACAGAATAGTGGGGACATATAGGGATCATTCAAAAATTACCAAAGGCATTTTATTCAAACTTTGCAGGAATGATCAATACCAATTGTAGTTGTGCATATCTTTGGCATTTTCTGATTTAATGATTTTTATCAGAGTTATGGCCCTTTCATGAATCTTAATTTTTAGCTCGACTTTTCTATGAAAAGGGGAGCTATCCTACTCGCCCCGGCGTTAGCGTTGGCGTCACACCTTGGTTAAGTTTTTCGTACCACCCCACTTTATTTCAGAAGTATTACAAGTATGGCTTTGAAACTTACCATACTTGTTCACCATCATAACCTCCATCTACAGACAAGAGTACATAACTCTGTCAAGGTTTTTGACAGAATTATGGCCCTTTTTTGACTTAGAAAGTGTATTGAGCTTGGTTAAGTTTTTTGTACCACCTCACTTTATTTCAAAACCATTGGAGGTATTGCTTTGAAACTGACCATACTTGTTTACCATCACGACCTTCATCAACAGACAAGAGGACATAACTCTGTCAAGGTTTTTGACAGAATTATGCCCCTTTTTGACTTAGAAAATACATTGAATATGGGTAAAATCCACTTATTGCCTTAACCCTTTGAGATATTGCTTTGAAACTTTTAATGCTATTTCACATCATTACCCCCATCTGTACGCAAGAGAAGGTAACTCTGTCAAGGATTTGTTTTAAAAATTAAGGCCTTTTATCGACTTAGAATCTTGGTTAAGTTTTTAGTACCAGTCCACTTTTTGACTGAACTGTTTGAGATATTAATTTGAAAGTTGGAATACTTGTTTACCATCATGGTCCCAAAACATGGGCAGGAGAAGGTAATTCTGTTAAGGATTTTATTTGAATTATGGCCCTTTTTGACTTAGAAACTCAGTTAAGATTTTCATTCTTGTCCACTTGTTGACTTAACCATTTGAGATATTACTTTGGAAGTTGGAGTTCTTATGTGCCATCATGAGACCTATCTGTAAGCAAGAGAAGATAACTCTGTGAAAATGTTTCTTGATTTGTACTTAGAAATTCCTAGTTAAAGTCTTGTGTGCCCTTAACTGTCAAAGTTTTGTTTTATAGGCAAGCACTAAAAAAGTCGAGCGCGCTGTCCTTCTGACAGCTCTTGTTTTGAGTTTTGTTCGGATAACTTGTCCTATACTTCCAAATTTTACAGGACCAGCTAGCGTTTCACTAACATTCCGTAAGTTTTGTGTATCTTTTTACGTAAATTTAATCTTACGCAAAACGTAAATGTATGTTAGTTGCGTTTCACTAAACAGTATGTGCTATTTACGCTAGTAATAAGTGAGCATAACTGTATGTTTAAACTCACACAAATGTGTAGCTAATAAAGTTTAGTGAAATGCAAATAAATACGCAAGTTCTGCTTACGCGAAAAAATACGTTCAAACTGAGTTACGATAAAGTAGTAAATTAGTGGTACCCAGCCCTGATTTGTACCTATAGTACTTGCACATATCTAATTGTACATGTAATTTTTTAAAAAAGTATTTAAGTCTGTAAATAATTTTTGTGTCTGCTACACAATAGCTGAAACATGCTATAAAAGTAGCAGTGTCATACAGGGAACAAACTGGTCAATCACTCATCAATAGTCCGGCTAAATTGGCTATCATCAGGCAACATATGATCACTGATCTCTCTTGTTTAATCAAATATAATTGCTACAGCCACAACCTAGATAAAGACTGATTGCCTTTCACTACCCGTTACTTGTATCACAATGGACTGGAAGCTATTAAGCAAGCTTACAGGTCGGTATATTTTTGTACTTAAACCCTCGGACAGGGACAATTATTGAACAACATGAGATAATGTTCATAGAAAATATTTTTTCAAAGACCCAAGTAATTCTAATCTCAATATTGCTGATCTAGATAACTTTTTTTACGGCTTTACTATACAAATATTAAAATGGCTGACCTCTGACACAGGTCAGGAAACTTGGAAGGGGACTTAACAAGACAATGCTAACTTGCAAATATCAAGCCCATTATTCTCAAGCAAGAATTCTGAAAAGACTTTTTTTTAAAGATTTTCACTGTAAAGTTTATGTAAAACCATGAATCCCTGTCCCCTGGTTTGCAGCAAATATTTACTCTATGGAAATAGTTTGACCACTCTTTGTATGTAAAGGACCACACAACACATTAAATTTCAAATGTGTAGGTTTTGCTCTTATGGAGGGTTTTTAAAATATATATTTCTAGCCTCTCTGACTACATACAATGCCAGGACTTGAACCATTTGAAATTTGGTAGAACCTTAGTGAACGGATCATTCAAAGCAAGTTTCATCACATCTGAGGTCGTTTGCAACCATTGTGGACAATGTATAATAATAAAAAGCCCAAATGTGCACTGTTTATATAATAATAATACACAAATTCCATCCAGCTTTAATCACATCAAGCTTTTATCTGTCCTAAAAAGATAGATATCTCCTGTAAAATAATATTTTATAAACAAGGTAACAAAAATTTATAAAAAGAAAAATAATTTTATTTACATTTGCATAAAAAATATACCAGAATGTTTTCATGTGAAAATGCATTTAACCGCCTGGAAAAACATATCTTACTTTTCTTAATTTACGTAATACATGTATTTACAAAGATAATTCCAGTAAATCCTTAGATAACAACATTACACTAAGTCTGCATTGAAGACCTGAAGCACTGCAATTCATGATTTGGTATTGTTACAAAATCAAATTTGCATCTATACATTATCATTATTATCATCATCATCATTATCATCATCTTCTTCCCAACATTCATCACTATCATTCTTGTACTCATCAAAAGATTCAGCTGTTACAACGTTTGAGGCACGTAATTCCTGCAGGTTTTTACCTCTGTGAGCTGCGCCATTTTCACAAGTCAAACCTTGTCTTTCCAAAAATCGTGAGCACCATCCATTAGATGCCCGAAACTGACTCGTATCTACTTTGTACTTTCCTTCCTTGCCTAACCGACTTGCTTTTGATCTGACTGCAGATCGCAATAACCTTTTCCCGCTTTTATGCATATTCTTGCACCATGAAGCTAGATCCTTTTCTAGCTCATTATACGTTGAAGTTCTTGGAACGAACCGCTTTCTATCCTTACAACCGTTGATAATTTTTTCCTTGGATTTTCGCCAATATCTTATATTTTTTTCACTAATTTTGTACACTTTCGCTGCAAAAATGTTACTTGAACTTTCAGCAAAGTTTATGACAATGCTTTTAAATGCATTATCATAAGACTGTCTTGCTGATTTTTTATCTCTTTCATCTTGCATGTCGGTGAATTCTGATTCATTATCATTGTTTTTTGGTATTCCTTGTAATTCTGGAGGAATATCAATATTTACATCAGGGTTTTCTAGGTTGGTATCCATAATTCCTTCAACTATATTGTGTCTTTCCAAAATTTGTTGAGCCCAAGCATTTGAAATCATATCAGCACAGGAGTCTAAACCATACTTTTTATCCTTATACACTGCCTTTGCTTTTGTTGCAACTAATTCTGCAGAAATATCCAGTTTTTCTTTCTGCTTTTCTTGAATCCATGATAACAAATCATCCTCAAACTTTTGAAAATCTGTTCCTATTGCTTTAGCAATGCTTTCTTTATGGAGGGAGGTTTCAGATTGGTCCAAGTCATCTTTAACAGCATCAGTTTTCCTAATTTTTGAAAATGTGGTATTCTCAGATGTCTCATCATGTTGGCTGCTGTGCGACGTGCATGCAATGTTATCATAGGAGCGTTTCCTTTTTCCCCTAGACACAGTCTTTTTTTCTAGCAATTGATTTTTATCAGTTTCAAGTTCAGATTGTACATTATCACAAACATCAGAGTTATGAGCTGCCTTTGCTTCAGAGTCGGATATCAAACTTTTATGACCAACATTATCCGACATATTTGCAACAACACCCAATTTAACTCTTAGCCCTTTACTGTTCTCAACTTCTTCAGTTTTATGTAGTTCTCTAATTTCAGCATGAATACTATTCTCCGGATCTATTTCAAAAACATCAGTCATGTGTAATGATGATTGAGGATCAATACTTTCTGGATCATCATCTTCTTTAGGTTCTGTTTTAACGGAGTCACAATCTCCAATATCCTTAATTTTATTCTCTTCACCATCTCCCAAACTTTTATCTTCCACAACAATTTCATCCATGGAACATGAAAGACTTTGACTTATGTTAAGCTTTTTACCTTTCCCTTTAGTGCGACAGAGAACAAGACTATTTGATTTCAAAAATCTATCACACCATCTTTTCCCAAACAAATGCCGCGAAGTGTTCACTTTGTATTTTTGAACTTTCGCTAACATTTTTCCTTTTGTCATTATTTCTTTTTTACCAAGCATTACGCCTTTCTTTTGATAAAATAGAAACCATTTACATAAATCTTTTTCTATCATATCAAGAGCTGTTTGTTTTGTGACATTTTTCTTAAAGTTTCTTGGTTTCTGTAAAATCACATCCTTAGACTTTCTCCAGTCACGCACCAATTTTTCAGCGATACCAAATTTTCTTTCAGCTGCTCGGTTGCTAGTATTTTCAGCATATTTTACTGCACGAAGTTTGAAAGCATTATCATATGCTTTTCGCTTTCTCTTATTTGTCTTTCCATCTTCTATATCATCACCATCTTGAACATCTAATATCAGACCTGGTTTCTCATTTTCTTCTGAAATATTGTCAGATTTGTATTGGTCATCAATATCAGTGTCTGAATCTTCACCATCCTGATCCCTAGTTTCGGACAATTGATTATATGATATGCATTTTCTATCCGGTATTTCTGTACATTTTTCTTCTGTTATCTTGTTATTGTTTATTTTTACCACTTGAGTACAGAACTCTGTTGACTCAACTGAGTAAAGTGATTTAAAGGCAGGTAAATTCAAAAATGTTTTCAACTCTCCATGAAGCCCTTGCTCCATGTAGTTGCTAGCCTCATCCATAGTTTTCACTGCTGTTGTACCAAGTGTACTAAGTTTGACACATTGAAGTTTTGTAAACTGACTACTCAACACCCTACGGAGTTCTTTAATGTCCTTATTTACAGCTTTAAATACATCAATCAGTAACCCATTGGTCAGCTCTTTATTTTGGGATTGTAAGAAAGCCAAGTCAATATTCTCTGTTCTACTTTGTTACTCTTTCAACAAATTCTTTTTTCTAACAGGAAGAAGGAAAACTGTTTTCATTATTCTTTGCGCTTTATCAGTTTCACTGCTTTCGTTGCTTTCTTTTAATCTTTTCAGAAACTTCCTATTTCTTAAAACTTTATGTTGCAGATTATTTGAATCAACAATTTCCTCTTGCACTCCAATTTTTTGGCATAAAATTTGTGCGAGTTTATTTATACGTTCCTGAACTCCTACTCTAGGCAATTTTTGTTCCAAGTTCTCATAGGTTTCAAATACATGTTCATATGTAAGGTTGTGTGATTCACATCTTCTTTCCAGCAAATCTTCTTCCACATCATTTACCACCTCTATCTTAAAACTACCTTTTTTATAATTTCCCTTTAAAACACTTCCACAAGGAAACCTCAATTTCGAACAAATGATTTTATGTAATTTTTGTTTTCTATCTAGTATGCAATCTTCTGCTTTTAATATATGATTGGACTCACATTTCAATTCTGCAAAAATACTATAAAATAGATTTATAACTTCATCATTGGAAATTTTACTGCAGTCTTTCCTGTTTTCAGTCTCTGAATTTTCATTTCCATTATCCACACAAGAATACATCTTGCTTTCCTAAAAGACATATAACCAGACCTGGAATGGTTGTTAAGAAAATTTAAAACTTGCTAATTGCCACCATGTTCAGACTTTCTCACATCCTGAAATAAAAAAGATAACTCACAATTGGTACATTTATAACATAACAGGAGCATGTATTTTGATATCATTTATGAAATTATAATATATTTCTTGGCACATCTAATCCTGATTTTAAATTTTGTTTTAAAAAATAGCCTATGTAAGTACTTCTAAATCCAGTGGTACATATAATATGTTCTACCATGTAACTGTTGTTTAAAGATCTGGAAAAAAATCAAGAAGAAAATGCCCAAAAAAGCTTATAAAATGCCCAAAAAAGCTTATAACTATCATTTTCAGCAGTGAAGAGTGACTGTGAAGATAAACATTTAATATATATAATGTTTCAAAATTAATTTATTTTTCTATATTTTGTTTTCTTAATTTTATGACAATAATGTGATAAATTGTAACATTTATCTGATATCTTTTTTGCATATGAATACTGTTAAAAACAGTAGATTCTGATGTAGCAAACAAAAGTAGCAAACATTTTCGAACGTGGGAATTTGGGGGTTCTACCCGAATTCACTACCCCCTTCCATCCCATTTCTGCCAAAACTTGCTCCTGTGCCTGGCAAAATTACTGTGGAAAGGCCAGGTCATATACAATTTAAAATGCTCATTGATGTACAATTCAAATCTTAATAAATGTCATCAGGTAGACAATTTGTACTTTCGGTTTCACAGCTATAAAAAATAAGTAAACAAATAATGTATTGTTTACTGTTAAATCAGTAAATTTAATTATTTTTTTTTGGACTTTTACTAGATATATTTGTATAAATATAGTTTTTATAAGTATTCAATTATGCATACATCATAATCTAAGGGCACATACATTCGTTTACATGTGGACCATACGCAGTATGTCATTGTATGGCGTTAACATGTCTCGTTTAAGGTTCCATGATAACCGCCGTATGACAACGTCTGCGGAAGTGTTTTATTTAAAAAAAAATACCACTTCGTGTTAAATTTGGAAATCAACCTAAGCCGGTAGCTTGCACTTTCCGTATTCATTACATGTCCATTGTTTTTCAGACCTTACCCGAACACTGGCAGAAAGGACCAAAAAGTTTCGACTGAGCAACCAACATAAATATTTTCTGATGAAATATATTTCCTTTAAACGAATAATAGAGGTGGAAATATGATAATTGATTTACTTCTCTTATTATACCTGGAACTTAAAAACGTTGCACAGATAAGCATACAAATGGCGCTTTTGTAATAAGGGACGTAATCCTGATCGAATCAAAATCGGTGTTGCTTTAAGAATTATTTTTTTATGAATTAAAAAGCTATATGATGTTATTAATGCCATTCACTCCATAAATATCATATATTTAGACCCACGGGGGCCCCGGGGGAGGAAATGTTACACGAAAGATGGAGTTCTTATGATAACTTGTTCGGAGTTCTTATGATAACTGTCACGGAGTTCCTGGAAAACGTTACGGATTTCTGTGGAAAACTTTTCTATATACTTGGAGAACTCGCGTAAAAATGGTTATTTTTAACTTTAAATGGGGAGTTTGAGGTGCTAAATGAAACTTTGATAATTAAGCTTGCCCTACATATTGTATTTTGTTTCAGAAAAAATCGTTAAGTCCATATTTTGTCGCCTTTTTAAAAAAAATCTGGTAGTTTTGAGAAAAATTACCAAATTACTTGCTAATTCGTTCATATTGACCTTTTCATTTGTGATCTTCTTCGTTGCTATACTTAATTACCTAATAATTATGGAGAGATGCAAACATAAAGCCCGGGCTAATAAATTTATACCCGACTTTTCAAATGTTACGGAGTTCTTGCGATAACTCAAAATATGTCCTGGAGTTCTTATGATAACTTTTGTTTCTGCCATGCCAGTGTGTTTTGTGCTTAATCACGGCACGTTTAAGCGTATTTTTATTAGTCATTAAGTGTGTAAATCATTATGAAGCATAGTACGCTTATCATTTGCAAAATAATTTGGTTATATAACGTTGGTTTTGATCGTGTTTTTCAGTTCAAGAGATATTTTTCTTACCTCCGTTTCTTGTGGGGTTTTTTTGTGTTTGTTTTGGTCTTTGTGTGTGTGTGTGTGTGTGTGTGTGTGTGTGTGTGTGTGTGTGTGTGTGTGTGTGTGTGTGTGTGTGTGTGTTTTATTTTATTGGAATGACTGTAAACATACTTGATGTAGAGCATTTACTTACAGGATAAAAATACGCTTTGAATTTAATACTCAAGCATGATTTCGTCATATATGCATTATTCCTGGCAGTTTTAGAGAACATTAAGTAACTATGCTATCGGTATGCATGTAAATGGTTATCAGCAAAATAGTAGGTAGTATGCACTACCCTTATCTAAATTTAATGAGATGGGTGTCGTCTTTATGTATTCAACGGTATTTCAATTTCTAAAAGGTATCAGTTTTTGTCATAGAAACGTATAAAAGTCTATGACAATGATATGACGATAGAAAGTAAGTCTTTAATAAGATATGTGAGTCACCGTAAGGTTCATGCCGTTTATCGACCTTGTTCCTTTCTCTATTAAATCCAATGTAGCATCACGTGACGTATAGCAATTTCCATATTTCGGAAAATTACTGCATACATTTTTCTTATCAAAGTTGGAGTCCTAGTGGAAATTTTGCAACAACTTTTGCTGTAATTGATTACAAAAATATATTGTCGAACTTCTTTCGCTCGAACACGTAGGGCACGTGCAAATCTGTCGAAGAGATCGGTAGTAATCGGTTGATTTTTTATTCATAAAAAGATCATACATTTCTGGTGCATGGGTGTGAAGGATATCCCGTATGGAGGGCGATCGTTGCCAAAATTCCAGACATGTAATGTGTTCCTTTTGAAAACTTCTTTTGAAAATGCGAACGTGTATGTCTAGCATTTTTGATTGTATTCGTGCACAGCAAATGATATCCTCTTAATCCAATCTTTTAATTGAAGGCACCCGCTTTTAAATAACAAGTTTACATGTAAATCTTAACAACTGAACTAACATGGAGAACAACAACAAATTTACAAGTTCGTATCTTACATTGCATATAATACATAAGCATGTTTTCACACCTGTACCTGAAAAATACAAATGCAATGTAAAACTCGAATTACAGAAAATAGAATTTAATAAAACGTGTTTCCAGTTGTAGAACTACAACAGAACGTTTACACTGTAACATGTTTAAAATGACAAATGTAGATTAACAAAATTAAACGATTTTAAGTCATGCATGACGCCCCGCCCCTCTTTGAGTATTTACGATCTTCTATTACGTAAATGTACGGACAGGTATAATACCCGTCACATCTCTCCTATTTCTCAATAAAGAGAAGGAAAACACGGCGTCCATTCCAACTTTTTTTATTTCTATAAAAAGTCAAATATATTTTGTATCAAATGAAAGATTACTCCATAAGCTTTCTATGAGTGCCCTGTTTCAAAATTTATCATTTTTTCCTCTGAAAATAACACTCTCGAATTGGTCAGAAAAACACGGCGTTCCCTCCAAATTTTTTTTATTTCGTAATCAATTTTGATAATTGTGGATTGAAATTATGATTTATAAAATGCCTAAAATAAAAATGAATTGAATCAAAATGGATAAATTTTCGTATTAAAGTTTATCATGTTTCTTTCTGTAAATAAGAGAAAATAAGAATCCCTAAAGAACGCTCAAAACGACAAAATTGAGAATGTTGCAGTTTCGGTTAGATTGAGCCTGTTCATGGACGGTAATGGAAAACGCAACCCCATAGCACCGGCTTAAGCAAAATTCAACATAAACTGATACAATTTTGAATTTTGAAACATCCACAGATGTGTTAATATGGCGATTATCATGGAAACTTCAATGTGACATTCCACGAAAAACGGCATATGGTCCCCAAGTAAAAAAAAAAACTCTGAAATTCAGTAAGAGAAACATGGAGCCCCCTACTTACTTTTTTTTATTTCTTGGTCAATTTCGATAATTTTAGACTCAAGTAAAAGAATCCTTCATGAACTTTCTAGTGATGCCTTAAAAATGGAAATTAATTACTTAGAAGTATTAAAAATTGTGTTTCAAACTTATCGTTGTTTTTTTTTTTTCACCCATAAAACCATACTCATATATTCGGAAAGAAAAACACGTCCCTTTCTTTCGATCATTTATTCGAAAAAGAAAATGAATATTGATTTTTTAAAGTAAAGACCATAAGCTTTAAACAAGTATAAACAAAGTGATCCCTCGGAAGCATTAATCACAACAAAATTACATAAGAATTGCAGTTCGGTTTGATTGAGTCTGCACATGAGGAATAATGAACAAGTGCAACATCCCACACGCCCCCTAGCACCGGCTTGAGCGGTACTCAATTCTCAACACTTAATAGCGCTGGCATTAATGATCCCGAAGGACCAGAAAAATATAACAACACTAAAGTGAAGTACGGGGAAACTTTGTACAGCTGCCACACGGCACTTGACACCTGCTGTTGTGAAGTATAAAAATCTGGAAACAAAGTGAGCCCTCGGAAGCATTAATCATAACAATATTACATAAGAATTGCAGACTCGGTTTGACTGAGTCTGTACATGAGAAATAATGAACAAGCGCAAAAAGTTTTTATTTATACTGAAAATACCTTATTAAAGATTGTACATATGTGCTACGGATAAGTATTTTCTTGATTTCGGAAAGGAAATCTCGGTGGCCGCTTTAAAATCCTATTTTTGCAAATACTTGCATAGTTTTTGTTGAAAATGAAATTTGTGCCAATACATTTTTCAATGATACCAATAAAAATATTGGATGGTTTTTAGATTATCAATAAAATTACTCCCTTAAAGTTGGTCATTGTTTCCCCTAAAAATTTCCAAATCGCCGATGTTTCTCAGGAAAACACGATGTTAAATAAAAAGTTAATGCATAAGTTATCTTCATCATAAATGGTAAAATCAGCAATTTTCAAGTGATGTTGCTAGTGACGTGACAAAACTTTTGTAACAAATGTAACAAATATATGTTATGAAAAATGCGGTATGTTGTCCTGAAGTTTTATTTAGAAAAATGGGAGAGGCGCCGTTTTATACCTGTCCTCAATAGAAGTTCGTAAATACTCCGAGAGGGGCGGGGCGTTATGCTTGACTTAAAATCGTTTAACTTTGTGAATCTACTTTTGTCATTTTAAACATGTTACTGTGTTAACGTACTCTTGTAGCTCTACAACTGGTAACACGTTTTCTTTAACTCTAGTTTCTGTATTTAAGATTTACATTTCATTTGTATATTTCAGATCTATAAGTGTGCAAACATGCATATGTATTGCATGCAATGGAAGATACGAACTTGTAAATTTGTTGTCGTTTTAGATGTTAGGTCAGTTGTTACTATCTATATGTAAACTTGTTATATAAAGGCGGGAACCTTCAATTAAAAGATTGAATTAAGAGGCATATTATGTGCTATGCACGGGTACAATAAAAAATGTTAGGCATACAAGTTTGCATTTTCAAAAGTCATTTTAAAAAAGGAACACTTTACATGTCTGGAATTTTGGCAACGAACGCCCTCCATAATCCCGGTTATATACGTTACATGGTATATAATGATACAATTTACTTAGCCGCTTCTTGGGGGAAGCCCAACTACTTATTGTCTGCTTTAGAAAGGCGGTTGCTTAAAACAAGTTATCTGAGAAAAAAAGTGTAAGTTTTAAATATTTTTTCCTTGGCGGTTTAAGCCATGTACGTTACTGCTGAATACAGGTGACCGCTGATTCAGGTTTTCCTGAAGAATTTTGTTTGTTTGTTTGTTTCATTTTACGCCTTTTCCCAACAGTATTTCAGTCATATGGGCGGGTAGTTTCCATCGTTCCTGGAGAGTTACACCAGTACTAGACTACCTTCCTCCGTGCTAAACTACCAAAGCATCTCCCGGGGATCGAACCCACGCCAGAGAGGTAACTGGATTAGAAGTCATCGACTCAAACCCCTCGACCACGGAGGCGGTCGTTCCTGAAGATATAACTTAGCACCTGTTTATCCTATGTAGACTGTACACCAAAGCAGTTTCATGTCTTCTCCAGATATATTCATTGATCGTGTTTTAATTTTGCCACATGGCCTCAATGTTGCATTTGCGGAAACTTATGACATAAAACTTTTGTTGACGAACAGTATACACAGAAACATTTAGTGCATTCGTTGGGTTTTATAATGTCAATATGATTTCGCACAAATTTAATTAGGAACTAAAACACGATCAAAACCAACGTTATATAACCAAATTTTTTTGCAAATGATAAGCGTACTATGCTTTATAATGATTTACACACTTATTGACTAATAAAATACGCTTAAACGTGCCGTAATTAAGCACAAGAAACACACTGGCAGTAACAAAAGTTATCATAAGAACTCCAGGACATATTTTGAGTTATCACAAGAACTCCGTAACATTTGAAAAATCGGGTATACATTTATTAGCCCGGGCTTTATGTTTGCAACTCTCTACTATATTAAATAATAATTAATAAATTAGGTGATTATGTATAGCAACGAAGAAGATCACAAATGAAAAAGTCAATATGTACGAATTAGCAAGTAATTTGGAAATTTTTCTCAAAACTACCAGATTTTTTTAAACGGCGACGAAATATGGACTAAAATATGTAGGGCAAGCTTAATTATCAAAGTTTAATTTAGCACCTCAAACTCCCCATTTAAAGTTAAAAATAACCATTTTTTACGCGAGTTCTCTAAGTATATAGAAAAGTTTTCCACAGAAATCCGTAACGTTTTCCAGGAACTCCGTGACAGTTATCATAAGAACTCCAAACAAGTTATCATAAGAACTCCATCCTTCGTGTAACACTTCCTCCCCCGTGAGACCACCCACGTCATCAATATCTTAGATTAAGGCCATCCACTCCATCAATATCTTAGATTTAGGTCATCCACTCCATTTATCAGTGTCAACTAGGTTAAAATCACAAAAGTTAGGAATTGATTTAACCTTTCAACTAACATTAAATTTGATTAAGAAATTTGCAATGTTTGATCTTTAGACAAAATCACAGGAACTTGAAATTATTTCATTATCTATCACTAACCATAATATCCATTTATACTCCTATACAGCATAAGAAAGTTTTATTTATACTATATAGGAGGTATTCTTTTATATTATCATCAATATTGGTTGAAAGACTTTCAAGTTACTGTGTCTTACTAATATTTTATTATTTCTATACAGTACAGGTTGTTAATTATTTTCATGGTATAGGATTTTCTGTTAAGCTGGAAAATAGCTTATATATCTAGTGTTATTATATTTTACTGTAACCTACAATAAATAAAGATTATCTTATCTTTCCAATCGCAATGGAATCTAAATAATTCCCATATGGGCACTTGGGGTCTTGCTCCATCAGAAAAGCAAACTGATTTGAGAAGTAAATATGTGACTTAACAAGAACTATTTGAAATAAATGGGTCTACACAATAATGAATATTTCACTGAAATAGATGTTGCTTTTTTTATTCCATTAAACTGCCTGAAATTAACAACATGTTACCAATAAACAGCATCCCATGGTCACGTTTGAATGAACAACCTTTACCTAAAAATCTTTAAAAACAAGCATTAGACTATGTTAGACTCCAGGATTTCTAATGGTTCGCTGCATTTCAAATTAAGATACATGACATTTTTTTCTAAGTTAAGAGAACCTGGCTTGATACATGGTTGCACTTCTATTCAGTTTTGAACATTTTTATTAAGACGTCTACGGGAAAACAAAGGGATCGTAAAACTTGTAAATGATGGCATTTTGTTTCATATCAAGTAGATAAACCACTTTTAAAGAAGAATATTAGGAAAATAAAATACTTTGGCCATTTTTTTGAAAACAAAACAGAAATAATTTGATTTCAAATGTTTTATTTATCCATGTTGTAATAAAATATAAAACTATAGAATATTTACAATGACATTTGAACTTGCCCCAATCAATCAATGACAGGCACAACACTGTTTTAGCCGCTTTTATTAAAATAGCCCACTAAAGCAAATAAAGATTTCTCTGGGATTTAAGTAAGGTAAAAAAAACTTGATTCAACCATGCCCAGTTGAATAATACAATAATACGAATTTCACGAGGTTCATTTTACCATTACCAGTAACCTTTAAAAAGAAATAATGAGTGAGTGAACATGAGATAATGTTCATATCAAAAATTTTGTAATGCCCTACGTAATTCTATTCTCAACAATGCAGATCTAAATAATTTTTTAAGGTTTTACTATACAAATATTTAAATGGCTGACGTCTGGCACAGGCCAGGAAACTTGGAAGAGGACTAAACAAGACAACATAACTTGCGAATATCAAGCCTATTATTCTCAAGCAAAATTTCTGACATGACAATTTTTTTAAGATTTTCACTATTGAAGTTTATGTAAAACCATGAATGTCCCCTGGCTGCAGCAGTATTACTCTATGGAAATAGTTTGACCAATCTTTATGTGTAGAGGACCATACAATACATACTAATTAAATTTCAAATTTATAGGTTTTGCTCTTATGGAGGATTTTTAAAATATATATTTCTAGACATACTAGACTAGAACCATTTGAAATTTGGTAGAACCTTTGTGAAAGGATCATTCAAAGCAAGTTTCATCAAATCTGAGGTCATTTGCAACCATTCATTGTGGACAATGTATTATAATGTCAAGATCAAATTTGCACTGAATATAAAATAATATACAAATGAGCCAGGTCATGACATAATGGGTTTGTGACCAGCATGGATCAAGACCAGCCTGCACATCCACCCAGTCTGATCAAGATCCATGCTGTTCGCTGTCAGTTTCTCCACTTGTAATAGAGTTGGTAAGCAAACAGCATGGATCCTGATCAGACTGCATGGATGTGCAGGCTGGTCTGGATCCATGCTGGTCGCAAACCCACTATGTTGGTTTTGTCTTGAGGCGGCTCAAATTCTATCCAGCTTAAGCTGTTATAAGAAATAGATTTAAAATATTTACATTTCATAAGGGAGGCAACTAACATTTTATAAAAAGAACATTCATTTCATTTACATTTGCATAAACCTATACTAGCAAGTTTTCACATGAAAATGCAATCAATTAGCTAAGAAACTAAGTTTTCTTAATTTACATAATATACTTAGATCTATAAAGATAATTACAGTAAACTCAGAGGTAAAAATGTTACACTTGGTCTATTTTAAAGACTGAAGCCTTAAAGATAATGATTTGATATTATTACTAAATTTAATTCCATCTATACAACATCATCATTATCATCATCTTCCCAACATTCATCACCATCATTTTTGTCCTCATCAGTTGTTACAATGTTTGAGGCACCTAATTCCTGCTGCTTTTTTCCTCTGTAAAATCTACCATAATCACAAGTCAAACCTTGTCTTTCCAAAAATCGTGTGCACCAATTCTTAGATGCCCGAAACTTACTCATATCTGCTTTGTAATTTCCTTCCATGGCTAACTGACTTGCTTTTGATCTGACTGCAGCTCGCAATAATCTTTTCCCACTTTTTTGCACATCCTTACACCATAAAGCTAGATCCTTTTCAAGCTCACCGTATAATGTTGAATTGCTGGAACGAAAACGCTTTCTACCCTTCTTCCCATTGATAATTTTTTCCTTGGAATTTCGCCATTCTCTAACATTTGATTCACTAGTTTTATACACTTCTGCAGCAAAGTTGTTGCTTGAACTTTCAGCAAAGTTTATAACAATGCTTTTAAATGCATTATCATAAGATTGTCTTGATTCTTTTTCAGCTCTGGCATTATCACAAGTCAAATTGTGTCTTTCCAAAAATCGTGTGCACCAACTCTTAGATGCCTGAAACTGACTCATATCTCCTTTGTACTTTCCTTCCTTAGCTAACTGACTTGCTTTGGATCTGACTGCAGATCGTAATAATCTTTTCCCACTTTTTTGCACATCCTCACACCATAAAGCTAGATCCTTTTCAAGCTTACCATATGTTGAATGGCCGGAACGAAAACGCTTTTTATCCTTCCTCTCACTGATAATTCTATCCTTGCATTTTCGCCAAGATCTAATATTTGATTCACTAGTATTATACACTTTTGCAGCAAAGTGGTTGCTTGAACTTTCAGCAAAGTTTATGACAATGCTTTTAAATGCATTATCATAAGACTGTCTTGATGTTTTTTTACCTATTTCATCTAGCATGTCGGTAAATTCTAATTCATTAGCATTCTTTTGTGGTATTCCTTTTAATTCTTGAGGAATATCAATATCTACATCAGGGTTTTCTAGGTTGGTATCCTTAATTCCTTCAACTAAATTGTGTCTTTCCAGAAATTTTTGAGCCCAAGTATTTGAAAACATATCAGCACAGAAGTTTAAACAATACTTTCTTTCTTCATACAGCGACTTTGCTTTTGTTGCAACAAATTCTGAAGTAATATCCAGTTTTTCTTTCTGCTTTTCTTGAATCTGTGACAACAAATCATCCTCAAACTTTTTTGCATCTGTTCCTATTGTTTCAGTAATGCTTTCTTTATGAACAGAGATTTCAGATTGGTCCAACTTCAAGTCATCTATAGCAGCATCAGTTTTCCTAACCTTTACAAATGTGGTATTCTCAAGTGTCTCATCAAGTTGGCTGCTGTGCAATTTGCATGCATTGTTATCAAAAGAGCATTTCCTTTTTCGCCTAGACACAGTCTTTTTTTCTAGAAAAAGATTTTTATCAGTTTCTAATTCAGTTTTTACATTATCACAAACATCAGAGTAATGAGCTGCTTTTGCTTCAGAGTCAGAATTCAACCTTTCATGAACGTCATTACCTGACATATCTGCAACAACACCTAACTTTACTCCCGGCTCTATATTGTTCTCATCTGACTCAGTTTTAACAGGTTCCTCAATTTCAGCATGCAGACTGTTCTCCAAATCTATTCCAACAACATCAGACGTATGTAATAATGATTGAGCAACAATACTTGTATCAACGTTTTCAATAGGTTCTGTTTTCACTGGTTTACAATCTCCTATATCTTCCATTCTATTCTCTTCATTGTCTCCAAAACTTTCAACTTCCATATCAGTTTCATTCATGGAACAAGAAAGAGTTTGACTTATGCTTAGGTTTTTACCTTTCGCTTTTGTGCGGCAGAGAGTGAGATTATTTGATTTCAAAAATTTATCACACCATTTTATCCCAAACAAATGACGGGAAGTGTCCACTTTGTACTTTGGATCAGTCGCTAACATTTTTCCCTTTGTCATTATTTCTATTTTACCAAGCACAATGCCTTTCTTTTGATAAAATAGAAACCATTTACATAAATCTTTTTCTATCATATCAAGATCTGGTGCTCTTGTGACATTTCTCTTTCTGTTTCTTGGCTTCTGTAATATCATATCCTTTAACCTTCTCCAGTCGCGCACAGATGATTCACCGATACCAAATTTTTTTGAAGCTGCTCGGTTGCTTGTATTTTCAGCATATTTTACTGCACGAAGTTTGAAAACATTGTCGTATGCTTTTCGCTTTCTCTTATTTGTCTTTCCATCTTCTATATCATCACCATCTTGAACATCTAATATCAGACCAAGTTTCTCATTTTCTTCCAGAATATTGTCAGATTTGTATGGGTCATCAATATCAGTGTCTGAATCTTCACCATCCTGGGAATCCCTGGTTTTGCACAATTGATTATATGATGTGCATTTTTTATCTGGTATTTCTGTACATTTTTCTTCTATTAACTTGTTTTTGTTTACTTTTACTTCTTGAGTGCAGAACTCTGTTGACTCAACTGAGTAAAGCGATTTAAAGGCAGGTAAATTCAAAAATGTTTTCAATTCTCCATGAAGCCCTTGCTCCATGTAGTTGCTAGCCTCATTCATAGTTTTCATTGCTGTTGCACTGAGTGTACTAAGTTTGACAGATTTAAGTTTTGTAAACTGACTACACAGCACCATATGAAGTTCTTTCATGTCCTTATTTACAGCTTTAAATACATCAATCAGTAACCCATTGGACAGCTCTTTATTTTGGGACTGCAAAAATGCCAAGTTAATATTCTCTGTTCTACTTTGTAATTCTACCAACAAATTCTTTTTTCTAACAGGAAGAAGGAAAACTGTTTCCATTATTCTTTGCTCTTCTTCATTTTCATTGTTTTCTTTTAATCTTTTCAGAAACTTCATTTCATTTAAAACTTTAAGTTCAAGGTTATATGAGTCAACAATTTCCTCTTGCACTTCAATTTTTTGGCATAAAATTTGTCTAAGTTTATTAATATGTTCTTGCACTCCTGCTTGAGGCAAATTTTGTTCCAAGTTTTTGTAGGTTTCAAATACATATTTATATGTAAGGTTTTGTGATTGACATCTTCTTTCCAGGAAATCTTCCACATCATTTACTACCTCAATCTTAAAACTATCTTTTTCATAAATCCCCTTTAAAACACTTCCACAAGGAAACCTCAATTTTGAACATATCATTTTATGTAATTTTCGTTTCCTATCTAGTATGCAATCTACTGCTTTTAACATATGATTTGACTCCCATTTCAATTCTGCAAAAATACTATAGAAGAGATTTACAACTTCATCATTTGAAATTTTACTGCAACTTTCCCTGTTTTCAGTCTCTGAAATTTCATTTCCATTATTCACAAAAGAATTCATCTTCTTGTTTTCCTATAAGACATATAACTAGACAAGGAATGGCTGTTTCGGAGACTTTTGATCACAAAACTTGCCAACTGCCAAAATGTACAGAATTTTTCACATCCTGAAATAAAAAAAAGAACTCACAATTGGTACATTTATAACAAAACAGGAGCAACATGTATTCTTGATATCAGGTTAGAATATAATGAGATTAGAATATATATATTTTTTTCACATCTTATCTTAAATATTGTTTTAAAAAATAGCCTATGTAAGTACTTTTAAAAACCAGTGGTGCATACTATGTTCTACCATGTTGATTAAAGATCTAGAAAAATTATGGAAGAAAATGCACAAAAAAAATAACAATTAACCAACATTAAGTCCCTTGAATGAATCATTTATAACATGCTGTAACAAGCTTTATTTTAATTCGGTGAATTGTGCCTTAAAGTGGTGAATCTGTTTTAATTTTACCATTGATTATAGTAATTTATACCTAATATTTTTACATGTTTTCATGATTCATTTAACAAACTTTACATTTAATTCAATAACGTATAAATGCTAATGTTTCACAAAACATATCATTTGGTAATGTTAAAGTGAGAAAAAACTTTAATTAGTGTATTGAGGCTAATCATGAGTGCAGCCAACCAGTCATATCGTCACAGCTATTATTAATAATAAACTCAGAGTCAGATTGAAAGTAGTTCTACCAGTTGATTTAATTAAGATGTTAACATAAATAGAGGGTGAAATCTTTGATAATGTATAAAGAATGCATATTTTTGACGTCCAACAGAAAATAAACATATTTCGTTAAAATTATTATCACACATATGTCTGACAATAATAAACAATTTAAAAATGCTCATTAATTACAATCAAACCAATTACAACCAAGTCTGAATAAATGTCAACAGGGAGATTATTTCTTCTTCAAGTTTCCACAACAATAAGTAAATAAATAAAGTATTGTTTACTATCAAATCTGTTGTTATAATTAATTTATGTGGACTTTACTCAATATATTTGTATAAATATAGTATTCAAAACCTTACTGTTTGCATACATGTTTAGGTTAGACTCCTGGCGGAACACTGGCTGAAAGCACCAAGGATCATGTTGAAATATGGTGTTTCAATGGGGGTAATAAATATTGGTTTACACGTTGGGAATGGATTTCTATAAGTTATCTAGTAAAAAGACCCTTAAATCCAAAAAGCAATAATAAAAGATATACACTTATTATTTAATTTTACCTATGAAATATGGTGCAATATCAGTCAAATATATTTCATATTTTTTAAAAATAAATATGAAATATAAATATGAAAGTGGGCGGAGTCAAAACTCATATTTATTTTAAGGGACTTCTTTCGCCATTTTGTTTGAAAAATCTGATAAATACAAACAACTTTTTTGTTGAATTTTGTTTTGAAAACTATCTAGAATGATAGAAAATGGTCTAACTAAGAAAATAAATCCGAACAACAATATCTTTAATTCAGTCATTAACGCTGTACAGACGTTTAAAAAGTTGTTTCCGTGACGTCACAATCTAGCGCTAAATATCGTGTGCAAAACAAGACGATACTTATATTATTGCGCACTGTATAATTGAGTTGCGTAGCAGGCAAGGGGGTTCATAATCATTTTTCTTTGATAATGAAATTAAATAAAAAGGTTATTTTTTCTTTTTTCGTGAAATATGGTATATATTTTCACTCAACATGATAAAATGCCTCATATTTTCACTCGCCGTCCCGGCTCGTGAAAATATGTGGCATTTTATCAAGTTTCGTGAAAATATATTCCATATTTCACTCAAACGAAATAATATCCTCTTAAAGAATAATTCCATACAAAAAAAATTAAAGTAAATACACATGTTTATGCAGAAAAATCTCACTTATCATCATTTTACGCGATTATTTTGTATTATGACGTGAAAAACAAGCCTTTTCTGTATCGTATTGTAGTATAAAGTTTTAACCTCTTATTATTTAACAATGACATGTAATATCTGAATAATTGGTCAATTATCACCTGCATAATGTCCAACTTGATGCTGTTTTAAACTTTTAAATAATTTTAAAGTAGAAAAGCAAAAAGCACTGGGAAATACAAATAAGGCAGTCAAAATCCTTAATTCAACACCATCATTTAATTTTGTTCTAAATTCTATGGGAAATTTCAAAAGACTGGGGAATATTTAAGACCAAACTGGGGAAAAAAAGAGGCTAGTTTGGTTGGGGAAGTAGCCTATATTCGGCCTCTACAAAGAAGGGTTTTTTGGCCCTGGTTTTAAATAATTTCATGAAACAAATTATTCTTAATTAAAACTGAATTAATATATGTATATGTTTATAATGATATTTAACCCTTTACCTCATATATACGCGAAACAACGCACTTTGGACCCCCCCTTTTAGACCTCAAATAGCGAAAAAAATGTCCTATTTGGGCCCAAAACACATGTTTTCGTTTGAGAAATGTTGCTAAGAAAAGTGCTCACTTTTTCGGCGCCACCCCCCATCCAAAAGATACATCAAGGGGTTGCCAGAAGGGGAATGTGCCCCCTTCTGCTTGGGGGGGTTTGAAGGCAGTCCCCCCCCCCCATCGCCAAGAAAATTTTGGACTTGTGAGAGGGTAAAAATGACCCCAGGTCGATCATAAGGTAATGTGTAACCAATGCTGAAAAGCCTTTGACTCTATCTCCATCCATTGAGAAGTTGCAGCACTTTGAAATCAATTTTGATGGAAAAAGTCAAGGCAAAATAGTGATTTTTGGCAATTTTGAGATGTCCCCTCATTGTCATGGTAACAGGAAATTTAAGACTGAGCATGTCGTTACAAAGGCAATGGTCCAGTCAACATTCGTGCCAAGTTTGATTAGTATTGAAGCATTTTTCATAGTTTCATAGCAGTTTGAACTTGTAACAGGAGGCTTTTCAATGAAAACGGCCATTTTTCACAATATGCTCATGAGTGAAAGGGTTAAAGAAAAAAAGAAAAGCCAATTAAACGCGGAAAGTCCGAGCGGGCCGAAATATCTTTATAACATTAACTCACGGTCCGCCTCGTCTCGAGTCACAGTCCACCCTGTCCAAAAATATGGTCCGCCTTGTCCAAACATACCGTCCACCCTGTCTCACGGTCCGCCCTGTCCGTAGAGCTTAATCCGTAATGTACCGGAAAAAGGTGTTTAGCTCCATTTTTGAAAAGGTCAATTTATATGGATTTAACTCAATACAGGATTGGAGCAGTACCTCTAGACGCTTGCAGAAATCATGATCACAAAATAGACAAATATAGTTTACATTTTTCATTCATTATCATACATAAATTGGTGTGAAAAGATGAATTATACTTATTAAAGTTCATTCCGTTGGGTAAAACGGCCAGATTTTAGCATTTTATGATTCAAGCGCCTTAAGTTAATACGGTATTTTAGTGCGGTGCTCCAATCCTTTTTTTTCGGTACCACTAAAATACGCAACGGAGATTTTTGGCGCAACGGACGCAACGGAGATATTTTTTTTTAGAAAAGCCGGCACAAAGCCTTTTTTAAAAATCAATGTGCTATATTTAAGCATCTAAAATGATTGTTTATAACTATTTAGTAAGTAAGTTTTAAAATATTTCATAAATTGTATATGTTTAATTGCACTGAAGGGTCATATGCCTGGCGAAATGGAAATTTCATGGCGCAACGGAGATATTTTTTTCAGAAAACCGACACAACCCCTTTTTTTTAAGTCAATATGCTGTATTTGAGAATCTAAAATGATTGTGTAGCACTATAAAGTAAGTATGATTTCAAATGTTTCATAAATTGTATACACTGAAGGATTATAATATGCCTGGCGAAATGGATATTTCATGGCGCAACGGAGATAATTTGGGAAAATCGGCACAACGTTTGTACTATTATATGAAATTAATTAACACCAATGTTATTTGAATAAATAAATTTAAAAAAAAAAGATTTAAAAACCTTAATCGGAGATTTTTTTTTTTGGCTCAACGGAATCAATGTTAGTCCGAATTAAGTAGTTATATGAAGAAGTAAAGCATTAAAGATATTAACTGAATTACTGAAGTGGTGTAATAAATGTCTGTTTTATTAATTTAGAAATGGAATTAAATACGGTTTTATCGTTATGGCTGACACTGAAAGACATGTATGGATTTTACAATCTGTTTCATTTTTTCCCGTTCAATTCGTTTTTTTTACGAAAAGTACCTTAATAGCTTTTCTTTACATAATTTTCAGAATTAAACTTGAAGAATATGAAAAGTCCGTAAAGCATACGCTGTTGACTTTCTAATGTAATCTTAACAATAAATTACCAAATTTCAACAAAACGTTCATTAATGGCTTTATTGATGCACAAAGAAATACGATTTTTTTCCGTCATGGCTGATATTCGAATGATTGTAATATTTTATGCATTTTTAAAATTAAAAATAGTACAGAACAGAAACTTTATTACTTGGTTTAAGCATAAAAAGCTCATCACCATATTAAATATACAAATACAACATATAATACATAAATGACACATGACATGAATATATATAATTACAAAATAATGGTTTATGTGATGTGAGAATGTTTAATTTGAGATACGAAATTACTTAAAAAACATATGAATACATGTATATAATACACAAGAATTGGCCTATCTTTACCAAACATTATCAATTTAAGCTACAAAATAATAATACATTTTCTTTTATCTGAAAACAAAAAAGCAAACTGTGACAAATGAAGGGGGATAACTTAGGTAACTTTACATAACCAGTATTTTAACATTTACTTCCCCTTAATAATTCATGATCAATATTAATAGAATTCATTTCTATATGAAAAATGAATACATTTACTGATTTTGTACGTTTTTTTATATATATAAAGAAAAGAAAAACCCACACAAAACATACCAATACCCAAAACAACTAACACTTGACTTAATTATAAGGATTAGTTTTGTCAAAACATTTTATCATGGTATTTATATTTGGTTATGTGTTGAAAAACAGATATAGTTAATTTCAGAAGATACAAATATTAATAAATAAATAAAAAAAATATATGTATATATGTACAATTTCATATTCACATATAACTTTACAATAGTAACTATACAACATATTTATTGTTTGACGTAATTATTAAAATTGTAAAACGACATGCCTGTAGAATTTGCTTAGACTTTCCATTTTAAAACATAAGATAATTAACTTGAACGTTACTTATAACAATTCCTTCCCAATCAGAAAACCCCGTTAATCAAATGCAGCTACTGTTTATTTAGCGAAACAACAGCATTTTGGTGATTGGCAGAATGTTTATCACGGGTGTTAAGTACCGATAATTAAATTACCAATGACACGTGGTTGATGTTTATTGGACAAGCGTTTTCACACCATTTAGATAATGTGATTAAGAGGAACATGTATTGACTTTAAGGTATTACATATTTTTTATAACTTATTATTGTCGAAAATATTGCTTTTGAAGCTTATTATGCCATATTTCACTCAAACTATGAGAAAAATTGTGTTTATGAAATGTGAGACGTAATAAAACATTTTGGAGCCTGAATCCACCACTGATAACGGTCAAGTTTTCTTTTACAAGTGTTAAAATTATTAAACACCCGTGCCATAGTCGTGCACGATACGTTGCTAATTGCTTACAATTCTCGCGTTATTGATTACCGTTTGTCAATATAACAATTATGAAATATTTTGATTGCTTTTGATGAAATATACAATTTATACGCAACAAACAATTATTGAAAAAGTACACAATGATTAATGAAAGATAATAAATTAATAAAATAATATAATATGATAAAACTGTTATGATAGTCCCCGTTGTGCCGAAATGTGTCCATTTCGCCGTAATTCAAATATCTTTTACAACATCCTATTTTCAACATTTTCTAAAACAAAGGAAAGTTAATCATTTTTAAAAGACTGTTACTTATTATTCTCAAATTCTTAAGTTATGTTTACATTAGAACTACCCGTTATGCAAATCTTCATTTTCATTGCGCCGAAATTATGTCCATTTCGCCGTCCATTTAGAATCTGATATATTCAGTATTCTACCTAATAAAATCACACTTATACAGTATATGTAAAAAATATGTATAAAATATCAACAATACCAACTTATATGATTATTTTACGTTTAGACATAAAAAACAGTACACAGTTTTGAAAATAAAATCTCTGTTTCGCAATAATCCATCGGCGCAACGGAGTTTATGAAAGGTATTACAAAAATACAATGAATGTTTATAATAAAAAAAAACTGAACATTGATTCTGTAATAATAACATATTCCTTTATTTAGTTAACTAATGCAAATTCAATTAAAAATTATGTATAGAAAAGCTATTACAGTACTTTTCGTAAAAATAACGAATTGAACGGGGAAAAATGAAACAGATAGTAAAATCTATACTTGTCTTCCAGTGTCAGCCATAACGATAAAAATGTATTTCATTCTATTTTTAAATGAATTAAACAGACATTTATAACACCACTTCAGTAATTCAGTTAATATATTCAATGATTTACTTCTTCATATTACTACTTAACTCGGACAAACATTGTTTTCTTTTTAAATTCCGTTGCGCCAAAAAAAAAAAATCTCCGTTGCGCAGACAAAATGTCCATTTCGCCAACACACAATCCTTTATGTACAACATCAACATTGCAGCTCTTTGATTATTTGATATACGATTTAGGTTTTTAAATCTTTTTTTTTTTTAAATTTATTTATTCAAATAACATTGGTGTTAATTAATTTCATATAATAGTACAATAGTACAAACGTTGTGCCGATTTTCCCAAATTATCTCCGTTGCGCCATGAAATTTCCATTTCGCCAGGCATATAATAACCCTTCAGTGTATACATATACAATTTATGAAACATTTGAAATCATACTTACTTTATAGTGCTAAACAATCATTTTAGATGCTCAAATACAGCATATTGACTTTAAAAAAAGGGGTTGTGTCGGTTTTTCTGAAAAAAAAATCTCCATTTCGCCAGGAATATGACCCTTCAGTGCAATTAAACATATACAATTTATTAAATATTTTAATACTTACTTACTAATTAGTTATAAACAATCATTTTAGATGCTTAAATAGCACATTGACTTTAAAAAAAGGCGTTGTGCCGGTTTTTCTAAAAAAAAATATCTCCGTTGCGCCCGTTGCGTCAAAAAATCTCCGTTGCGTATTTTAGTGGTACCCCTTTTTTTAGTCCCACTCGAGTTATATTGGCTTTTAAACGAATAATAGAGTGATGGAAATATGACAATTAGTTTACTTCTTTTATTATACCTACCTGGTACTTAAGAAACGTTGCCCAGATCACAGATATATTAACAATATATACAATATATTTGCTCATTCAATATATTAAGCTCCTTGCCCAGGAGCATACAAATGGCGCTTTTTTACTAAGGGACGTAATCCTGATCATTTGAAATCAAAAACGGTGTGGCTGTAAGAATTATTTTTTATGAATTAGAAAACTATATTTTTAAAAAAAAATGTCTATAAGCCGTTTTACCAGATTAATTCTTAGACAAGAGATATCATGATGTAGCATGTATTTAAATCTTAGATTTAGGCCATTCACTCCATCAATATCTTAGATTTAGGCCATCTACTCCATCAATATCTTAGAATTTAGGTTATCCAATCCATCAATATCTTAGATTTAGGCCATCCACTCCATTTATATCTTAGATTTAGACCATCCACTTCATCAATATCTTAGATATAGACCATCCAGTCGATTTAAGCCATCCACCCAATATGTTAGATTTAGGCAATCCACTCCTTCATTATCTTAGATTAAGGACATCCACTCCATCAGTCTCTTAGATTTAGGTCATCCACTTTATAGTGTAGGTCATCCACTCCATCAATTTCATAGATTTTAGCTGTTTACTCCATCAATATCTTAGAATTAGGCCATCCACTCCATTTTATCTTAGATTTAGCCCATCTAATCCATTAATATCTCCGATTTAGACCATCCACTTTATCAATATCTTAGGTGTACTGTAGGCACGGATTGTAATATAAATCTGTGGTGTAGGTCATCCACTCCATTAATATCTTAGATTTAGACCATCCACTTCATCAATATCTTAGAGAAAGTTTCAGACAGACATGATGAAAAATATATGAACCTGATGAAATTTATAAAATGGAAAAAAATATAGAACTTTTAAAAACAAGTTTATAACTATATTAGGTTTCATTATCACCTATAACTATATTAAAAACTATATTCAATTTCATTATCACCGATAACTTTATTAAGTTTAATGTTCACCTATCACTGAATTCAATCATAATGTTAATATCACAGTTTCTTAACTTTCAAACTTTAATTCAGTGTATGGCATGCTTGACAGATTGTGATTGTAATAGGTGTCAAAATAAATGAATTTACTCCTAATTGAAAGATACAGATTTTGGAAGGTTTTATCATCTCAATTATAATATTCCTTCACACTTTTTTCAATTTCCGGATTTTGGAAGTAAATTTAAATTCAAATTTCACCATAAAATCATTCGAAATTCAGAAATTCCAGAATTCAGAGGTATTAATTAAATAGAAAACAGAGGGAGAAATTTCGGGACTTTGAAAAATGTTCGGATTTCAGAAGTTTCCGGATTTTAGAAGTTCCAGAATTCAGAAGTTACACTGTACTATGTTGGGGGGTATTTTTGGATATTATCTTAATATTGGTTGATAGAATTCCAGGTTCCTGCGTCTTAATCTAATTTTTTATAATTTTTATACAGGTTGTTTGTTTGAAATGAATGGTAAAGGATAGTCTGCTATGCCTGAAAATAGGTTATATAGCTATTGTTATTATGCTTTACTGTAACCAACTGTAACTAAAGATTATCTTGTGTTATCTTTCCAATTGCAAATGGAATTTAAATAATTCCCATATGGGCACTTGGGAGTCTTGCTCCACCAAAAAAGCAAACTGATCTGAAAAGTAAATATGTGACTTAAACAAGAACAATTTGAAACAAATACAACAATTATATACTACAATACTAATATTAAACAATTACAAATATTTCACTTAAAACGTTCAATTTAACCACCAAATTATCTCAGCTTATTATCTAAACAGAATCCCATAGTCATGTTAAATGAACAACCTTCACCTAAAAATCTTTGAAAACAACCATTAGTCTATGGTTGACACCATGATTTCGAATGGTTCACTGCATATCAAAATAAAAATACATGTAGAATCTATAAGCATAATTGCATTTTTAATACAGATGATAAGTAAACCCCTTTATCAACCTTGATACATTGTTGCACTTCTATCCAGTGTTGAATATTTTTATCAAGAAGCCTAAGGGAAAACAAAGGCATCATAAAACTTGTAAATGATGGTATTCTGTTTCAGAGTAGATCAACTTTTATTTAGAAGTATATTAGGAAAATGAAATACTCTACATTTTTTTTAAAACAAAAAAGAAACAATTTGACTTCAAATGTTTTATTTATCCACATTGTAATAACATATAAAACCATAGTAAATTTACAATGACATTTAAACTTGCTCTAATCAGCCAATTACAGGAACAGCCCTGTTTCAGCTACTTTTATTAAAATAGCTCACAAATGAAAGATTTCTCTGGGATTTAAGTTATTTATAACTTTATTCAACTATTCCCAGTTGAAAAATACAATAATAAGAATTTCAAGGTTATGTTCAAATGACAAAAAATAATTCTTAGAATCTGTATCTTCAAACTGAAGTGGAAAGGTCTTTTGTCGAAAAGCATCATGACCCTTGTTACATACATTACAAATACATGTACAAAAATACATAAATCACTCTCCTACAATACAAAAATCACTTTTTGAGATAAGGATGTACATGAAGAAAAATACATATGATATCGGAGAATATAATTATTACGGTACTTTGTACATGAAGTAGTCAATTTGCCATATATATACACAAAAACCCCATCTCATCAAAAACACAGGGTTCGAATTTAAGCTGGCATACTGGAAAAATGCCAGTAAAAAATCTAATAATGCCAGTAAAAATTTCTCTAGCTGGCATTTATTTGCAAGTGATTGTGCATTTTGGACGTTTACATAATTGTTATCTTCTAGATCTGAGCTGATGATGATGCTTGGCAACTGCCCGCTGCAGAAACTGATGATATTTACTGTGTAAACTTAAAAATCAATTTTTAGTTGTTCTATTTATTTTTTCTGTGACTATATTTTGATGGACTATTTATAACAGCCAAACACTATTGGTTAGAGCATCCATATTGTTTTATCAGGGTCCAATGTAAATGCATAGCACTCCTCTGTAAAGTGTTTACTTTTAAGCTGAAATATCTATTTACTTTAAGTAGATCAGTACCTCTGAGTTTTCAGGCTGCTAAAATTAATGAAGGTCCTAAGAAATTACATAACATGAACAAGTTTATAACTGTACATTGTCACAATGAGTGTTACTCTGGTAATTATCTAATCTGATCCCTAAACAATTGTGTATCATTTATAAATTTATATGTGTTGAAATGTTTTTGTTTCGTTACAAGAAGACATCTGTGTTTACCAGTGTGAGTGATAAAGATGTTTCTGATACAGATATTTATTAGACATTCAAGCTTATTATCATTTGTCATACCAGATGTTCAAAATACATTGTCTTTGTGTATTATAATAATAATAATAATAATAATAATAAGATACGTAATCATAGAAATGCCAGTTGACTACCTCATATTGCCAGTTAAACATTTGATCACTTGCAAATATCTGCAAGTAGAAAATCTTGCTAAATTCTAACCCTGAAACACATAAAAACTAATTAACCACCAATTGCTGCATTATAACTATTAATTGTGGCAGGAGTTTTGTTGTCAGAAATGCCAAAAGTTGTATTGTCAGAAATCACAATATAGAATTATTATTACGGTACTTTGTACATCAAATAGTCAACTTGTCATATATATACACAAAAACCCCATCTCCTCCATAACATGTAACAAGAGCTGTCGGTAGGACAGCAACGCTCGACTATTCTTAGTGCTTGATAGTAAAAAAAATGCTTGATACAGTTACCTCCTCCTGTTTACAGGTTGGGGTCATAATGGTGAACAAGTGTGCAAAGTTTCAAAGCCATATATCTATGGACTTTGAAAATATTTGAACTATTACAAAAACTTTAACGTAAATTTTAAGTAAAAAAAGGGGCATAATTCTGTCAAAATGCTTGATAGACTTACCTCCTCCTGTCTACAGGTTGGGGTCATGATGGTGAACAAGTGTGCAAAGTTTCAAAGCCATAAGTGAATAGACTTTGAAAATATTTGAGGTATTACAAAAACTTTAACGTAAATTCTAAGTCGAAAAAGGGGCATAATTCTGTCAAAATGCTTGATACAGTTCCCTTCTCCTGTCTACAGGTTGGGGTCATGATGGTGAACAAGTGTGCAAAGTTTCAAAGCCATAAGTCAATGGACTTTGAAAATATTTGAACTATTACAAAAACTTTAACATAAGTGGTTACGCCGACACCGACGCTCGGGTGACTACAATAGCTCTACTTATTCTTATCGAATAGTCGAGCTAAAAATAAAGCAGCATTGTATGGCAATAGTTTTATTGTCAGAAATGATAACAGTTGTCTTGTCAGAAATGACACATTCATTTCTGTATGTGCTAATAATTATTCTTTAAATCAATTCACAAATTTTCAAACAAATTGACTATATTTTTAGATATCAACTGACTATACTGTATAATAACATTACTTGACAACTTTTTTACCATCAGAATCTGAAAAGCCAATGCTAGCTTAAATAAAACATATTGATTTAAATTCTAATTTCATCAATTTATGACAAGATAGTAAAGGCTATGTATAGTATCATTTTCAAATAGAAATATTATCTACACACCCTCCATAAAAAGCTTCTTACATCTGTAATCACTTGTACAATATAGCATGACAGAAAATAACAGCTGTACAATTTTTTCAACTTCGCTTGTCTGACTCATTACTTTTAACCCCCGATAAGATCTCATTCTTAAATTTGAAACAGTATCATATTTCAAGTCCTTTCAGAGAAGGTGTATCAGTACTTGTTATGGTACTTCACATGCTATTTCAACATCATTTTTCTTCAAGCTGTTATAGATTATGTTAACACCATATTTTCAGACAATATTCTATCTCTGTTCATTTCACATATTTTTCCATAAACTTCCTATGAAATTCTGATCTTAGAGTGTCATTTATAAACAAAGATTTCTTCTCGTCTCCTTTCGCACAATTCTTGAACACTACATCATCATCCCATCTGAAATTTTTAGAGTACACATGAATACGAAAATAAAATTTCTTTCACTAACATGTAAAATTTTGTTAGATTTTACCTACAATATATATCCAGCAATTTCTTTTTAAAGGCCCATTATGCCTCAAATATGCTATCATTTTTATTTCTCAAAAACTTTTTATTTTTGGTATCTTGTAAAAGTTTCAAAAAAAATCTTTTTGCTCTTTTTGCTCCTTCGACATTTGGTATATTATAGGGAACTAGTATTTTGTATGAAAGTCATAATACTATTTTGTTTATATTTTGCTACCTTTATGACACATTACTGTACATTCAAAATTATTTTTTCCAGTTGTTAAACCTGTACCAGTCTCTAAATCCAATTATTGAAACATTTTAAACATGTTTGACATTTCTAAAGAATTACAAAAATGAATTTCTGAGGTATAATTTGCCTTTATATTATAGAAAACAATAAATCCAATTTTCATTCAGTAATTTTTTTCTTACATCTCTCAAATGTTTCACAATAAACCTGCTGAAATTCTATAATAGACTTGTCTATAGCTTCCCAAGGGCCTGTTCATTACAAATTTTTGGGGGTATCAAGATGAAAATAAATCATTAGCCAGCCAACAGTATAGAATCTAATCAGACTGCATGGATCGGATCTGCATGCTGACCTGGCTCTACACTGGTGGCAATGGTTTATCACTTTGGTTCGAGCAGGTTCCCATTTGCCGCTTAAGATGTAATAAAGAAAAAAACAAGATATTTTGCAAATGGGCCATATGTTATAATTATAAATTATAATTTCTATGTCTTACATTGCTTAAAAATTTTGAATGATCAAAATATACTTCCTAATAGGATATAGGTGTAAAAAAAGCCACTTACCTTCGTTTGACTTTAAACTCCACCGGTTTTTCTTGATTTAACAGTGGATTGCCTTTCAATATAATTTCTGTTCTGATTCTCTCTTCTTCAACCTTCTTATCAGCATCCTAAAACATTCAAATATTATCACCATATTAAATGAGCCGCACCATGACAAAACCAACATAGTGCGTTTGCGACCAGCATGGATCCAGACCAGCCTTTGCATCCCTGCAGTATGATTGGGATCCATGCTGTTGGCTATCAGTTTCTCTACTTGTTATAGTGTTTGTAAGCGAATAGCATGGATCCAGATCAGACTGTGCGGATGTTTTTACGAGTATGTAAGATTGGAAATAGAATGTAATGTTCAATCATGAAAAAAAAAGTTGTTTGAAGCATGGATTACTTGTACAGACAGAGCAGTTGAGGGCATTTTTACATGATTATACAGCATAAAAGAGAATTAATGTATGTCATATGACATCAGTTCTGATGACAATAACTTAATAAGGTCAGGAAAATTACTTCTCCGCTCAATGTAGTCAATATATTTCAACAATCCTATTTTTATAGGTATGTTAGAATGGAAAAATGGAAATTGATATTAACTTCCCATGTTTTATAGTATAATAATGCATGGTTTATCGCTCAAACGCTTCTTAATTAATCTCTCAAGCCTACCAGCTTTTATGATTATATTCCTGCACATCAGAACTCAGTTCTGATGACAATAACTTAATAAGGTCAGGAAAATTACTTCTCCGCTCAATGTAGTCAATATATTTCAACAATCCTATTTTTATAGGTATGTAAGAATGGAAAAATGGAAATTGATATTAACTTCCCATGCATTACAGTGTTCGCGTTTACTGAGTAAACATATCAATTTACTCGCTAAAATTGCCAGGGAGGAAAGAAAAAAAGGGCTGTTGAGTCCCTGGGAAGAAACACTTTTTCCCCGATAATTGGTCAATTCTCTCTTAAGTTTTTTTGCTCTGCTTGAAAATGATTTTCTATTCACTTTAAATAAATTGTATTATAAGAACTTGACTTTCACCTCATTTTCATTTGTTCCTTTCTCATTAGCAATGCAGATTTATATCCCAAACGTAGACTAGGAGCAAGTGCTCGGCCTCGTTTTGGGCCAACCTATCAATGGTATCCGCGAACATCAACAGTCTCAAATTTGATTGTATTATGAAGTTATGCAAACATTGACATTTTTGTAATTGAGGACTCGTTCCATTTGAATTGGGACGTAACAGATCTATTAGCACTGAGTCCCAGGTACTCAGTAAAGTTAGGGAAAATCGCTAACACTGCATTATAGTGTAATAATGCATGGTTTATCGCTCAAACGCTTCTTAATTAATCACTCAAGCCTACCAGCTCTTATGACTATATTCCTGCACATCAGAACTCAGTTCTGATGACAATAACTTAATAAGGTCAGGAAAATTACTTCTCCGCACAATGTAGTCAATATATTTCAACAATCCTATTTTTTATAGGTATGTTAGAATGGAAAAATGGAAATTGATATTAACTTCCCATGCATTATAGTGTAATAATGCATGGTTTATCGCTCAAACGCTTCTTAATTAATCTCTCAAGCCTACCAGCTCTTATGACTATATTCCTGCACATCAGAACTCAGTTCTGATGACAATAACTTAATAAGGTCAGGAAAATTACTTCTCCGCTCAATGTAGTCAATATATTTCAACAATCCTATTTTTATAGGTATGTTAGAATGGAAAAATGGAAATTGATATTAACTTCCCATGCATTATAGTGTAATAATGCATGGTTTATCGCTCAAACGCTTCTTAATTAATCACTCAAGCCTACCAGCTCTTATGACTATATTCCTGCACATCAGAACTCGACACATACTTAAAATTGTTATCTATAACCTAAATAACGAAACAATATCAATATCAAAGTATTAAAATAAGTCATATCTTGAAGCCTGCTAACACTAATTAAAACACACAATTCAGCTAGAAATTTGTATAATTGGTTTACCAGTTTAGCCTTTTCTCTCAAGCGTTCTTTTTTAATCTTCTGAAGTTCTGCCAGCAATTCAGCAGTGTCATCTTCATCATCAGAACTGTCTTCTTCATCCTGAAATAATTCAACAAACACCTGTCTTAATGTTTCAGAAAGAAATGACCATTTATCATAATGGAAGAATGACTACTTCGTATGCTCAGAATTCTGCGAGAAGTGGTAAGTTTGGTTTTAAGCTGTACAGACACTGTACCAGCTTTACTGGTCAAAGGAGACCCCTGCTGACTGTATTCTTTTTCAACCACAACTGGGGCAAAAACTCAATTTTATATACCGTTAAATACCTAATAAATGCCCCTTCCCCTAATAAAAGCCTTTTGATAAGAAAAACAATCTACTCATCAGTGCTGAACTCATGAGTAAATCCATAACTTCATTCAAATCATTTAAAATCCATTTTATCTTTAAAATAAAAGTGATTCTAAATGATTTGAATATATAGTATGAACTTTAAAATCTTAACACTTTTTAATGTTATTAACAACACTTGTTAACACTAATGTATTTACAATGAATTTTGGATTTAGAAAAAACTGTGTTGTAATAATAGCCCCCCTTTTGGAAAATGTTTAGCCCCCGGGGGTGTTTAATAGGAATTTTACGGTAAGCTAGTTTGTTTGACAGATTTCCACATGAAAAAAAAAAGAGTCCAAGTGACCATGATGATTTTAAACAAAGAAGTAAGGGTAAAGAGAAAATACCTCACCTCATGATATGACAAGCACAGAAAAAAAGGGCAACTTATGGAGATTTCAGAATTTTAAAGATGATGGAAATTTTATAATTTTCAAGATGTATTTTCTATTCTTAGATTTTATGATATTGATAACCTTAATTACAAAAGTAAAGCTTTGAAAAACCAACATGACTGAAAAATGACTGATATGTCATAAATAGTGACAGAAAATATAAATTAAGTCACAAGTGTATACTATACAAAGATCAAACTGACTAAAAAATTATTGATCAACAGTTAAGTTAAAGAAAGCCGATTTCTGTGAGCATACATCATGTACATATACTAATTTACTCTTTAAAGGAACTCCCCTGAGGTCCAAAAGATTAAAAACATAAATTTTTAAATTCTTACATAAACCAACTGGGACACTTAAACAGCAAGATATGCAAAAGTTGAATAAGAAATAAACACGGAAATATATGTTGGAAATCTTATTTTTTGTGCTATTCTTAGCCAGATTTGTATGAAAAGCATTGCAACATCATGTCAAAAAACCTTGGTGGAGTTCTTTTTATATACATTTACAATCTAAGCAGAACAACACACTTCAAAATATAAAGATTTTGGTTGTTGCATAGAGGTATTTCTCTAGAGAGGTTAAATTTGTTATATGATTCTTTACTTTTCGTAAGAAATAATACTGTTGTTGTACAGAAGTTCTTTTTCAAAGAGGTTACACTTGTATACAAACTGAGATTTATATTTATTCAACAATATTTCAAATGTACTTACATCATCATCTATTGGATCATCAGCGTCTAAATTAGCTGCTGGTATCTGTTCTAACCTGGGTCTCTTACTGCTGCCTGAATCTATAATATTCACAAAAATTGTTTATTTTTATCGGCTTTATTTCACTATGACACAGTTACAAAGGTCACATATCAACTTTTTAGCTCTGTATTTTGTAAAATTCACCCTTCATAATATAATTTAACAGGATGTTCCTTTAAATAAATGTAGCACATCATTTTTTTAAGAAAACCGAGGCTTGGGTCTGCAGAGAATAACTTTCCAACACCCAACAAACTTTAAATTTTCTTACAAAAAATACATTTTTCTAAAGGTAATATTTTTTAAGCGTAATTTACAGAACAAGAGAAGAGATTCTGAGAATACAGACCCCTGTTTCTGTCACGTTTTTCTCTGACTGCTCTTTCCCTGTCTTCAAGATCACGTCTGAAATCTCTGCCTCTCAAATCATCTGATGTTCCTTGACCATCTTGTCTGATAGTAAATATAAAGTAACATTGTACATGCACTGATTATATTTGGTTTTAACCCATATCCCTAGGGAACCTTAAATGAGATTGACTAGCCTTTGCCACCAGTATAAAGCCAGGCACATCTGTGTTGTCTTATCATGCTTAGTCAGCTGTATACTGTTTCTACCTCAATCTTTGTATTTCTATGTTGAAATCCCTCAATTTTGATAAATGGACTGTTTCAAATTAAACATTATCAGGTCATATTGACAAACAAAAGGGAAGACCTACGCAGCGTCCAATTTCAAAGCACCTCTTCATTTTTCCAGACAAAAAAAATACAAAAAATCTTCTATGACAAACTAATTAAGGCTTCATATGCTCATTTTCCCACCTGTAAACTTAAAGGCTGTTTATATCTTAATTGACTTGTCTTATATTGAGCTATCATTTTAAAATTTCATATGTCTAGAATTCAAAAGTTTCAATTTGATGCATAAATTTTGAATATTAACATTTAAATTAATCAATGTTGAGTCTGTTTACATGTAATCCAAATATTATAATATTATCATTGTAAAATATAGGAGAATTAAAACTGGAATAAAATGAAACTCTAAAAATGGACTTCTAATTTAAAGAATGAGCTTTATTTTTGGAAAGAGTTGATTCAAATTACCTGTATTTCAAACGGGTATGCCCTGGCAGATCACGGCTGGAGTACTGTTTAGACATAGCACTGAGATCCCCACCCTCTCCCTTGCCTTTCCCGCCCCTCGCGGGCTCAAATGTTGGTCTTGCAGCTGTTGTCATTTTTAATCAGTCCTGAAAGGAAAATGTTTGGTAAAGTATAGCAAATTATTGAAAATTCTTGATAAACCTAGAAAGAGAATTATTGTCACAGTACATAAATGTCCTAAACCATGTTAGTACATTACTAGATGACATAAAAGCAGACAAAGCCTGTGGAATTGTAAAGTCAGATAAATAGATTTTATAGAGCTGTCATCGATTCAGTGCAAAGGATATTGACGATACATCAATATTGGATGACAAATATTGTGCTTCACCAACATATTTTGATAATTACAAATAATTTATGACCAACTTTCCCATTCATATGCTTTGCCTAATTTCATATTATAAGTTCATTCAACTTTGGCTTACTGAAGTTTAACTGTATATAATAATAATATGTTTTAACCAATGAATAAATACATATATGATATACATTTAACAATTTTGACTTATTTATAACATTAATCTAATTTATTACTTATGACTCAGAAAGCTAATTAAGAATATACAAATTATGTGATTAGTAAATTATCTTTTGTTAAAAGGGAGCTCGAAGAGTACACGCCCGTTTAACTCACAACGAGTGAAAAATGTCCATCGGTTAAAATGTTGTGAGCAACTTCCGTTCCTCGTTGTGAGCACCCATCTATGACGAGTGACACGATAAACAAGGTGAGTTTTTCATAATTTTTGAAGATTACAGACATTTATGTAAAAATATCGGAATGCAGTTAGCTAGCGATGTGTTTTCCGAGTATGCACATGTAAAGATATTGTCTGTTGGTGGACAATTTGATGGAAATACTGTGTGACGCAGTCACTCGGGGTAGCTGGAAAACTGGAGACAACTTCTCTTTGGACCTAATTTAACATTGAAAACGTCGATTCTGGTGACAATTTGTGCATTCTAACCTAAAACAGATGCCCACAAGTCTTCAGCGTTAATTATTATCTGAAAGTCTTCGTAGAAACGAAGATATACTCTATTTTGCTTTAATCCTCGTTGTGAGCACCATAACCTCATTGTGAGCAAGACAAGCGCAATGCTTGTCTGGTTTTAATATGTAATTGCAAAGAAGTATTTCAATCTACCAAAAGCAATCAAAAGTTTTTGTACAATAGTTTTCTTTGCAAATTTGTTATTCTTTTCTTTTAAAAGTTTTCGTAAGAAATAATACTGTTGTTGTACAGAAGTTCTTTTTTCAAAGAGGTTACACTTGTATACAAACTGAGATTTATATTTATTCAACAATATTTCAAATGTACTTACATCATCATCTATTGGATCATCAGCGTCTAAATTAGCTGCTGGTATCTGTTCTAACCTGGGTCTCTTACTGCTGCCTGAATCTATAATATTCACAAAATTGTTTAATTTTATAGACTTTATTTCATTATGACACAGTTACAAAGGTCACATATCAACCTTTTAGCTCTGTATTTTTTGTAAAATTCACCCTTCATAATATTACTTAACAGGAGGTTCCTTTAAATAAATGTAGCACACAATTTTTTTTTAAAGAAAACTGAGGCTTGAATCTGCAGAGAATAATTTTCTAACACCCAACAAACTTTAAATTTTCTTACAAAAAATACAATTTTCTAAAGGTAATATTTTTTAAGTGTAATTTACAGAACATGAGAAGAGAATACAGACCCCTGTTTCTGTCACGTTTTTCCCTGACTGCTCTTTCCCTGTCTTCAAGATCACGTCTGAAATCTCTGCCTCTCAAATCATCTGATGTTCCTTGACCATCTTGTCTGATAGTAAATATAAAGTAACATCATACATGAACAGATTATTTTTATTTGGTTTAAGAGAACCTTAAATGAGATTGACTAGCCTTTGCCACCAGTATAAAGCCAGGCACATCTGTGTTGTCTTATCATGCTTAGTCAGCTGTATACTGTTTCTACCTTAATCTTTGTATTTTGATGTTAAAATCCCTCAATTTTGATAAATGGACTGTTTCAAATTAAACATTATCAGGTCATATTGACACTTAGTTTAATGGCAAACAAAAGGGAAGACCTTAGCAGCATCCAATTTCAAAGCACCTCTTCCATTTTTCCAGACAAAAAAATCTTCTATGACAAACTAATTAAGGCTTCATATGCTCATTTTCCCACCTGTAAACTTAAAGGCTGATTATATCTTAAATGACTTGTCTTATATTGAGCTATCATTTTAAAATTTCATATGTCTAGAGATTTGATGCATAAATATTGAATATTAACATTTAAATTAATCAATGTTGAGGTTGAGGTTGTTTACATGTAATCCAAATATTATCATATTATCATTGTAAAATATAGGAGAATTAATACTGGAATAAAATTGAACTTAAAAAATGGACTTCTAATTTAAAGAATGAGTTTTATTTTGGTAAAGAGTTGATTCAAATTACCTGTATTTCAAACGGGTATGCCCAGGCAGATCACGGCTGGAGTACTGTTTAGACATAGCACTGAGATCCCCACCCTCTCCCTTGCCTTTCCCGCCCCTCGCGGGCTCAAATGTTGGTCTTGCAGCTGTTGTCATTTTTAATCAGTCCTGAAAGAAAATATTTGAAGTATAGCGAATTATTGAAAATTCTTGATAAACCTAAAAAGAGAATTATTGTCACAGCACATAAATGTCCTAAACCATGTTAGTACAGTACTTGATGACATAAAAGCAGACAAAGCCTGTGGCATTGGAAAGTCAGATAAATAGATTTTATAGAGCTGTCATCGATTCAGTGCAAAGGATATTGACGATACATCAATATTGGATGAAAAATATTGTGCTTCACCAATATATATGGATAATTACATATAATAATAATTTATGACCAACTTTCCCATTCATATGCTTTGCCTAGTTTCATATTATAAGTTCATTCAACTTTGGCTTACTGAATAACTGTATATAATAATAATATGTTTTAACCAATGAATAAATACATATATGATATACATTTAACAATTTTGACTTATTTATAACATTAATCTAATTTATTACTTATGACTCAGAAAGCTAATTAATAATATACAAATTATGTGATTAGTAAATTATCTTCTGTTAAAAGGGAGCTTGAAGAGTAGGCCCTTTGCAAAGTGAGCTTTACGGTAACACAAGTACCTGCTAGATAGTGATGGTTTTGAAACCTTGCCAGAAGTACTTCAAAATTATAGGAAATAGACCCAGAAGTACTTCAAGATTACAGGAAATAGACCAATCGCAACTTTTTAGCTTATAAGAGAATGATAAAAGCCGAAGACTTCTGATTGAAAACAGATGCATAGACTGGTCTCCTGTCCACTTCTATGATTCTGTTGAGGCCAAAAGTGTGCAGTTTTAAGTGTATTGAAAACATAAAATGTGCAGAAGCGTGCCTGGACTTTGGCTTGCCTGGCTATAAAGTAGATTAAAGGGAAATCAAATAGAAAAAAAACTAAAGAATATATAGAATTTTATACCTAACAATGAATTTTTCAGTGTTAGATTTAGTTGGCTGCTGCCATTTCAATGTAATTCAATAATAAGAGGGCAGGGTATTCCGATAACAGAACAGTCACAACCTTTCGGAGTAATAATATTCGTAGAAATTAGAATGTTCTGAGTAAAAAAGGAAGCGGTGACATATGGACTGACTCGTTTTAATTTTAAAATGGAAAAATGAACATTCTTTTAATTGACTACACCGTTCATAGGCTTTGCCTTATTTCATACGGGGAAGTCAAAGTCCGGGCTCGCGGCTTTGGCTTGCCCGGCTATAGACTACACATGTATATTTAAAAGAAAAAAAAAAGAAGAAAAAAAAATTAAAAAATATATAGAATTCTATACCTATCAATGAAATTTTCAGTGACAGTTCTAGTTAGGCCCCGCCATTTACAATGTAACTCAATGATAAAAGGCTGTGTATTCCGATAACTGAACAAATCTTAACTTTTTGGATTAATAATAATCGTCGAGTGTTCCAAGTGAAAACAAAGGCAGGTACATGTACATATAATATTGAATGACACCTTTAAAACGGAAAAATGAAAGAATTTTTTTTACCGACTTCCCCATTTATAGGCTTTGTCTAATTTCATATTAATTTCTGTCAAAGAGCTCGCTTTGATGCTTTGCCTTATTTTATAAAAATTTATGCTTATTTTCATATTCCATCTCTAAATTAAATGTTATCGGACGATATAAAATATTCCATTGACAAAACAATGTAACATGATATTTTAATAGCGAGCTCGACGAGCTTTACGGTAACGCAAGTACCTGCTAAGTGATGGTTTTGAAAGCTTTAGTCCGAAGTACCGAATTGGACACATCACAACTTTTCGAATTTAAAGAGAACGATAAAAAATGAGGAATTCTGACTGAAAACGGATGTGTAGACTGGTCACCTGCGCACGTCTATGGGAACCATAATTGGACAGGGAACCAGAATATCGGAAGCTTTGTATTAAATATCGAATGACAGTTTTAAAACGGAAAATGTAAATTGAAGGTGCCATTTTGTTTGAAAAATCTGATAAATAAAAACAACTTTTTGTCGAATTTTGTTGTGAACACTACATGTATCTAGAATGAAAGAAAATGGTCTAACTAAAAAAATGAATCCGAACACCAATATCTTTTATTCAGTCGTTAACGCTATACAGAAGTTTAAAGTATTGTTTACCTGACGTCACAATGTAGCGCCAAACAGCACGTGCAAAACAATCAATTACGCTATTTTAATGACGCAAACGTTTTAAGTTTTACATTTATTTCACTTTTAATAATCTTTATTTCGCTTGAAAAATTATAGAGTGAAATAAAATAAACAAACAAAGTTTTATCAACGTTTTCAAAACTCGTTATTCATTTAACGACAGGGGCAGAGCCATTTTTAACACAGTACGTGTGAAGTCACACGCACTCGTCACTGCAATGAGCAACTATTTCATACTATTTCACATTAAAAGTACATCGAGCTCGCTTTGAGCCTTTGCCTTTTTCATATTACATATTTCTACTTCCAATTATTTAAAATTGGGCCGAATCGTACCTTAAATAGGGAGAACCGTCAGTAAGTTCATAAAGTTGGGGCGAGTGGTTAAGAGGCGAATCGTCAGTGAGGCGAATCTTTAGAATTTACAACTAAAATTTGTTAAGATTAACATAATACAATTGACATAGTATTGAAATAATAAATTTACGACGAATATTGTAGAAAATATTGATTACCTTATAATGTAGACGTAGGAAAAAATTTAATAACAATATTTTTTTATAAAAACAGACCTTACGGTAACCCAGAAAATCAATAAATCGTGAGAATTACTCTTTTGCATTGAACCGAAATGTGTATAGACTCAAAAGACGGACGATGTACATAAAGTACGCAAAGAGGTGCAAACTAACGTAAAGAATCGTAACATCACTAATGAACTAGTTTACATTAAATTTTGTCTTGAAATAATATGGGCTACACAATGAACTGTATACGCCATGTAGTTTATGTCTTTTACTAACGGTTTTACAAAATTTAATTAACCATACTTCACCCAATCCCCTCGATTTTTTTCACGAGTATTTGTGCATTATGCATTATTCAATTAAGAAACATATTGCCGATATCCGGAGAATTACAAATCACTTGAGTCACATCTGTATTGAAAATTGTGCTCTATAGCGTGATTTTAGTTAAATATAAATCAATTGGATAATCATAGTTTGCCTAAACGACGTTTTCACCTCAACTAATTTAATACTAAAAAAAATATTTGTGGAGCGAACAACAGGATGCTTCAAAAAGCATAGTATATAATCAGTTCAAATATATTTCGTTCGTATAATATACAACTATCACTGTTTTGCGTGAAACAGGCTCTGAACTAGAGCAGTAACTTTTGCTGATTATGCTTCCGAGGGATCACTTTTTACCAGATATTTATACATCACAACATGCTTCAGTGTTGTTATATTTTCTGGTTCTTCAAGGTCATTGAGTCCGACACTTTTAAGTGGTGAGAATTGAATACCGCTCAAGCCGGTGCTGGGGGTCGTCAGGATGTTGCACTTTTTCATTATCCCCATGTAGTACGTACACACTCACTCAAACCGGGTGTACATTTTTCATGTAATTTTGCTGTTTTTAATGATTCTGAGGCATCATTTATTTTTACCAGTCTATATTCATGACTTACATTTTATAACAAGTTACAACAAAAAACGCATAAACCATTTAAAATAGATAGCAATTTCTATATAGAACTTCAAACCCTGTTTGAATTATTCCACCTGACGCTACTTAATTAACGTATTGTTTTATCTATATATATTGTCACACAAAAAAAAAACACATCAGGTTAGTCTCCTCTCAGAAAATTGGGTTTCGGTGATGTGCCGGAATGTGTTGATCAACAAAATCGATTTCCTGTTGCAATTTAACGAATTAAATTGTACAGCAAATTGCCTTAATGCATGCAATGTTTTGGTGACAAAGATTTATGACAGGAAGCTCAGCAAGAGTCTAGGCACCAATAATAAGGATTTAGTGACCTAAATTTATATCTTAGGTAATATATTTTAATCTACATGCATATGTCCTTTTGAAAAGAAATTATTCAAAAATCTAGGTCATTCTGGGGCCAGTCCTATAAGCCCCCTCCCCAGTATGCAAGTCACTATATAGTAAGTCACTTGCTGCTTTAAGTTAAAAAATTAATCAATGATTTGAAAAAGAAAGTTTTGACTCATGGCACACTTTTAACCATTACAAAGGAGAATAGAAAAGATGTTTTAGATTGATTTATGTAGTAACGTAAATGCATTTTTACCATCAATCTTTATTGACCCACATACAATCTAATATATTCATATCGAAAGTAATAACATTTAGTTATTTACAACCTATAAAAACTTAGACGTTATTTTAGCGTTTTAATGCCTATTCAGTGAAAAATTCGGACTGGTTCGAAATATTTTACTTTAATTCGCCATCTGCACGACCCATATTAGTATAACCAGTCACAGCTGTTGAGAAGATAATTCACAATGGCTGCGAGCTGTTGTGGAGTAAAGAAACAGAAATTAAATAATTCGATGCCTTCAGTTTCCTGTAATGGAACTTCCAGTTACATGAATGGAATGAAAAATGGATACACTGTTGCTTGTGCTCAAATGTGTTTCTATTGTTTTGACGTTCTACACAGCCATTTACACAGTTACGAACCACCGAGAACCCCGTCTTTCACTAACGAATCTTAGTAAGTGGACTCGTCCATGTTTACAAACAATACGTATCCTCGTTCTGAAATTATTATTTTATGTTTTATTTTGTAAAATATTTTCTAACATTATTTTTAAAATACTAAAGACTTTTTTAATTTGTAGTAATCTATTCCGAAGAAAACGAATTCTTTTTTTTTCTTCCATACATGTACAAGGATCATTCTATTTTAATGAAAAGGGGTGTAGTAAATTGACCTCTTTGTGATGGTAACAAAGAAAAGTATGACTAATTATAATGATAATACAAATTCACACATTTACAGCATATAAACTACTTTTAGATTAGAAGATATAATTTTTATCAGTTTAAATCTAAGTTGATTTTATTTAAAATAACAGAAAATGAGTTTTAATGACTTGCACTATAGGGTTAACGCACGTTTTTCCGTGTTATAACGTCTGCAGAGTCCCGAGGAACGGTTGGTGCCCGAGCCCGGTAGGGCGAGGGCTCCAACAGTTCCGAGGGACTCTGCAGACTTTATAACACGAAATAAACGTGCGTTGACGCTATTATAGCATAAAATTTTCAAACAGATTCGTGATGTATAGTTTATACAAAACACAATTACATTAAATTCTTGTGCTTGGACGGTATTTATCCAATTCTATGTTTTACGTATGCGTTTCATTTTTTCCGGGGCCAACAACTTGGAAAATTCTCGGAACCGAACGAAATTTTGAATTTTAATTGATTTAACAAAGCTTGGCCTTTGGAGATTTATTATCTCAAGAAAAATTAAACGTTACATTACTCTACCCAAGACAAAACATGACCCTCAGAAATTCTTAGAGTGATTTCAGATTGACGATAGAAAAACGATCAGTGACATCAGAATCGGTTTTTTTTTTCAAGCAAACAAGTTTATAAAAAAATCAAGGCACTAAGCATTCTCTCAAAGAAATATAAAGAGCATTTATCAACATTAACATAAATAAAAAACATTTTCTCATATTAATTTTGTGTTATCTAGTTTTGTAAGTTAATCGGAGCGTTAAACTGAATGACAGGTAGATTCTACTGTATTTGTTTACATTGACAACTGTCCGTTTCTTAGAAAGGGCGACAACCAAGATTAGCACCGATGTCTATACGCCGTTTTTTCCGGCATAGTTACTGGAATATGCGACTGAGGCCCTCGAATCAATAAATTTCAATATAACAAGAACGCATGACTCTTCGGCAAACAGGCCAAATCGTCATTTTTTGTTTGTTTGTTTACTGGGCCCTGTATGTATTGCGCATAGGTGAAACCGGGCTATAACAAGAGCGCGTGACTATGTTAACACATGGTTTTGGTCCCGTTATAACATGGGCAAAAGAGGGAAAAATAGCCGATTTTATGCTATAATTTAGATTAAAAGTTCTTTGAAATATGCATTATTGGGTTGGGCACAAAGTTGCATATGTGAATAGGTACACATATAATAGTTAAACTGTAACTATTTTGTTCATTTCATGGTGTTCATATATAAAGAATGTTTAAGAAAATATTAGAGTTTTATCATTAATTGAAGACTTTATAGAAAATATTGTATGGTTCAAATGTACATAACAGAAAAAAACAAAGTACTAAAATATTTATTACATTTCCTTAAAAGAAGAAAAAAGGGCATTCACCTTTGACCCAGTAATTACCTACAAAAATAATTTGAATCCCAATGTTACTTTTTAGTTTTTTGCTCAGGTTGAGCTATTAGGATTGGTGAATGTCCGTCGACAATTGCTTGTGAACACACCTAATGACTCAATGAGTGACTCAATCATCATCAAACTTTGTCAGGATGTTTGTTTAGTCAATTGCTTGGATGAGTTCGAACATGGGTCATCTCCGATGAAAATCTAGGTCACAGGAGCTATAAATAGAAAAACCTTGTGAAACACTAGTGGTCACATTTTTGAAGCAATCATCATCAAACTTGGTCAGAATGCTTGTCTAGTTAATTGCTTGGATGAGTTCGAACATGGGTCATCTCTGATGAAAAACTAGGTCACAGGAGCTATAAATAGAAAAACTTTGTGAACACTCTAGTGGTCACATTTTTTACCCAATCATCATCAAACTTAGTGTGGATGCTTGTCCAGTCAGTTGCTCAGATGAGTTTGAATATTGGTCATCTCTGATGAAAAACTAGGTCACAGGAGCTAAAAATAGAAAAAACTTTTGAACACTCTAGAAGTGGTCACATTTTTTACCTAATCATGATCAAACTTTGTCAGGATGCTTGTTTAGATAACTGCTTTGATGAGTTTGCACATGGTTTATCTCTGATGAAAAACTAGGTCACAGGAGCTATAAATAGAAAAACCTTGTGAACACTCTAGTGGTCACATTTTTGACCCAATTATTAAGAAACCTTTTCAAGATGCTTGTTTAGTCAATTGTTTGGATGAGTTCGAACATGGGTCATCTCGTTTTTAAAAAACTCAATGAGCTAGACCTTAGATGTTTAGCATAAAACATCTTCTAATGGGTGTCTACCAAGTTTGTTCAAGAAAAAGCCCTGGGGTTTAAACTGGCCCCGCTCTGGGGGCCTATATACAGGTGAGCGACTTCAGGGCCATCATGGCCCTCTTGTTTCTTAGGTACACAGGGATTATTTGGAGTTAATTAGGTACATAAGGTGACCCTAAATACATTCCTGGGTACATGTCATGTAAGATGTGTTAATATGGTGATATAGAGGTAGATCTCTACATCAACATTATACTGCTTAACAATCAATTCTGATTATGACTAGCAGGTGCATTGTCAGGGAACTGTTAATAAAAGAAATTTTTTATACATTTTGTATGCAAATTAAAAAGTTAAAAGAATATGATGTGTAATCATAATTTAATCACACATAATGCCTTTCTTAAATAAAAATCTGTAATTTTTGGTTATTTTCAGTCCACTATTTGTGACATGGAAATTAGGTAAAGACAAACGTTTGCGAGGCTGTATAGGTACATTTTCAGCAACAAACTTGCAATGTGGTCTCAGGGAATATGCTGTCACAAGGTGAGAAATATTTTGTATCTAGATGACTACTACATTGCATTAAATTATTAATAATTCTTCTTTTTTCTTAAGTGAAAGATTACACACCATGTACCTCTGAACATCGAGATTTTGATAAGAAGTATGACCTGTTTTGAGAGACCTTGTTGTGAGTAAACAGACCTTTATGCTGGCCTTTATTGACAATTAAGATAATTCTATAATTATGTGAAATATGTCTTGAAAATATTAATGAAGATCTCATAGTCTGACACTAACATCACTAAAATACTATCTATTAGTTTTATAAGGTTCCACTGTATATTATGAAATGTTGTAATACAATGTATCAATAACTACTTTCAAGTGGCCAAGGAATTGTCATTTAAAGGTATCAAGGCATAAATTTAGCTGCTGTGATGGGCATGTTCATAACAGGTGATGTATATGAAGAATAAAATAAAAAAAAGGCATACAAACTAGAAAGAAACAACTAGCTATCAGTCTTTGTTTCCTCTTTTTTGGTACATTAAAATTTTATTTACATAAATATTTTCTACTGTCAATAAGGTGTGAATATATTGTATGACATGCATGTGTTTTGTGTTTTTCAGTGCAATGCGTGACAGCCGCTTTAGTCCAATCACAAAGGAAGAGTTTCCTCGTCTTCATTGTTCAGTCTCCATCCTAACTCATTTTGAAGACGCCAGAGATTATTTAGATTGGGAGGTATACACATCAATCTGTTATTCTTTGTTCTAAAATTACACATGTAGGAATTACTCTTTGAGGATTCATTCAAATACATGTTTCTTTAACTCACTGAACTTATAACATGAAAAAAGCAAGTTAAGATAACTTTGTAACATTGAAACATCAGTCTCTTATCCTTTGAGTATGGTTATGTACATCCAAATACTAGTAATAAAGTACATGTATTCTTGACGAAAGATTAAAGTCTGTGCATGGTTTACTAAATCCTTGATTTATCATATGACTAAGCTTCTTGTTAAATTCAAGTTTTTTTCCTATGGGAATATATTCTTATACAAGACAAAATAAAAGCTTGATAAAATAACTTGAGCATCAAATGTTTTTGACTTGTGCCTGTTATTTAGTTAGGAGAATTTTTTTTTTTGTTAAAGATTTTTATTATAACTGACTGTTATTTATTCGCTTTCATGTAAGGGATATCAGGTGTCACCATGTGGTGTAATGTCTCTGTTTACATACATCATTATCATGATGTTGAACACAAATTCAACCTTTAACCTGCTGGAACCAAGAGTATTTAGCCATTGTCCTGTGCATTACTGGCCAGGCTCTGTACTGTTGACCGACCAGATCTGAAAATTCATCTCAAATGATGTCGGACGAGTTCACTTTAGAAGACCAGCAGGTTATGGGTTAATCAGATTGGTACAGATTGTTGGGTTTCATTACAGGTCGGAACAAATGGAGTTCGGATAGAGTTTATAAATGAGAAAGGTCACAAGAAAACTGCCACATATCTACCCGAGGTGGCAGTTGAACAAGGTATACTGAAATATAAAGGAATGAAAATATGTGTACTGATATGATACATGTACTTATCACTCCGTTTGAATTGTTACATAACCTTCTTTGCTAAAATTCCGTTTTTTGCTATTAAATTAAACCGTACTAGAATTGGGTTTGCTTGGAAATGAATTTTGTTGTCGGCAGTTCGATGGATGATCATGTCTTCCATATATTGCTCTGATTGATCAACATCGGTGATTAGAAATAAAACAGTTAAACTTGATTTCATATAAGTTTTGTAATTAGTATATATCTTATAATGACCCACGGCAAGTTATGCTCTGTTTCTTTGTTTCAGGATGGGACCGCGTTCAAACCATTGACTCTTTACTCAGGAAAGGGGGCTATAAAGGACCCTTAAGTAACGATATTAGACGTAGTATACGTCTAACTCGTTACCGTAGTGAAAAAATTACATGTAGCTATAGCGATTATATATGTCACAAACAGAATTCACACGCATGACGATAGATGCGTACAGTCCCTGACCAAGGCAGTCTTCATGCAAGATCATATGATGAGCACATGGGATATCACATGATCATCTGTTACTATAAATAGAATAAATTCATTTTACGTCATATAGAATGGTCACATGATGCATGGGATGACAGTAATTTTTATAGTTATTGAATGTTTAGTTTCAATTTGTTTGGAGATCTAAGTTTTATATAAACCTTAGCCAACCTGTTTAAGTAAATTTTAATGTTTTTATCGCTAGAAGAGTTATGCATTTAATAGCTGTGAATTTTTCTTTGTTTAAGAAATTGATAACAAATTGTTATAAAATTATTATCGGTTTTAACTAGTCCATCCGATGTTTTACTTTCCTAGTTATGTTATTAAATTTGTTATTTTTTAAAAGATGAGCTAAAAAAGCTGTCTGTTTTTTTTTCTTTCTTTTTTAACTTATTTAGCTTAGTCCATCATAAAGTTAAATTGATGATTTTAGTGATATTTGTTTTAATGAGTAAATGAAAACAATAATCTGCGTAGTAAAATTCTGTTCATAAGATGTTCTAGAGTTTAGGAAAAATTGCAGCATCTGTTGGTAATATGTGTTTATATGAAAACTGTGGTACTGTATTTAGATCTAGTCTGAAACTGTGTCGTAAAGAATTTATTGAAAATGTCATTTTTGAAATTTCTAAACTACAGTTTAATAAATTTTTTCTATTGATAATTGAATTGGTTTAGAAATCTACAGGACTAGTCTTCATTTATATTCCAATATTTTAAATTTCTGACCAAATCTTTATGTTTTGAAAATTTTTTTAGGTTTTTATTTTCGTGTTTTTTTGTGGACAGTTTTTATACTTTTAATTGCTATAAATAGATCTGACCTGATGAAATCGACTTTAAACTTGGAAAGTGGCTGAGGCACAGAATTAACATGATTATTCCAACTTAACAAAAGTTACACAGTCTAGACTTAACTGTGGTTTGTTTTTTAACTTATAAAAAAAAATATAAAGTACTGGATATAGAAAATGTGTATTAACCAGTTCTATTTTTCACATAAGGTTCTTCCATGTGATGATAGGCTGGTTTTGGTAAACTATGCAGTTTGCATGTCAATAAAATTTGAAATTGTGTACCAGTCAATGATAGAATCTTCTGATTGGGCGATTTTGAACACAACTTTATATCAGACAATCACAATGTTTGGTGACTGATGTCCTTACCAATGTCTATTCTAGGATTCGAAAAAAACGGGGGGATTTTTATTGAAAAAGGAGAATTTATTACATTTAATGATCTTTTTCCCTCTTTCTCTATGTAAAATTTCCCCCCTGCCTCTGAAAAAATAGGGGGGAATTCTCAAAAATATGAGTGAATCCCCCCTCCTAGAATAGACACTGCCTTACTTTTAATTATATTTTTTTTTGCATACTTTATTGATGTGACTCTATTGGCAAAAGGAGTAAAAAAAATGAAATATAAAAAAAGAATAAAAAAATAAAATAAATAATGATGCAACTTGGTCATTAATAAGAAAACTTAAAGATCTAGTTATGATATTATTGTGGTGGGTCATCAAAGTGTAAATCAAATTTTACCCTTTTTTTGTTCAAGAAATATAATATGTTTACTGTTAGAATTATTATTATTACTAAGTGTTTGTAGATATATAGATGTGTTACATTAGATGTGTATAATCCAATCATTTTCCATTAAAGTTTATACTCTAACAGTATTTTCATTTACTTTTACTGCTGTTCTATTTTACCCCAAGTTGACACTCATTTTGAGCTGTGTCATGACAAAACCAACATAATGGGTTTGTGACCAGCATGGATCAAGACCAGCCTGCGCATCCGCTATCAGTTTCTCTACTTGTAATAGAGTTGGTAAGCGAACAGCATGGATCCTGATCAGACTGTGCGGATGTGCAGGCTGGTCTGGATTCATGCTGGTCACAAACCCATTATGTTGGTTTTGTCGTGACGCGGCTCATTTACGTTCATTCCAAGTTCATGCAATTTTTTCTTTCTTGTGGCATTTCATTTTAGTTGTCAATCAAAACCATCTTTTAAATCATTTAATTGAATTTGATACATTGGAATTGAGTCGGTAAATTAACAAATTAGAATCAATGTTATTATTCATTATGATATGAAATAAAAGAAAATTTGTATATCCCCATTCATGCTTTTTATTGCCTTTACAGTAATCTAATCATCTATTAGTTAATGATTTGGATGATTGGTCACTTTCAAAGTTCAACTCGTAAGAAAAGTTGTTTCCTACAGAACACAATTAAAGAAATAAGTTTAATTTCATCTGTATATACCTCACTTATATATATCATCAAAACCACCTGAAATTAAATTGCTTCATAACTTCATCATCTAATACATGTTATGTTAAATATTGATTATTAATTTCAAGGGTACGTTTGATTAATTTTCAGAGTGTCTGTAGTAAAATGGATATTTCTTATAGCATCATGCTTGATTTATATTATGATACTATTTTTGAATATGATATTTTGAAGGGTACGCTTGATTAACATTTTGTAGTGTTTAGAATCAAATGGTGACTGGGTGCACTTGATATATACATGAATTTTTTGTAAATCCGGTTGAATCTTACCGCATCCCATTTTATGAAGAAGTATAACTGTTCTGTTACTGCCTATTTAGGGACTGTACTGTTAAAATTAGTCAGCATCAAGTTTTTAGGGTTTTATTACTAACTTTTATATTGATATATAGGATCAGTCTTTTGTGTAAATGTATTGAAATTTTCACTTTTTTAGAGCCATTGTGTATGTATAAAGGGCATGCTGTAGAGGTGACTTTTTACTTTGAATGCGATATTGTTTGAACATGCTTTCCATATTTATACATGTACCAGTTATATATAAAATTAGCATTGCATTAGTGATGAAGTGTGTATGAAATTTACCATCATGTTCCTGAGAAGTCAACTTTTCTAAACTCATAACAACCTAGCATGGTTCGATCATTCTGTATTTTTGTAGATTTTACAACTTACACATGGCTTTAACATGACAGATTTGGGTAGTAAATGTATAAACACACATATAACCATGAAACTGTTATATTTATCTGCTTGTTAGTAATGAAGTAACCATGAAACTGTTATATTTATCTGCTTGTTAATAATGAAGTTGAATTGATAACCTCTTGGTGAGATGTATTAAAAACAATCATATACACTAAAACATACAATTGAAAGGTGATTAAAATTCAGTAAGTACAGGAATCACTTTTGCAGCAATGTTAAATCTTAGTTTCCTGACAAAAATGTTTCCTGACAGGAATCAAGCTTTTATAATTCATTTTAACCCTACCATGAAACTGTTATATTTAACTGCTTGTTAGTAATGTAGTTGAATTGATTACTTCTTGTTGAGAGAACTAGATTGTATTTAACCATCTCTCACTTGTACATTTACAGAAAATGTTTGGCCTATCTAAAATCTGTAGAATACATTTGTCAGCATTTTTTGCACCATGTTCCAATTAAGATGCTGTTTTCTTGTATATCTGTATCATCCTATTACATTACAAGCAAGTAGTAGCAAAAGTTTTAGTTGAGGTATTTGGAATTGCTTACTTACAAGTCATACAGCTTGAGTCAATTTTGAAAACAGTTTCAAACATGATTGTCAAGTATATAAGAAAATCAGAAAGTGAGTGAAGTTTTACAGAATAATTAACAGCAAAATTTATTAAAATTCTAGGAAAAAAGACGCATAATTTGTTTGTAATAATTACAATAAAGATGTCTGACTGCTTTTAAAATTAAAATTGTTATACAACAGAATAACACTAGGACAAAAATTTCTTGTTCATTTCCTATTTTGAGTATTAAGTATTTGACAATCAGCAAAACAATAATGTAATTTTGACGTAAAATTGTTAAGGTAAAGTAAAATTGTTAAGGTAAAGCGTCGCTTAAATGTTGACAACATATGGCTTGGTAGGGTACCACTAAAACTTTTAACATACTAGAGGTAGGGCACCATTAAAATTGACACAATATTATTGAGGCTTAAGCAACAACTTTTAACATAACATGAATAAGGTAGGGCACCACTAAATCTTCATCAAAACATGGATAAGGTAGGGCACCACTAAATCTTTATCAAAACATGGTCTTGGTAGGGCACCACTAAATCTTTAACAAAACATGGTTGAATCACAGCACCACTTACTATAGGTAAAAATACACCAAGAATCATGCCAGGTTGTTAATATTTGATAGGTTATCATAAAGAATAGTATGCACATTTTAAATAAATTCTTAAAATCATATAAACATCATAATGGATTTATCCAAAAAGCATTTTCATTTGTTTCACTCTTTTTTATGCTATGTTGTTTTGAAGAAAAAATGTATCACCATCTTAGAAATCCTTTAGTCACATCATTAGGCAGGTGCTGAATACATTTAGGAGGACCAAATGTAATTTTCATATCACCTCTTCAATTACAAATTAAATACATTTTAATTTTTCATGAGTGATTTGGCCAGTTAAACTGATTAAAATGTCATCCTTTTAACAGCATTTTGTTTTACTGTTTATAGCTTGGCTATTCAAAGACTATTGTACTCACCCTGGCGTGGGCATCACAAATTGGTTCTTGTGTGTAAGTTAGTATCTTTAAAAGTACTATAGTAAAGGGGTGAAACTTCACACACTTATATGAGAGCATAACAGGAGGCCACTGACTAAGGCCCATAACTCTAACAAAGATTCTGACAAAATAATGGCCCCTTTTAACTTGGAAAATTTTTAATTATCATGGCTCTTGTTTTACTATCAAGCACTAAGAATAGTCTTGTTATTGAAATATTACTTGTAACCTGTTGACACTATAAGTTATTAGGCTTTGTCACCAGTATAGAGTCACACTGACTCTGACTTTATTATGTTGGTAGTTCAAGTTTTGTATTTTCATATTGAAAATACCTTCAACTACAAATGGACTGTTCCATGTTCAAAGCAGGGCTAGTCTATTATTTAATTTCAGCAGGATAAGGGTTATATACTAGTACAACAATGAATATTGTATGATACTACCTTCAAGTAATTAATTATCTGTCTGTGCATAAAATGATTAAATCTATTAGAAGTGTATAAAATGATTGAATCTATTAGAAATTTGATGCAATTTTGGAAAAAGTTGGAAATATTGTACATGTAATTAAATTTTATCTGAAAAAAAGGAATTTTTCCTCCTATATTATTTTTTGTTTTATTTCAAGATAAATTAGAATGAAATAGTTGAGTTGTCATTTAACAACCATCAGTTTGTCATTATTTACTACAATTGCAGTAAAATCTGACATTGTGCCTTTTACTTTCTTCCCACCATTTAACCCCCCCATCCACCCTCTTATAGAAATCTCCACAGTGGTTCATACCCCCTTTTTTAATGCCTGAAACATTTTCACCATTTTGTTTTTTCATAAAAACAAATCTTTCTTTTTTTTCACATTATTTTTGAAAATGCTGTTTAATTCTCAAAGTCAAAAATATTTCAAGTACTGAAGACTACCATTATCTTGCATGCTATTTTTTCTCAGGTTTGTTATTTTTTTTCTTTGTTTTCATTTATAAATGTTTAGATCATTGCTTTGTGGGGTATATGTTTTTGTGGTATAATTGGTGTAACTGTAGCAGAAAAATAATTGGAACACATGTCAATGACTTACTGAAAATTAATTTTCAAAAAGAATTTCGGATAGATATTATTTTGATAAAAAAGTAGAAAATGTTTTAATTTTAAGTCATTAGATAATGCTCTATTATTTTATACTTTTGAAATTCTTAAAAAGTTTATTATTGGTAATACATTTGTAACCTGTATGCAATGGGCATTTTAGCTTTTTGGAATGAAAAGAAAGCTCATTTTTAATAGCATAGTGAGCCCTTGTTCAAGGTCATTTTTAGTTGGTTTAAGCTAAGCCCAAAAGAAATTTACTTTTTAAATTATTTGGAAAAACAAATGGATTTTAGTCTAAGTATTTAAAGAATACTGGTACTGTAGTCCTCACTTGTGTCAGCATTTGTATAACCTGTATACATTGTCTGAATGGCAAGTCTTATTCTGAAATATGCTTGGTATACCTGGTACTGGATATTTACAGTCAATGAAAGGCTATTCATTGTCTACAAGAAGAATGATCTGAATGTGAACAATTACAGGTGTTTACTGAAGAGACAGTGCTGACAAATATAAACAGTTGAGTACAGTATAACAGTACTATGTTCTTTGAGGAAATATTTTATTACAACTTGTTCTTTCAGATTTTAATGTAGAAAATAGTAAAACTAGAAAAGTACATGTAGTAGTAAGTAGTGTTTTAAGGAATATATACATATTCTGTCTGTGTCCATTTATTTTACTGTCTAATTGTAGATGTCATATTGTATGAGGTGTTTTAAAATATAAATATATATATATACTATTAAATGATCCAAATTGAAACAGAGTACATTTTATTATATTCTCCGTCATGTCAATTTTGTCAATGTTTATGTTTTAGTGGTTTATGAACTGAGAACCCTGAAACTACTTGTTGCCACTGAGAACCCTGAAACTACTTGTTGCCACTGAGAACCCTGAAACTACTTGTTGCCACTGAGAACCCTGAAACTACTTGTTGCCACTGAGAACCCTGAAACTACTTGTTGCCACTGAGAACCCTGAAACTACTTGTTGCCACTGAGAACCCTGAAACTTTTTGTTTCCACTGAAAACCCTAAAACTACTTCCTGAAACTGCTTGTTTCCTCTGTGAACCCTGAAACTTTTTGTATCCACTGACAACTCTGAAACTACTTGTTTCCACTGAGAACCCTGAAACTACTTGTTGCCACTGAGAACCCTGAAACTACTTATTGCCACTGAGAAACAAAGGCTACGGATGAGCTTTCTCACATCTTCTCGGGAACTACTGTGGTTAGTGTTTTATGTCACTTAAGCAATAGTTCAACATCAGCTTGACAATCATACATATCTCTGAAATTCATCTCAGAACCGAATGCTATTTGCGAAATTTGCGATGTGTGTTTTACATGAAAGGGGTTATATCGTATATAAACTGTATTGGTAAATTTTGTAAAATGTTTAAAAAAAAATAGTAACATGGAGTATTTCTTGACAATCAAGTACTTGCTGTCAACCCTTTTCTTACATATAAGTAAATCAAATTTGGATTTATGATACTTAGAAATGGTCTTCCAAATCGCTGTACAAAAAAAATATATAACTATAATGCGCACAATTACTATGCCCGTACGATAAGAGACTTAAAATGCTTAATCAAAGGTCACTGTATGAAAATCTGTTCTCCCATAGAAACCATGCTTCCACTAGTATTCCAATAATTAAAGGGATATCAATAAAAGCTTTGCAAAATCGTAGGAAATTTTCCTCCCTATAGATATATTTTGAGAAAATCAAAATGAAATGCAGTGTATATATTTGATACATATTTGTATATGGTATGTACAGGTTTTGATTCTTTATTGCCTCGGGAATTTCACTTTGTCAGATCACACGATTTGATAGGCGTTGTGTATTGAATTGGATATTTGTTTATGACAGTTGAAAATAACATGTATGAAATAAAATAAAAAAAAAGAATAAATAAACAACTAGCACTATTGATGGAGACACATTCGCATTATTTACAGTTTCTCTAATTTATCATCTGCGTCATTATTCAAGAATTTTATCCTTTAAGATGTTATTTTCCATGTTTGACACGTTTAACTTACCTCCTTCGACTGTGAAGGAAATACAAACCCCCTACCCGCCTAATAAATCAAATTTAGGCAGCAGACATGATGATGATGATAATAGTAATAATAATGATAATTATTATTAATTTTATTATTATTATTATTATTATTATTATTATTATTATTATTATTATTATTATTATTGATAATGATGATGATGATAATAATAATAATGTTGAGAATGATGATGATAATAATAATAATGTTGAGAATGATGATGATAATAATAATAATGTTGAGAATGATGATGATAATAATAATAATGTTGAGAATGAGGGTGATGATTGCTGGTTAACAATAATGGAAACCCCTCGTGTCCAGTACAGACTACAAAGTAACCATGACGTGATTGTTCCTAGAAGAACAATACACCGTATACAGAATTTTTAACAATCTACTCAAAAGGGGTTGAAAACTGTGTAACTTTGACTAATTGGTCGAAATGTCCACCTTCTTGGGCGATTTTCGCCATTATACAGGGACTGTCAGCAAAAAAAGATAAACATACTAGTTTTGTATTGCCTATGTTTTCCATGGGCAATTTCAATCAAAACGAGATGAAAATCGGCGTTATTAAAAGATGAAAAGAGAAATGAACTATTCCCTGGACTTTAAAGGCCCGTTCAAAAATGAATATATTTTTTGTCAAAAGCCTTTACTTTTCGTGTCCTATTAATTAAGTTTCCCAAATGCAACTCATAGGCTGATTTTTAGCACACGTTTGCTCTTTCTTCAGAAGAAAAAAAATGTTTTCAATTTGAGGCTTAATTAATGTACCTTTAAACATGTCAATTATCCACCAGAGACTGACATTATGATCAAGCCCTGTTGATCTGGATACATACCATTTCGATACGTTGTGTTCATGCAGTTATTTTATTGAGAAAAAATATATTTACGAAATTTCTTCTATGATGTCATTATCACTCATTATCTATTCTAGTTACGAAAAAGACCTTGGAAGTGTTAAAGTGACTTTAAAAACACCCAACCCAGCAACAAAAATGTTATATAAATTAAAACATAATCGAATAATAACACGTAATTGACAACGTGTATATCAACTGCGTTAGACACCCCAGACCGTCTAATACCCGGAAGTTGTCCGACTTGTTCATCCATTTCCGGGTCAATATATACCCGACGCAAAGGACAGACGACACAAATTTTTGTCAACACTACCCGAGGTAAGTTCATACTCACGTACTTTCTACATTTAAATTTGATTTACGATCTTTAATTTTTTCTTGGTAAACAAATTTTGATTTAATTCTAGTATTTAAATTTATAAGATACCTATATCATTGCACAGTGTATATGGATATATAATATTAAGGACTTTGTTGTTGTTTATTTCACTCTATTACATACATGTATAAGATTTTCTTCAGTTTACAGTATCCTTTTCCCCGAAGAATAGCATTGCATTAATTCCTTAAACAATATTTTTATATAAAAACCTATACAACTTATAAAAAGGTATACATGATATATTTCGTTTAAAAATCTAAAAACTTTAGATCATTCTGATAAAAAAAATATTGAAAGTAAATAAATAAATTCATACTCAGACGACGCTTGTTTCAATCAAGTGCAATTTTACTGTAATATCAATTATTATAAACTGAAGAATTATTTATTTTTGTATATACATGTATAGCATTCAGCTTGCCATTTACAATTTCTCGAATTGAAACATGTAATATATGTTAAGATAAGGATAGAAATAAAAAATAGTTTCCTGTATATCACAGTGATAAATCGTATTTAAAAGAAATTTTCAAAAAGCGCTGAAAATACATGTACATTGCAGTTAAAATTATGTTTGCGTCTTGCACTTCATATTTAATGTTTTTAAATACAGTAGTCATGCAATATATCATAGCTTGTACTATTTCTTCAAATGATAAATACACAGTAAAACTTCAAAACTTTTACTTCTTTGGGCATATACTTTTCTCATAAGTCTTTCGCCTATCTATGAATAAAATTCAAACTCATGAAAGTCCCTCTTCGATTTGTGGCTCAGTAGTTTGCTGTTAATATAGAACATAAAATCATGTATGCAATTCTCAAAACTTTAAATCAACACTGATTCCCGAATGACTGTATTTTATTTTATGTTTTTGACGTTTCAGATCAACATGAAATCACTGACAGTTATAGTTCTAGCTTTGACCGCCGTAATTGGCCTAGTTGTCGCCGACTACGGATACGGCGGTTATGGAAGTTACGGCAGTGTCGGCGGTGCCGGATACACCTATATGCCTGCATACGGCGGTGGTTACGGGACTGGATCTGGATTTGGCAATAACCAATGTATGTGAAATTATTTTAATCAATTATTAATTAAACTTAAAATAAGAGTCACGACTTTTATGATAGTTTACATCTCTTGCAATTAAAGCCCGTATCTTGTCTGAGATCTAAAGCAGTTAATTACGTGTCTTTTCATTAACTTAATGCGAATAGTGCTTTGTTTATGTATTAAGATTATTTGAAATCGCCGTATGTATGTAGTTCGTAACACATTTAAAACCGCATATCAAAAGATATTGCCAATATAATTATAGTACTTAGTATTCTAAAAATGATTCGAATCCGCTAATAAATTATGGCCCATCGTATAATTAATGATTTGAAATCGCAAGATTGTGCTTTAAAATTATTCGAAATCATCATGCAGTGTTTTAAAATGAATGGAAATAGCGATGAAGAAGATTTTATCTAGTTATTCACTTCATTTTAAAAATGAAATATATATCAGAAATGTCTTAATGCAATAAAAATACAATGAATTGTAAAATGCTATGATGAAATTTATACTGATATCGCATTGTAATGATTTTACCTCACCGTGAACACATTTTTTATTTCACTCTTTCAGTGTACATGTTCATGTTTGTGTTCTTGTTCCTCATCCTCCTATTGAACTCCAACAACGGCATCAGCAACTTCACCATCAACGGATAATACTTCCGGTCACATGACAGGACCTATTGTGTCGTCAACAATAATTCTGTAGGTTCAATTATATTTGCTCCTTTTTTATATAGAAGAAAGGTAACTCTTATCAGACTGACTTATGATGTATTTTCATTAATTATGTCTCTTTCGACGGACCATTGCATTTTGCAGCCTGTCGGGATCCAAACTCCTAAGCAGTGGTCCCTTGGATCATGGTTATCATAATATTTTAATTCAAAGGCGGGGACAGACTTATTATAATTTGACATAGACATGTTTATTCTCAAATAATGTTTATTGTTTGTCTTATTCAACAAAATAATAAATATTGTATGTATTTTTTCAGGTTAAATGTTGGTTCCAGTCATTTAATTTCGGATCATCAAAGTACCAAACAGTGAATAACCAGGACTATACATGCATGGATAAAGTTAATCATCAAGTGATAATTCAAATACTAAAGACAATATCTAGTTTGTGTAAACCCGTTTCATATTCAACCGATGTTGACTGACCAGAACCTACATCACCATAATTGTTGTTAATTCTTTCTTAATAAAATATTATTTATTCCACTATATCATGTTTCTTTATCAATTCAAAACCTTTAATAACGTAATGATTTACCTCCGGAAAATGTAAAAATAAATGAATAGATAAAACTGGAAATTCATGGAATTAATTTCTGATTAAAACAAAAAGCTTAAAGACGAAATGTCAGTAAAAACGTGAGCGTGAGTTATATTTCTGCTTCGAAAAAAAGCTTCTTCAAGACTTTAGTAAATACGCGAATTATTTGCACGATAAACTAACATGATATATGGATAAATGCTTCTCCATTTTTTGTTGTTAATATATATCATTCATCAATGAAAATAAATATATCTCATTAAAGTATCGTAAATGAAAATATCGTTTTCTACTTATTAACATATTCCCCACAAACCAACTTGGTTTTTTACATTTCGCACTTAATCATCGATTTTTTAGCCTGACCACACTAAATGACATAAATGGACTAGTCCGTCTTTCTATCTGGACAAAACCATTAATCATTTTAGGAACGACTGAATAGCGAACAGTGCAGACCATGGTCGGACAGCATTAATGATGTGCGAGATGACCTTGGTCTGCACTGGGGCCGTATTCACATAAGTATATCCAGTTGCTGCAAGCATAGGTTAAGCTATTAACGACTCAGTTTAAAACAATTAAATCATCCTTTTTACTTCATATTAGATACAGCCTTATGGCACAAAAATCTTGATGTAACTACCTTTCAGATTTTTTGACGGTGATGATGATAAAACTAGAAATATCATAGAGATGACTGAGATGCCTTCTGACAAATAAACAAACGCTAATTTAAAATAATGGCGGCTCATTTCTTTTTACATAACTGCACCATAAGAACACCGGTTTTCCATTGTGTGCCCTATTTTTTCGTTCTTGCAATAATATTGCACAGGTTAGAGTTGTACCTTAATGTGATTTGATATAAGACAAGAAATAGGCTTTTTGAATAGTTAGTGAATCATTGAAAGAAAGGAGTGGTTATAGAAAGTAATTCATAATTAACTTGTACAATAGAACTTTGTCGAATAGTTATAAAATAATACAGGTGTACATAATTAAGTTCACCAACCAACAATGAGCTATTTACATAGCACATATATTTTTGACACAGGTCTAATAGAAAACACATGACAACAACTATAACATTCATCACCATCATCATCATCCTCGTTGTCGTCGTCATCATCATCAGCAGCAGCAACATCATTATCATCTACTTGTTCTTCTTTTTCATCATCATCATCATCAACATCAACATCATCATAAATCTCTATCATCATCATTATCATCATCATCATCAAAATAACCTTATTCTTTGTCATCATCATCATCGTCATATACATCCCTATCACCATTATCATCATCTTCCCACCATTTTTTACAAAATGAAACACAAGGCATAATAAAGAAATCATTTTATTATATCCAAAGATATAATCATAAAATAAATACAATTTTTTATTGTAAAAGTCACTTTCATAAAAGTAATTATTGCAACATTTTATTAAACAAAATAAATTCGGTTTCAACTCTATGAACAATCCCTGCCTTAGGAATGTATCACTGTAGAACATGGTTCAACAAAGCAAACTGTTTCTAAAATGCTACAACGCATTGGCAATTATATTAGAAAGTTTGCAGTTTCCGAGTAGAAAACACCGAATTCTTACATGGTAAGTAAAATATAAAGTATATGTGTAAATGCATATATTTATTAAGTAAATATTTGTTCATGGATATAAATATTGCCTATTCAAACATTAATTATTAATGTCACTTAAATAGGTGAAATATATTCCAAATCGGAGTAATGAATACAAACCAACCGGTATTGCATGTGAGAAAACATGACATATAAATGGCATCGGTTGATTCTTTTCTAAATAGTTTCTGTCGAGAAAGACATTTTTAAGATCTCAATATCCCTGTGCATCGGCAAGAGTAATCCGTCTTTTTTCTTTGATGGTAGTTTTGGAGTTTGTTTAATAGAATGCAAAGATTTAGTAGATCGACGTATCACATCGAGTGAATGCTTAGCAGCAGTTAAACTTTCTAGTGACACAGCCATCTGCACGAGATCTCTGTGCGAGGTGTGAAGCAACGATGGAATGTCTATTGAATCAGCAAGGCCGATTTTTTCTTCAATTATCACCTCCTCATCAATGCGAGGATGATTTTTAACGTAAAAGTACGGCTGAATCATAACGACCGAACTTATTATAACCATAGCTCCACCCAAATAAAACGCCATGGCATACGAGTCTGTGATGTCATACATAGCACCTGAAAAAAATGCAAACATACATACACATTATCGTAATCTTTCTGGATATAAGAGACGGTGTTCTATACAACTACTATTCTTAAATATTAATCAAGAAGAATAAATTCATTCTAATCGGTTATTGATACCTACCATTATGATTACTTACAACTTTGTCTACAGACTTTTCCAACCCAATTATTTACTTAATTATCATAAATTACAATTATGTAGGTCAGGTGGCACATTTCTCGGACTGAAAGATTTTAGGAAATAGAAAAGTTCAAAGAATTAGTAAATAGAAGCATGTGTATATCTAATTCAATTTATGATGACCCAGGAACAAGTTGTAAGCAACCATTTTATATAATAGCAATAAGTCATGATATAAAGAACCGCACCAAAGCGGTGAAGATACTAGGTAAGTTCTCCTGAAAATGAATTCGACATTTAGATTTTTCTTATAAAATTGTGAACTCAACACTGTTGCTGAAAAATGAAGTTATTTTGTGAGTAGACATCGTGAGTTGAGAGACATTAAGCTTACACAGCTTTCTGGCACTAATTAAGCTAGCAGTCGAACGAAAACAAAATAAATCGCAACTCAAAGTTACGTTTTCTAAATATACCAATATTGCCTTCTTCATTCATGCGTTCACAAACCGGCGTAGATTAAAAAAAAAGAAATTCCTTTAAGGCGGACTCGGTCAAGAAATTACTAACAGACACCAGTTGTGTGCTTAAGTAGGGGTTAAGAAATAAAAAAAAAATGTTGAAGGTAGGTTTTCATTTTCCACGTCTTTGTCTGTTATTTTGGTATTCCCATCTATCTCTGAGCCTTGAAGTGTCTCCGAAACATTTTGTTGTCAGTCAGTGACTAGCAGAAATCAACTTAGGAGGAATTTGGCCATCCGGTCTCTTGTCTGATTCATTCCTGTCTTTATATTATTACTCTGGCATCAATGGCACATTAGGAATGTCATCCTTTGTCCTTCTTTTTCCCTGCCGAAAGAAAAAAATAGAAAATGCGTATCGATATGAAAAGTGAACTAGGAAAACTGTGCCCATTTTCTTGTGGATTATTCCTGTCTCCCAGCCATCACAGACATCTAGGATGAAAAAAATGTAAGATGATGACAAACATAATATATGTAATATCATTTCAATAATTTGACATAAAATACGCTAGCAACTCGCTTCAGTTCCGAATACATTCACAAAAGAGATCGATTTAAAGATAAGTTAAAAAATGTTTTACCTGCAACAGACGCTCCTATCAGCTGTCCTGCAGCCATGAATAACAACAGGCATCCGTATCCATTGGCAAATCGTCGAAGACCGAGGAGTTCTATTAGGATGTTCACTAGTAATGTACCGAAGCATCCAGACAGCAACCCGAACACACAAACACAGGCCATCAATACAGAGTAGGATTCCATTATTGGGACAAGACAAATGCATATTCCAGACAGAAAATAAGAGCCACTGTACAAAACAAAAACGTTAATACGCGGATGGTAAGCTATAAGGCCATATAAAAATCGTCCAAATAAATTTGAAATTCCAAGTCCTGATAAGAGCATTGCGCTTTCATCGGCAGTCAGACCGATTTTTTCACCGTGAGCAGTTAAATGAATGTAAATAGCAGAAATACCGAAGCAAAATAAGAACACATTAACACAGAGCATAACGTAGCCTTTCTTTTTAAACGGCGTTATGTCAAGAATTGGTTGATCTTCTTTGATCTCAGGTCTTTTTACGGGCCGCATAAGTGCACCAAATACACACATGTTTAGAGATATAGCCCCCAGGACGAGAAAACTTTGCTTCCAATCGTACGTGTTGACAAGCCATCTAATGATGGCGGGATATAAGAAGTTCCCGATTCCGACCCCTGACGTTGCAATTCCAGCAGCTAGCGACAACTTCTTGTCAAAGTAGCAAGAAATTGACGCTATTGCAGGTATATACACAATTCCAAGCCCAGCACCTGAAATAACAAACACATTTCTTATAGACTGTTCTGACAGACGCAATTCTAATTAAAAAACACATGCGTATGTCATTTTAAACGAAAACATAGAACAGATAATGTGTGAAAAAAAATGAAATAAAGAAAGAAATAGCTTCGTATCAAGGTCATCATTCTATTTTAACAGTTGTACATATCGGAAGTTTAGCTTAATAGTCAACATAATATAGTGCCTATGTACTTTTGCCTTTTAATATCAAATATTTACTCTTGATATAGTACGGCCATGAACATGAGTTTAGGTTCGGGCGGTCACTAGGTCAGAAAAATGCAGCATACGCTATGCATGTCGTTTGATAAGCGCGTGTCACTAATCTTTTGCTGAATGTTAACTTTTGTTGAGTAGGTTAATAGGCTACAATCTAAATATGTAGAACCTTTCATATCTGACATCTAGTTCAATTTTACATGTGGTTTCTTTAAAATCGTGTTTAAAATTTAAAGCCTAATCAACAAATAACAGACTTGGCAATATATACCGAATGGTGGCTGTTGAATGTTGAAAAAAATCAACATCAACTGTTTAAGTACTTTTAGTGTACGTAAAAACGCTCATTAAATAATTATCAGTTTTAAAATTATTATTTTATTTAGTTTTATTTATTTATTTTCTTTTTTATTCAGAAATTTGAACTTTTAAGTTATGGTAGTTAATTCATGAACGTGTTTACAGGACGAAGAACCCCGGAAAACCGGTAACGTTGGCGTGTTTTGGTCCCCTTTGCGCGAGAAAGTGAATTAATTAATGTCAAAGCACGACTAAATGTTTGACTCGTATTTCAACATTTTCCAACGGTCAGCACGAAAACGCAAAGAACATGCTAGATTATGTTTTTGCCATTACCGTGCTTCACCCGCGTTCGCATTTTTGCGCCACAACAAGAAACAAGAGGGCCATTAAGGCCCTAATATCGCTCACCTGAATATAAATATTCTCCATGACCAGACAGGAACAAGTAATATTGTAAACTATGAATGAAAGCAGATATAAAATCTAAAACTTAAACCGATATCAAACAGTTCATATTTGTATCTGAAAAAGTGCATGTGTAAAGGGTTGCTATACACTGGTTGCTATTGCTAAGGGAAAATAACAGTTCCATAAGATGTCACTGTTTGTTATACAAAATAAATGGTTTCGTTGGAGGTCAGTGCCTGCTATGAATTCAATGGTAGATTCACTCGTTGCTATGGAAAGGTAATGTTTGCTGGTTGCTATGAAAATTTACAGCTTGCTATGAAAAGTCAATGGCTGCTATGAAGTGACTGGTTTCTATGGAAATTAAGCTTTAGCTCTTGTAGATTTAGCGAAGAATTTTATTTTAACTTTTACTATATACATATAATCTTTGTTCCCCCAAGGCGGTGCAGTTTTGACCCGTGAGTTATAATCTAAACAATTTCTGTAGAAGTCCACGAGACAATGTTTCATACCAAAAATCTAAGCTCAAGCCTCTATAGTAAAATAGAAAAAAAGATTTTTTTATATACATTTAAGGAAAATCAATTACCCCCTGGGGCGGGGACAATTTTGACCCCAGGGCTTTTATTTGAACAAACTTGGTAGACCACCCACAAGAAGATGTTTCATGCTTAACATTTAAGCTCTAGCTCTTTGGCTTTTTCAGAGGACGTTTTTTTTTTGTTTTCACTACATACATATAAGGAAAATCAATGAACCCCTGGGGCGGGCCAAATTTGACCCTAAGGATGTTATTTGAACAAACTTGGTAGAGACCCACTAAAAATGTTTCATGCTAATTATCTAAGCTCTAGCTCTTTGGGTTTTATAAAAGAAGGCTTTTTATGTTTTTTCTTTCCGTTGCAATGGTTACCAGAGGTCTGCATGGAATTCAATTCTTTGAACACTTTTCAAAGGTGACTACCCAAGGAACATTCCTGTAACGTTTGGATGAAATTAGCTGAGCGGTTTTGAGGAGACGCCGTTTAAAGTAAAAGTAAAACGGACAGACGACGGGCGGACGGACGCCGGACGAAAAGCAATCACGAAAACTCACCATGTCACTTTGTGACAGGTGAGCTAAAATACACCTTTATCGTCCGCGTTGCGTTACAAAATATAAAATGTGGCGCAAAAAGCAAAATAGTGAAAACACGACAAGTCATTTTACGTCATGTTTTCTCCATAAATAAATGTTTGTGTTCCCGTCTCAACTTTTCGCCCTTAATTCCGAAATAACGCTCAGCCGACATGACTCTATCTAGAAAACATCACAAAGCCATAAAAATATATAAATTCCCATTAACCGACATTAAAATGCGAATCATGAAAATTCTAGACGTGATACAAATGCAGTCAAATAAAACCATTCAGTTGATAAAATGTATTATAGGTATTTTTATGTAATGTTTAATCTTTCCAATAATTTTCTGATTCACTACGTGCACTAACACTTTTGTAAGTTATTAAGTGAAGCGAAAAGCTTGCATATTCATATAAATTCTTTTGAAAAATCTTAATGGTCTTTTATCATCATCATTATTATTATTTGTTTGTTTGATGCTTTAAGGTCTTTCAGTTTATTTTTGTTTTGTTTCTTTTTTTAAATTGTTGTAAGTATACAAAACAAGTAATTTGCTATCCATTTACTATACATAAAATGCCTTATAATGCATGTAAAGTATCTGATATAGCCATTTACTCCGATAATGTAAAACACATATATAGGCCATTTACTTCGTTAAATGTAAAAAAAAACATACATATGCAGCCCTTTACTCCGTTAAATGCAAGACATACATATACAGATACAGCCCTTTACTCCGTTAAATGCAAGACATACATATACAGATACAGCCCTTTACTTCGTTAAATGCAAGACATACATAATTATACATGTATAGCCCTTTACTCCGTTAAATGTAAAACATACATATACATGTATAGCCCTTTACTCCGTTAAATGTAAAACATACATATACATGTATAGCCCTTTACTCCGTTAAATGTAAAACATACATATACATGTATAGCCCTTTACTCCGTTAAATACAAAATATTCAGATACAGCCCTTTATTCCTTAAAATGTAAAATATACAGATACAGCCCATTTCTTCATTAGATGCAAGATGAAATTATTTATAAACTAGCTCTTTCATTTGTTTTATTATTAACTTTGCAAAAGTGGATGACATTATATATATAATGTGATATAAAAGAAGATTAAGTGAATAAATTTACACGACACGAGGTTACTATTTGTAATTTTCTTTAATAAATTCTAATATATGTTGTCTTAAAGGTTAAGTACCGTTCATAAATCTTTACAGTATACTATACATTTATATATCCAACAATGTTATAGTGTATCAGATGATATCAACTATAATAATAACATCCTAAAGTCTGTAATCAAATACTGTCAGAAATATATCATATTTTTATATAAAAATATTCATGAATATTAATGCGTTACGTCTCACTTATTGTTATGAAAATACGAGTAAATATGTTTACTAACACCACGAAAAGGTTAATAAAGAAACTCTTGTTTTTTATCTAGTCCACCAATTTATAGTTCAGGTGTATACATTTCGGTATCTTTTTATTTTTTTTCACGTATTGTTTACAGTCGTTTACATTGTATTTTTAAGTATTTAATAATTTGTTTTGTGCCGAATACTTATAATTTTAATAAATTACCTTTATAACCAAAGATATTTTGGTAAAAATATTGCTTAGTCAATAATTACATGAAAGTTGTATATAATATTATAACATTGAACCATACATGTATACTTGTATTTTAATTAAAACATAGCCATGCATAACATTTCAAATATCACATGTTGATACAAGTTACCTAGAATAATAAACACGGATGCACAGATCAGTTATTTTGTATGTCAAAGAAAACTGTCTACAGTTATTTTAACGCTCATTATCAATTATACAACACTTATTACTAAATTGATATAACAAATACCTGTTAGAACTCCGAACGTAAAGAACAGAAGAAACAGGTCATTGGCAAAAAAGCTAAGTATAAGCCCAGCACTGACCATAAGCCCACCAGAAATAATGACAGGACGGAATCCGTACTTGTTTGAAAACATGCTTGCTATTGGTCCTGAAAAGAAAAGAATTTGTCTAATGTAACGCTCGACCTTAAACATGTTCTTGTTAGGGCGTTCTTTTTCTTTCGTTAGAAAAAAAATATTTTACCATCTTAAAAAACTAGCAAGCTTCATAGGGAAATGCTATACATGTTTTAATTACAAAATCGAACTATTCAACTAAAACATAAACAGTATTCGAATATTGTTGTCGTTCCTAAGACTGCGTAGCGATGCAAAGGGGGACTACTGCGTAGGAGTTTGACACAATGCAGTTAAACTAAAAAAAAAACTTACGAAAACATAAATTTGTTAAACCTGCTAAAACCGGTTTGAACCGACCATTGCTGGTAATTCTCAATTTCATACAATGATTGTGCAAAATTATTTATATTATTATTGTTATTCATTCTATACATTACACTTTGTATACATGTACTCGTACATAAAGTTCAAACAAATATCGTAAGAATTTGTTTTTGTCCAGTGGCTCAATTATAACCTTAATACGTTAAACATGTATATTTATTTACTTAATCACATACAAACTTTTCGTTATTCTGACTTGATTGCTTTTTTCCCCCTCTTTGGCTTTGCAGTCATTAGGCCTAGAAAAACGTACACATGTTGTCCCTGTTTCATCGTATAAAACAAACCCAAAACGTTTAATTAATTAGTGTTTTAAAGATTTATTGTGACGTTTTCTCTTGCTAAATTTAATATTTTTTTATTGTATCTGGCTGCATCTTTTAATGATATACGACGCTTACCGGCATGGCAAGCAAATATGTAAATTATGTGTCTATGATTTATTTGAATATTTTTATAATTATATTAAGTAATTAAAATGTGTAGCCCAAATAACACGACTCTGTTTCCTATTACGATTACGTCTAATAAAAAAGCCCCACCACCAACAACAAAAGAGCCGCGTCATGACAAAACCAAAAACATAATGGGTTTGCGACCAGCATGGATCCAGACCAGCCTGCGCATCCGCGCAGTCTGATCAGGATCTATGCTGTTCGCTAACAAACTCTATAACAAGTAGAGAAACCGATCGCGAACAGCATTGATCCTGATCAGACTGCGCGGATGCGCAGGCTGGTCTGGATCTATGCTGGTCGTAAATGCATTAAGTTGGTTTTGTCATGACGCGGCTCAAAATTTTTGACCGGTTCATACCTATAGCGTACATGACAGCGGTAGGCAAGGATCCCGCCCATGCTGTTACGGACTTTGGATGACCAAATTCTTCTAGAAATATGACATTATAGACGCCGGTGCTCCAAGCTAGACCGTATGACATCATATGTAAGAGGAATGACGACACGAGGACCACCCACGCCCATCCTCCATCTATATCCGCTGATCGGTGTTTCATACCCTTTTTACTCTGTCCTTTAGTTCTGATCTGGATCTGAAAACATAGAATCAAACTTCATTATATATATATTGTTATTAATCATATCAAATCTATTATAACTTATGTTAATTTGATTATCGTGACATTGTTTCTTATCTCAAGTACGCATTTGTATATTCGGAACATAATTATAATAAAACGTAAATTCCTGTAAGTAGTGCGACCAACTTATTAGATTGATATGATATGCCAGTCTTTAAATGATATCCAATAATAACGGCAATACAAACCGGTTAACCATATTTTCCAGGGAAATTAAAAAAACACAAAAAAACGGCAAACCATATTTTCTGAATGGATTATAAGAAACCGGTTAATTTTATATATTCCATTGCATTAGTATAAAGCGATTAACAATATATTCCAATTTATCATTATTATCATTATCGTCATCATCATTATTATTATTATCATTATTATTATTATTATTATTATTATTATTGTTATTATTGTTATTATTATTATTATTATTATTATTATTATTATTATTATTATTATTAAGTATTCCGCGTATCTTGTCTATCAATCCCGTATCCATTGAACCTATTTACATACATTCTGCTTATTAGACACTTTCTTTATTAAAGCAATTATTTTATCAGCAAAACCAATGAAAAAAGTAACAGAAAATAAAAGCATTAGTCATGAACTCCCCCAAAACTTGTTATCACAAAACAACGAAAATATTTGTCTATGCTAATAATGCAAGGTTAGTGGGCTGTCTGCTGAAGAGGGTCATAAAGACAAACCATGCATAATGACAAAATATTGTCCTAATTAGTGACAACATGTATACATCTCTGAAGATAATAACTTTTTTCTTACCTAGCGATGAATACAAACATGTTAACTACTGAATAAATCCCTGGCTGAGGTGAAAAGACATTTTAAAGATGCATGCTTTCAGATGAGCCAAAAAAAAATTCAAGAAAAATCAAAAATGAGAAAAATGTAAAGATTTTCAGAAAAGTAAAACGATACAAGATTAAATTAATAATTAACATGTAACGTGCGATTAAGGACTGATTTGGCAGTATTTATCGCTATATTCCTACTGCTTATATATTCAATTTTCTTTTTGAAATCCCTATTCGATATCTCTAATTTTATTTGTTATATATGTACATAACTTTTTCTCACAAATCACAAATATATGTTCGTGTCTCATAAACATGAGGGTAAATTAAGAAACAAAAACAAATATAGGCCGGTGCTTGGGAGCGTGTGGAACACAGGCAAGTCGGTGCTAGGGAGCGTGTTTTAAGCACACAGGCAATTCGGTGCTAGAGGGCGTGTTTTAAGTGGAACACACAAGCAAGTCGGTGCTAGGGAGCGTGTTTAAAGTCGGACATACAAGCAAGTCGGTGCTTGAGAACATATTTTAAATAAGTTTTGTTGTTAATGCTAAAGAGATCGCCTTAATTTCAGGATATATCGCCATATGTTCACATAATGACAGGGTTTGAGTAGAATTTAGAATACCAAAGACATAGATAACATGTTATCTACATGTCTGAGAATACATAAAAAGAAATTGACCACATACATGTCTTAAATTCAATGAGACAAAGAATTGTAATCATAAAGGCTTGAAATTAATCATTCAATCTTATCAGAAAATTATTAAAATATTTTCCGGACGGTAGGCACTTAATTAATGTACCATGGCTGTTTTATTCCCAAAGTAAATAAAGAGCAGATTTATGGGGTTTCCTACTGCATCACTTTAACACTTGACAGGCGATAAACATCAATGACTTGTTATTTATATCGGATATTATGACACTTGACCATAATATGAACCTTTACATGCATCCAAAACCCAAACAAATATCTCGCGTCTCATCAATAAATTGTTTGACAGTAAGTCACGTATTTTGTTCTCAAGAATATATTGTACCTAATCACTTTTCAGAAATTACAGCAAATATTAGTAGTTCCTCTTGTTGTAATGCCGAGAGGTTAACAGTTAATAAACGGTCAGCGGACAAGACAGACCCAGTTTCTGGACTCGTTTACCGCCATCTGATACAACAGTAAGTTGAGGATGGATCTGATACTGTTAATATTACTATTTGCCCCACGCAACCCCCACTCCATCCTTCCGATCAAATACCGATCCAGAGCAGAATTTATCACTGAAATTTGCCAATGAGATGATAAATAATTTTTATCATCCTGTTAAAATAATTTTGATTATGGCAATTTCAACAAATTAGGTACGGCCTTTCAGTTAAAAGAATGTCTTAGTATAAATGAGGGTTCAATGGGAACATTAAGCAAAGACAAAAGAAGACGCGAGTCGCTGTTCGAGGCCAGTTAATATGACCAATGAAAATTCGTCAAGTACATACAGTTCTTCCCTGTAAATTTTATAGGAAGTTAAACTGATTTTAGACGGCCTTCGGCCGATAAAACAAAAAAATAATAAGCACACTAAGTAAACATTTGGGCATCATGGGGCTTCGACTCGCTGTCTAGACTACACCATTCCTAACCTTTAGGCTGGATTAAATAATTAAATGTTAGATGTGAATGTAAAGAATAAATAGAAATAATTCCAAATATTTTTGAAAATAAGAATGTTTCTTAAATGCATGTATATACTAAACGTTCTATTTTATTACATGAATGATGTTTTGTAACTTCATAGCAATGTTACATATATTATAAATTGATTAATACAAAGAAAGTGGGCTTAACATTTTAACATTGGAATAACCAGAAAGTTGTTTAAAATCAAATGTGTATTTTTTTCAAACTTGTTTAATTAAAATTAAGAAACAAACATCAAAAACAACGGATGTTCCGAAAATTTACACAAACACACAGACGCAGTTGTATGCTAAGATAACTTCAACCAGAAATTCTGCACACGCAAAAATACTGAGAAGATTTTTTTATCAACTATCAGTAAATGTAAAAAAACCGTCCCATTCATCAAAATATTCGTACAACATGAATCTACTCTACAGAAGCAATATCCTATCATTATCTAGGTCAAATGCAATTTTCCAGGTAAAAGAAAAACCCACAAAACAGACTACCCTTAATGTGATTCGATGTAAAAAAGAGCAAGTCTTGATGTGGAAGATAATTCAACCTGTCAGTTACATTTTTCTCAGTCTCTGATATTTTGGCACCTGTAACACTTATTGGTATGCATATCTTGTACAGAGCATCCTTACCCAGCTATTTAGGACATTCTATGAATCTATGTAATTTCAGGGTAAGATGGTGCAAATCAATGGAAAATGCTGCATTGCATAGAAATTGTGTACTTTTACACAGTTTAGAATCATAACATATACTTTTGTTAAATTTAATATGTAAATCATTATAAGTTCATAGACCTTTGTATTTTGTGTCTGAATTTTGATCGAAGCAACACAGTTCTCGGACATATTGTTTTACCTTAATATTTCAAGTGATTAGCGGAATATAACACTAATTGACAATATACTGAAACCCAATTATTCAAAACTTTACAACTTTTATTTAAATCTACTGGAATTATTATAGAATAAAGTCAGAAATAACAAGCATCGCTCTTTTTGAAAATCTTTTTCCCCAAATTGACTTCAAATAGAGTCGAGCAGTTAGAGATATTAAAAAGTTAACTTAAAAAATCTCATATTATCTTTTGTTAGACACAAAGTCCAAAGCAATAACTGGGAGCTGAAAGAGCAATCCATGGTAATAAAAAAACACTAAAATGTTTCTTTGTTTGTTTCTAGGTTAGTAATATATCTGCCTCGCAATGGATGTAGAATCTATTTATTTTACATAAGATAATAAAAACATATGATGAATTTAAGTATACAAAAATGGCGTATAAACAAATGTATACTTACGAAATTTGATCAAGATGTGAATTCCATATAAAATTGTTATTTTCATCTTTAAACACATGCCCAGGTAATTTCGTTTCAACTTTATATGACCAATTACAGTTTAGACAGTATTTTCACTATTGGCCTTACGTTCTTAATGAAGACTGTGTTGAAAGAAAACAGATCTCAGAAAATGCAGATTTTTCTCAATTTGCCCTGCTTAATTTATATAATCGGATATTCCTGAGTTGAAGTTTAATAATTAGTCTATATCAGGACTTTAAATTGCCATGTCCTAAAACTGATCGGTCAATATATATCAGTAGCTTGTCAGATAACAGGGTAATTACAAGTCCCCCCATTTTTTATTCCCTTATTTATTTGTTAGCTTAGAAAATTTCTGAATTTGTTAAGATAATTTTGAATAAAATATTTTATCAAGATAGGTACATCTGCCACAATTTTGAAAAAAAGACACGTATAATTGCAATGCATATCTTGGAATATATTTTTACAATATTAACTTCGTTAATTAAAAATTTTATATTATTTTTAGAAATTTAATTAATCCAACAATTTGAATGCTGTTTTATAAATGCAATAAATAGCATATCAAATTCTCTTCGAAATCTGGTGAAAATATAATAATGATGCAAAACAATAATACGATTAACAAATAATTTAACGAAGTGTTAATTTATTAATGATATCAAATCAATTACATATTGTTCATTTTTTTTACTTACTATTAAAAGAACTCACTTGTTCCGGTATAATAAAATCTTTTCCTAAGTTAATTTCTGTTCTATTTCAGACTATATAAACATTTTCCAACCACAAATAGTCCAATAGTATATCAGTGAGAACCATCTATAGAAGTTCAGCTTCACTAACAGAGCAATCAGTTTATACTACATCTACCTAGGTACCATAATTTGATAATGAAATATACTATCCACGATGGCTATGTATTAGTGAGAGCTTTAAACCTATCACATATATATCATTAGTAAAGTGAGGATACGATACGCTCGGTTTCACGAGTAGGATTGCATGCCTTGATAACATGTAGTTTAAACTTATATTGTTATATTAAACTGCCCATTTAAACCAAAAACTAGGTCGGTCTTAAAGATATATGCTTTACAAATGATAGCCCATATCTAATATATGCATAGGACTTGACCATAAGGACATCTACCCCGGTAAATTGTTAAAAATCTAAGCACTTGAAATCTGACCTTTTATCAGGCAGCAAACTTCAAGACTGCCTAAAAGATTTATTAATTGGATAAACAAACGATTGATACATACTTTTATATATGTATATAAAAGATAAGTGTTTAACGAACTAATTAAACTTCGAAACGAGCAGTATCTACTACTAACAAAGAAAGCAATATTCATGTTAACAGTATATCATGTTGTGTATAAATGACCTTTAGCCACGGTCAATCTGTAGATATGTCCTTGATAAGAGATGATGATATTGTGATTGGATTTTGTTTATGATCTGCTATCAATTCTTTATTTCCGTCCTGCTAATTAATATGCGTACGCTAAAGATATACACTCCTCATAATAAGTTAACTTTTAATCTGCTGGAACCAGAAAAAACCAGTCTTTGCAAGCAGTATAGAGCAAAGCCAGTCTGCACATCCATACAGACCGGGCTCAATACTGTTGGTGAGTAGCTCAAACTTTTATTATGATATTCAAATCCCTTGAATGGGCTGTTCCAAATCTAAAGGAGGGCAATTATTACAACAAAATTTGGACAATAATATTGTTTATTCATGACAAACGAATTCTTTGTTTGGGAAAAGTGCACGATTATGCGCAAATGGAGAATTTTTTTAACATTTCATGCAAACCTTCGGGAATTTCGAATAGTTAAAATATAATAATCAAAATCGAATTTCTTTTTCTGTGGAACAAGTGGCACTAGATAAGAATGGCATGCGCAATGGAGAACTTATCTTCTTTAACCATTTCAAGTATACCTCGAAATTTCGAAGACAAAAAAAACTTGCTATTATGAAATAGAACGATTTTATCGTATTGTATACAGAATTTGTGTTGTTATTTCGTGTTTTTTTGTTTTGTTTTTTTCAGATTGAGTTTTACGTCGCAACAACACAGTATAGGTCATATGGCGACCGCTTAACTTTACAGACAGAGGAAGACTTCATATGCCCTTCTTTGCATCATTTCAGACACACACGGGTACAAACATCAGGTTCAAATGTTTAAACTGTTGTTTTATGCCATACCATCATATTCTCAAATTCTCACTTAATTGTCTGTGGAAACATCCATCATTAATACTGTTAATCATACCAGACTACATGTATACACATATACAAAACGAAACACGAATATTCCATAAAATATTGAAGATTTGGATCCATTATTATTACAAATTGATTGTCAAGAAATAATTATTGTATTGTACATGTATTCCAATGATACTATTAATTCAAAATATACTTTTTCATTTCCTGTTTAAAAACAAATATATCTTTCTTAATTAATTTAAGATGCGACTAAAACATTTAAAATATGTCATTTGCATTGACAATATAAACCAATTCAAGTCGATAAGGAAATTACTTTACGATTTGATTGTTATAGTGGCAACTTTGTAAGGATTGTTTATAATGTTGCTGTAATGCCATAATTATCTAAATTCTAGAAATTCTTAGAAGTTGTAGAACGATATCAGCAAATAAATACATTTAACATGTTTTTAAATTTTTATTAAATGTAGACTTTGTAAAAAATTATGAATAATTAAATACAACTGAAAAAATTCTTGATTCTAACATACAATATACTCACAGTTAAATCATGGTTCAACTATTTATTTTCTAATATACACATTTTAAAATAATGGCTCAGAATTATATTCTCATAAACTTCATAACTCTAATAAAATGCATATTCTAATATATACTTACTGTAAAATTATGGTTCTAATATTTAATTATTCTAATATTCTCATTGCTTTACAACAGAAGCAATATATCGCACTGTTTGAAGCTCAAAGATTTTTATCTAGCACTGTATCAATAATATATATGCTTACATGTATAGACCATGTACTATGTACAGTGAATTTAACCACCACAATCTCATTATATATACATGATAAATTAAGATTCGTATATACTCGGAACAACAATAATTCAGTCCGCTGGAGTTGAATTTATTGTATCGATTTATTGATTTAACTGGTCAATTCCTTGATCAAAACTTCTGATAAATCATGCCAATATCACAGTCACGTATTCCAAATCATCAATACTTCCTGACCTATTTCAACAAGATTCTACAAGGTTATCAAAGATGCCTGGGATATCGAGAAGCAACTATTTCAAATGATATTTCTTTGCCAAGTAAAATTGCAACAATTCAAACGATACTTTGAATTTGTTTTAAAACTTGTTTAATGTTAAAGTCAGCATTTCTTTTATTTGCCATCAGCATGTATGGAATATCACGGAAAATTATATCTAATATTTGTTTCCAATATTTTGATCTCCAATTCATAGATATCAAATTCATCACACTTTACTGGTACACTCGTAAAGAAGTGTTCATATTAAGATCCGTGTGTTTGGTCTTTATGCTTGGGGTTTTCTTCAAGACTTGTTACAACCGTCTCAGATACGGTATGAACCGGTCACTTCGAAAGCATGTTCTTCTTTTACTTTATCAATATACTATTCCTCAGATATCTGATTTTACTAGAACTTTTTTGACAAATACAACATTTATTCATTGCACTTTTAACTTTATTCAGTGGTTCTGAACACCACTTATTTGGGCGGCGGTATCCTCCAGCTTCTTTGTACGCTGATGCGATGATTTATCATCATAAATCAAGAATGTTCATTCATTATAAAAACAAAAATGTCGTTTTCATATATTAATTACTATTTTCATGAATTCAGGCATAAAGACGTCTTCCAAATAATTGTTTAGTTCTATCTTGTTGTAAAACCTTAGAACATCCGAACAGAACCTTGTTTGCAAGAATGTTAACAAACACACGGGAATCTCAATATTTTTTGAAATTTTCTTACGTTTTTACATGTTCTATCAAAGTTCATTTACGCGGACTTGTTGAATTACTGTAATAGAATTTTGCCCAAAGTAAGGTTTGTAAAATTTGAAGATATACATAAATATTTGTATGCCAAGTTCAAAATGATATGTAGAAAAAACGAAGCAGTTACTTTGAACTGCGCTGACATTCAGTTTTACCTACTCTACTTGCAAGCCTTTGATTAAAATTAATATACATACAATACTAGTGATGTTAGATAAGGTCAACAGTAGTAGAATCAAAGGTTAGTGTACACATAATCTACTTTAATACATGGCATGTGAGGTGACAGTAATTTAATACTAACAACTATCTAATAAAAGTTACAGTAATATGTGCCACATTTCCTGGTTTCTGACCTACGAAGTATACGTATAGAATCTTTGTTACTAATATATTGTTGTCAAGAAAATAACTTTGTAAAAATTACACTGATTCACTAAAAAAGCATTGAATAAAAATGAATTTACAGAAAATAATTTCTCTAAGATAAAGGAAGATATACTGAAAAGGGGATAATGTTCTTGAGCACTGAATGTAAGATAAGTACGAGTAAACATAAAAGTAACTCATGAAAATTAAAGATTAAGCATTCACCCCTTGCCCATTCCAGACCCTTTTTAAAAACTGGATGAACGAGCACGTTATGAACTGATTTTTAACAGTAGATATTTGATTTTTGTGCAGAAAACAACTTAACATAGAGTGATACAAGATTGAACTATTTAACATATTCAACGGGACTTAGGTTAAAAATAAATGGTAAAATCATTCGTCAAGCCGTGAAGGAATACATCTACTGACCTGTTTCAAAGTTTAATCACACCCTAAGAATCACTTCTATAGAAATTGAACATTAGATAGCCAAATTCAAAGTTAATTCCAAAGGAAAAAATCATTGTATTTCTTAATCTTTTTTTCCTTTGGTATGCGTAGAGTTTTGAAGACAAATTCAAGCTTTGCCAAACTTTTTTTATAATTGCAATTTGTAGACTCGTATTACACAATTTAGTCCAAACTAGTATTAGTGTGCTTTTATTATTCAATATAAATTCAATATTTGACATATGGTATGTATACAGTAGTTTAAATCTATTTCATAACAATTTACAACATAAAATTGGAAATTATGGACAAATAACGATATTTTAAAACGAGATGGCGGCAATGGATTGGACATGTATTACATATGCCTCCTGACTCGCTACCTGCGGTTGCTTTTCGATGGACACCAGAGTTCCCAAGGGAAAAAGGAACAGAGACCGAACAAAAGAAACCTTGTGGCGAATCGCAAAGAAGGACATGAAGAGCTGTGACAATGAGGCCGGCGCCCGTGTAGCTGCAGATAAAACCAGATGGAGATCATTTGCAGTTGCTACCAGGCAGCATGGACAAGATTTTCTTATAAATGAATGAATAAATCTCCAATTATTTCATCAAATGATTCATATCATATTTTCATTTTTTTCATTCATTTTTCTACTATATATACTAGAAATGAAAATGTACTACGAACATTTAAGGTATATCGACATTCTAGGTATAATCATCTGATTTTCAAAAAGATTGTTGAACATTTTAGAAAATCAAACTAATATACAACTTGAAAGAAAACTAAATAACACGCATAAAGTTGATCATGTGAGATCCATAAAATAACAATACATACATTAACATTCACATTTAGAGCACTAATAAATATTTCACAGGCTACTTAGCTCGTATTAGGTTGTTATTTTTTCCTTCACCAATGACGTCATGAAAAAACATGGATATATGAAGCGCTTTATCGCCTTAAAATGATTCACAATCATAAGCTTAAGTTCAAAGACTTATAGACATTGTTACTGCTCACAATTCCAATCGGAACATCT